CAACAGAGGCGTTTCTGCGTTTAAAGTGGGGTTAATAGAGTAAAATTGGAAAAAAAGAAAACCGTGCTGTCATCAAACGCTTATAAGAAGAATTTATTTAAATGTATGTCGTTTTGTCAATACTTGGGTAGATTTTAATCAATGCTTACTTTAGCTATTTAGATCAGTGGAACCATAAGTAAATGACTACAATGAATTAAACATAAAAGTTCGTATTGCCAGTTTTTTATAAAAATGTCCACATATGCCACAATTATGGGCCCAATAACATGTACATTTACCTCATTTTGTAGCGGCACTTATCCAATGCCTAGCTTCAACAGTTTTATTTAGCACTCGTAATATGACTTTTTATCTGGATCATCTAAAATAACATTTATATCTGATCGCGAAGCCGTTACATGTTCTATGAATAAGTTTTTTGTCAATTGAATTCTTTGTATTGTATTAAACCAGTAAATTAATGCTTTGTTTAACGTCTGAGATATATTTTAATAGTACAATGAATTAATGAATAAAATTTTTGAAACTGCTAATTATAGTTATAAGTTCAAAATGTTGCTCTGAAAAAAGCTGCTTTGCCCCAGAGACACACCCCGAACACAGAATGTACCTGAAGGATTTATGCGAACTGAAAGTTCAAATACACAGAAGGTGGTCCGGCATCCCATGGTCAAATCCCAATCAAAGTCTTTTCCGTATTAGGGAAGAGGTCCTAAATATAGCACTACTATTATTATAATAGTTTAAAAAGTTTTTAAACTGAACAATGAACATCCAAAACGGGAATTGATGTTTTAAAAATTTGTTATTTTTTACTAAACGCCAACTTATATTACTGTTACTTGCTAAAGAGACGTCAAATCTTGGTTTAAAACCTTTGGTAATTGAACACTAACGAAAAAGATTCAGACATACGAGGGGAGGTCCAAAAGTTCGTGGAATGGAGGGGATGGAGTGGGGATAGGGGCGCTCGCTTAGTGTCATACTAATTGGGGACTCATAATTAGTATATAAATGGAGTTTCAGCCCTATTGCGTCATTCGTTTACGAACACTCGCCTGCTAAACACGTCAATCCGGAAGAAAACTGAAACTATGGAGAAAATTGAACACCGTGCTGTCATTAAATTCCTTACCAAGCAAGGAAAGAACTCTCAGACCATTTTGAATGAAATGGAAACTGTTTACGGGGAACAGTGCCCTAGTAAATCAATGATTTACAAATGGCATGGTCTTTTTAAACATGGTCGGGAGTCGATTGAAGACGACCCCCGCTCAGGAAGGCTAGTTGAGGCCACCACATCAGACATCGTCGAAAAAGTGGAAAAAATTGTACTGTAGGACACCCGTTTGAAGAAAAAACAGTTATCTGCATTAGTTGGAGTATCAGATACCACAATTTTGCGAATCCTACATGACCACCTGGGTATGACAAAAGTCAGTGCAAGATGGGTACCGAGAATGCTCACGCCGCTTCAAAAACAGCAGCGCGTCGAAGCGTCAAAACATTTTTTGGAGTTGTGTAGCGACGATCCTGGATCGATTTTGGAGCGAATTGTTACCGGCGATGAAACATGGGTTCATCACTTCGAGCCTGAGTCCAAACAAGAGTCCATGCAATGGCATAAAAAGGGGACACTACCGCCAAAGAAATTCAAAGTGTCGGTTGGAAGTCGGCTGGAAAGTTGATGGCTACTGTTTTTTGGGATTGTGAGGGGATAATACTGATTGATTATAAAGAAAAGGGCAGGACCATAACCGGAGAATACTACGCAACAATACTAGAAAAATTAAAGGATGCCATCAAAGAAAAACGTCGGGGAAAATTGACCAAGGGTGTGTTGCTCTTGCAAGACAACGCGCCGGTTCACAAGAGCAAAGTTGCAATGGCTGCTCTACACACGCATGGCTTCGAATCACTAGTCCACCCACACTATAGTCCAGATCTGGCCCCAAGTGATTTTTATTTGTTCCCCAATTTAAAAAAAGACTTAAGGGGAAGGAAATTTTCCGACGACAATGAGGTAAAGGAGGCAATTTTGGCTCATTTTGAGGGAAAAGATAAAAAATATTTTTACGATGGTTTAGAAAAATTAATTCATAGATCTAATAAATGTATTCAGCTTAAGGGTGATTATATTGGAAAGGAAAAATAAATTTACTGTTTCATTTTTACTAAAACCCTTTCATTCCACGAACTTTTGGACCTCCCCTCGTATGTATCAGAATAGTTCTTTTACTCTGGCATTACTTACCGATTTGCGGTGAAAACAGAAAGTTGAAATATTCCAAAAATTTTAAAAGTAAGGATTTCTGAATACTTTGTAGCGATACCTACAAAATGCGCTTAAAAATCACTGCAATGACGTCATACCCTGTAACTCGCTGACGAACTTATTCCGGCCTATAAGGATATATATATATGTAACATCTCGACCTTAGCTACTGGGGCCTTCGGCTCAGTCAGGGGTTAGACTGGTCGAGGATCCTCCTTTTAGTTAGAGGAACAGTACTTCCTTCACAACTTCAAAGATTCAAACAGAACAAACAAACTTGGGTATAGATTTTTATCAGTTGCTTCAATATTACTATATTTTATTTATTAAGTTTAAACACTTAAAACTGCAATTTTCTGACTCATAACGAGTTCAATGGAGTTCAAATCTTCTTCTGAATCATTAAGAGTTCAAATTATATTTTGTACAAAAAATTAAAAGCGTTGAAGATTTTACTTGTTCTTTATCAAGTGCCACTGGAATGAAACACTATTCGTTTAATTAAGAATGATTAAAGCTTCAAAGTTTCAAGCGATTCATTACAGTTAATATCTCAAGTTAAATTTTTTCATATATCATAATAGGCTAATTAGTTTGATGTAATTAGAATAGAGCCACGAGTATCAAAATAGATTTATACAAACTTATAAAAATTGTTAATTAATTTTTATGAGTATGTTGACTTAAGAATGAACATTCATACACGCTTCTCTAAGCAAGATGGCATGTGAAATATCATTCTTAAATAATAAAAATACATATATTATATTTCGATAAAAATTAGTCTCCGACAAAACTAAACTTCGAGACAGTATTACTCGATCGTCGATTCGACTAATCAGTTACCGTTTCATGTCATGCAAATATGAAAATTACTATTTTTAATTACGGATTGATAGATTTATAGTTATTATAGTTATTTACAAGTTATTTACTCTATAACGCTTTTTATAGCCATATTTATACATATTCAATAGCACTTTTTTTTTAATACTGTGAAAAGCCTTGTCAAATATTGGTTTGACGATGTTTTAAACTAGACTATAGTTTGGTTAATCACCATATGGGCCATACGCTTACGTGAACTATTCTGATATTAATGTATCAAAATTTCATATTGAATTAGTTTTGATTAATACTACTACTTCATCGTCGATCGGCGAGGCAGTATCATTTCGTCGTCCGACCTTCCACTAGTTTAAGACACTTTTTGCCAGCACCACTATGTGGAACCTCACTCACAGAAGTATTTCCGAACCAATTCGACTTAGGGTCCTTCAAAATAAGAGCGTACCGATTCTTAAACCACAACGCAGTTGAGTGTCCATGGGCGAAGGTATCAGTTAACATTAGATGAGCCTTCTGCCCGTTTGACCCTTGTCTATCAAACAACAATTTTTCGCACTTTAGTTTACTTTAGTTCATTAAACAATACCTTTGTTGAAAGCCGTAGTAATTAATTCGTTTTAACAACTTCTAAAGTGACAATTCCTGTTCTAGAGTTTTATTAATTTTATACACATTCATAAGTTTAAAAACGTTACGGTGACTATACCACGTTATTTGGTGCTTATTACATCGTCTACAAATATGAAAATTGTATTTTTTGTTTCAGCTGCACCGATTTTGATTTGGTATAAAGCAGATAAAATTATCTTTGACCAATTAAAATATGTAGTACATTTGTCTAAATTATAGTAGATATATACAAATGTATAAACTGGTATAGGGTTATTTATATTAAAAGATTCCATAGCAAAAACTCTTTATTAAAAGTTGAAAATCATTGTAAGAAAAATAAAAATACCAAATAATATATTGAAGTAGTACATCTCCTTAAAAATAATATATACAGTAATATTAATATTTACATTATATAAAATAATAGTTATATAGCTTGAAAAACTTATTCTAAATAAATTTGCTGAGAAAAAAGGTTCTAAAGTTGAAATTCACATTATTGACTGTTTCTTTAAATTGAGTAGATTTTCTAAATTATTAATATTTATTCTATATAGGTAAGTGGTAACGTCTAAATTAAATTATTTCGGCAGAAATACAACTCAGGAACTATGTTTTAAACCATGTTTTTATTTTATCTCGACTCAAACTTAATTCCAATCGATACAAAATCATCATTTTTGGTGCTATAACATCGGCCTTTCCAACTGCCTTTCATTTCTATATATATTTTACTTGTTCAAAAAAGGCCTTGAAAATACAAATTACAAATTGAAGCGCCTTACAATTTTATTGAGCAATTTTGTAATATATAATATTTAAAAACCACCAACTATGGATTTACTGTTTATAATGTAAGACTATTTGTAATAGAAATTATTATTTATTTTGTACATAACATTTAGTAATAGAATATTTTTGTACATTATTAGTTTTAAAGCGACGATTCAGCGTACTGTACTAGCTACTTTTAACGCTCAATTTATTATGATTTTTTATATCACGCCGTTTAATAAAACCTGTTTTAAATGCATTCAACTCATATACATAGAGAATGGAACGTAAATGCACAAATATTGAATAATATCTTTCAAAGTATACTCGTATTTTTAATTTGCTAATAGTTGAAAATAATTGCTTTAAGAATAAAGTAATTTTTGTATAGGAGAACATTCTTTGGCTTCATTTTAACAACCAGGATATAAGTGCGCTTACATTATCTATCATGATCAATTCTCTATGTATACTCACTTGGCAGACCCTATGTAATAGACACAGTGCCTCTGAACCTCGTATCCAAGCTGCCATAGGAAGGCCTGTACCGTGGAGTACGCTGACTCCAGGGGCTACGGCGGTTCTTATAACTCGAACAGGCGATAAGACTGTTCATCGCTGGAGGCCGAGATCGCTCCAGGCTTATGCCATAGCGGCGACTGGAATATAAAAATATTCCGTAAAGTCATAATAATTAAAATTTTAATCTTTATATTCCATTTTTGTAGAAAAGCAAGAATATGGGAAAAAACGTTGAAAAAACGGATTCACACACATTCTTAATTAAAAAACTAAGTATGTATTTACAAAAACGAAAAGTAATTAGAATTAGAAAGAGGAAATAACAAAAAAGCAAACAAATTCATGTTTAAGACAATGATTTAAATACAGAGAATTTGAAATCTCTATATTTAAAAAAAATCATATACATCCATTATCGTCCAAATATAAGAAAATAAAAAAATACCTTTTAGGCCTAGCAGCGGGAATAAAGTCCTCCCCTGTAAGCACACCCTTGTCTAGAGTCCCATCCATTTGCAAAAGGTCTCCAGCGGATACTGAGAGATCCATCTTCGAGCGGTCACAGGTCCACATGTACACCAGTACCATTAACATCTGGAAAAAAAATGAGTGAAGAAAATAGACTTATAATATGATTCTGATTTTTAAGCCCTTTAAATATATGCTAAGCACAAAAACCACCCATATACAACCTTTATATACTTTGGTTTTTCTATTTAAAGATATCAATAAAGTTTTCATATTTTTACATAGACAACGGTAACTTTGTTTTATTTCTAGAGAAGTCTCATGACGGAGTGTATGTGATTAACTCCACTTAATGAATTTAATCTCCTACAACTATTGTGATACAGATCATACGTATACAATATATATCTTTTAAGTTAAACAATTCATGGTGGCCGACACTCCGACTCTTCGTGATGACTTGGGTAAGCCTGTCAAGAGGATCATTACTCTATGATGTCATGCCGCCCGTTACCGAATAACTTACATAACCTGCTTTTTTATATGTATGTTTTTGTGTAAGGTAACGAAGTGTAAATAAACAAGATGCGCTGCCAAAAGTTATAGAGAAAACAACTCTGGACTCAATGCGATGACGGCGTACGATTCTTGATGATAATGACGAATGAAAAAATAATACAAATGCATAACTTTTTTTATGTATGTATTATTATTATATTAGGTCCTTACATATGAAATTGGCGTTTTGTGTGGAAGGAAAAAAAGTAGATTTTTTTAAATAGAATATATTTAATTTATCAAACTATGTGCCATTGCTATCTATGCACTTTAGCCACCTTATAGGTAGTTCATTGATCCCTTGACTAAAAAAACAATTCGAACGAGAATCAATAAAACCTTTGAAGGCGGTTTCAACTGCCCCATCAGAGGTGATTTTTTTCCTTGCAAGAAGTTTTCCAAATTCCGAAAAAATGGTAAAAATCAAAATCAAAATTCATTTATTTAGTTGAATCACATGATTACTTTGAATTGTCAACTCTACCACCTGTTCGGAATCGTGACCAGCACACAAGGAGAAAGGCAAAAACCTCGCGCTAGTTCTTGTTTTGATTGTTGATCGTTGGAGAAAGGTCCGGGGAGTACGGTGGATGGTGGATGTCTTAGAAATTCCAATTGAAGCTCCTTTAATTTGGTAATCAAAGAGGATAATAATTATTAAAGATAATTGAGGTAAGGAGTAGCCAATACAAAAAATGTCAATTTCATATGTAAGGACCTAATATATTATGTATTAATAATATGTCACCACTGATTGTTAAAAATGATTTTCGGAGGCGTATACGCATCAGTGCCGTTATCGTTAAATTTATCGTTCTACTTCATATACCTGACAATAATAAAATATTTTTTGTTTGGATCTCACATAATAACACCTTGCTCTGCGTAATCAGGTATGAGTAGTATCAGACACGGGGTTTCTCCTGTTTTCAATATAATTATATTAATAGATCCTTCTAATTAATTAGCGCCTTACAAAATATTCATGCAAATACGTATACTCACAACAATGATATGTAGTATGACGATGAACCCTGTGCTACTTCTGAATCCAATGGAATCAAAAAGTACTCCAGACACAGATGGACCAATAAAGGCTCCGAGGGCAAAAGTCGAGGTCCACAAACCAGAAACTAACCCATACGTTTCTATTGAGTTTGGGAAGCCATTTGCACTAAAACAAAACATTTTTTACACTGCCCATTGTCTATGGCTTCGTCTAAACTAGAGTTTATAGATTATATATGTATGAGTTGTATCAGACTTGGTATTTAGAAGACAATACATTTATCAGTCTTGATATATGGCCGAGATTTAGTTAAAGATTGATAATGATAATACCATAACTAATAAAAATAAAATTTAATAAGTATTATATTTTTGTTAAAGTTTAAAATCTAAATATGATAGCAGTTAATATTTTAAATAAGGAATCGTTAAGCTAATAACTTTTATATATTTATATATATGTATAACTTTTTGAAAATAATTTCAGTTTTCTTTTTTATCTATTAATGGGGACTTATGTTTTCTGCTTCATATATTTTGTTTAACAATGTAATCTGTTTTGGATTTGTATATTGTCTAAGTGTTTTCCTTTATAATATGGATATTTGCAACTGTAAGATTACTCATAAATGAATAAATATTATTCAGAAATTTCCGAAATCTTTATTTGAAATAGCCAGGATTCGAATTCGAATTTAATATTGTATCTGAATAATGTTAGGACTTACATAGCAGTACTTAAGGCGTCTGAGAAAGACGACACTAGGAGACTTCCCATTCCAAAACCGTGAAGCACTAGTCCCAAAACTGTCACCCACAGTATTCTGAAATATACAAATACTCGTTTGATTAATTACTAATATATTTTAGGGAAAAAAACTTGTTGACTACAATATAACAAATTTTACTTCATGCCTATTTGTTTATTCTTTGTGTGTTTACAAGATTGATTCCACAGGAACTAAACTCAGTAATAATGGAGGTCAGTCAGAACATAATCCCCATAGACTTCGATTAAACATTAATTGAACGAAAGATATCAAAAACTTACGTTGGCATATTAAAGAACGGTGCTGGGCCAATTAACAAGAAAGCGGCCACGACAAACATGTGCCCAATACTGGTAATATATTTGGGTTTAACCGCGGGATGGTCGCATAACCAACCCCACGCTGGTGCAGATACCGCATAAAAAGCCCCATTGATCACGAATATTAAACCCAAAACCACTGGAGAGAAGTTGAACTGAAATTATCATTTATACTATTAATAAACAAATACTTATGCTCAAGAACAAAATGTGTTTTAATTATTATAAATAGATACTTAAAATGACTGGTCATTTCGAAAATGCTATTTATTTATTTGGAAAAGCTTTACACCTTACAAAGCATAATATAAAATAATTCTTAAATCAAAACGCCAATTAAAGGTTATTATTGTATGTATTTGAACTATGCGGAACGTATGGAAAATCTCGCTGTATTGACAAAAACAAAAGTTTTTTGCTAGAGGTCGACAATTCTGTCCTTACCACAGTCTTCACAGTCTTATAGTCTTCAAACAACCTTTTTATACTCTTTAATAAATTCAACTTTAATATTTAGAAAAAATACTTACACGAACTTGTCGAAAATGAGGTTCTAATGTAGCTTGAAGGAACCCAATACTCATACTAGTTGAAACTATACTTAAAGAAGCTATCAGAACTCCTGGCACGCGGAGAAGAGTTAGCATCGATGCTGAAAGAAGAAGAAGTCCTTCAATACCAATCTGTAAGCTACAGAATGAAGTATTTAATATTACATTGTTTGTAAACTATATGGTAATATTATATTTAAAATACATTTGTTAACGCCTACGAACTTTGAAAGAGCAAACCTCAGAATTTCGAGCAGAAATACTTTCAAATTCATGTTTTTTATATATGTTTTTAGGTTTTTAATACAATGATTGTATGTGGCTCCTACAATCTGAGGCTATAATTAGTACGGTGACCTTTGAGAGGCAACATTTCGACAACAGCCTTCGGCCTTCATACTCGACTTGTCGAGGATCCTTTAGGCTGTACACGCTGAATGTACATTCCATCCTCCGCAGGCCCCTAGGTTCAGGGTAAAGGTTCTTGCATACTACCGCAAATGTATTGATGATTTGATAAATTACAAAGAACTATTATATTTTTTAAACAAAGGTGGCCACTTTAAGCATCTCCCACACCAAAAGAGACGGGGGTGTGTGGGACCCGACTCACTTTAGGTACGCTGCTACTTAGAGAACCGGATGAGTTATACCCAAATTAATTAGGTAATTTGTTCATTACAGTATTATGAATTATAATGGCGTCTATAGCTTGATGTTAAATAATATTTTTAATTTATTATAGTGTATCAGTCTTTGTTACCTGAACATTGTCAGTATAATATATTTTTTGACTTACGTCCTGTATGCTTATAATCTTCATCGTCGGAGGCCTTTGGTAAAATGATATAGCATAACAATGCTGTGCAAAAGAGCGTGGCTCCAAGTACAGCGAAGGGCAGAGAGTAACCACCAACGCCGTAGAGGGCCCCACCTATCATTGGACCAGCGATTAATCCGAGCCCGAAAAATGTTTCCAAGGATGCCTAAAACACAAAAGACTCAAAAATAGAATTATGTAGGCTCAATTCTTAGGTTACCGGAGTTATGTAAAATGGTAAATAGCCTGCGAAACCTTCGCGCATCATGGCTTTGTAACATCTCATTAAAATTTATGAAATTTAGGCAAATTTGGTTGTTATTGCGTAATATAATCTTAAATATTTATTTTAAACAAAAGAGCACATCTATTAAAATATCATGGATAACTATTGTCTCAACGACTATCTATAGGTATCCATAAAATCTCGTGTTTATAACCAAACTATTCCGACACGGCTTGACTAATTTTTATGAAATTTTCGTTGTAGTTGTAACAATTTTTTTAAACCGTAAGCGATAAAGAATTCCCAATTTGTTCGTCGTTAAATAATAGACATAACCCTTACTTTTCATCCTTCTACCACCACTGAAGTATTTCCGAACCAATACGACTTAGGGTCCTTCAAGAAAAGAGCGTACTAATTCTTGAAAGGCCGGCAACGCACTTGCGAGCCTTCTGGCATTGTGAGTGTCCATGGGCGGCGGTATCACTTAACATCAGGTGAGCCTCCTGCCCGTTTGCCTTCATACACTCCATTACATAAAAAAAACCAACCCCTATTTTTAATTGCGATATAAGTACTGCAATTATCCTTATATGACAAAACAACGTTTGCCGAGAGTGATAAAAATAATATAATTTTTTAATATTCACTTACAAACATAGTAGCCACATTATTCGGGAACTCCTTGGCAATGATGGCAAAGGAAGCTGTCAAAAACGCCGCATTACCCAAAGCCTCTACTATACGTATTGCAAATGCTAGAGTCACGAATGGTACGTGACCGTCCACCTTGTCTAGCAACCTGAAAAAAATTTAAGTTAAACTTACAAACCATGTTTAACTTCTATAATTTTTTTTCAACAGAACTGGACAGACAGAAGTGAGATACGGCCTATTGGAGGGCACGCCTGTCCAGGAGATGCTTAACCGCCGCTTAAATAAACCCTAGGGAAGATGAAAGGGAGAGTTCTACTTCTTTGCTGTATTTACAAGAAACCACGACCCAAATCGTGCAGTGCGGTATCATGGGGTCATGCTGCTGATGTCGAAACTATTTTCATCTTGCAGAAGAGGGCTATTCGTGCAATCTATAATTTAAAATGTAGGGAATCTCTGAGAGATAATTTCAAGGAAATTAATATACTTACCTTTCACTCGCAATATATTATATTTAAGAAAATATTATGTATGTATACAAAAATAGTGATAAGTTTACTAAAATTGAACATACGCACAATGTTAATACTCGGAAAAAACGCAGGCTGCAATTTCCCCGTACTAGACTATCTAAAGTTAGTAATTCTTTTTTGGGAAAAGGGATACTCTTCTTTAATAAAATCCCGGAGGCTCTTTTGCACGCCTCATTAGCGGAGCGGAGGCAGTGCTCTACTCTCGACATGTCAAAAAACCCAGTCTTTCGAAACTTGAATGACTTTTTTCTCACTAATATAACACTTACAGGATAATATGAGTGCACTAAAATCGAGTTAAATAATCTATCAAGCACATATGGTATTTTTTATGAACAATTATTTTGTTTAACATAGTAAATAATAACATTAAAATCAATCATTCTTGGACGTCCGTCAGTCTGTGTTTATAGATCCATGTATGTGGCAGAGAAATTGGTCGAAAAATTTATCGTACCAGAATACTTTTTATCTTATTATATAAAGTTATACCCTGGGCTGATTCCTAGTTAATATTAGCGTTCTAAGTACTGTTTAATTATAATTTGTAAAAAACTAAAATACGACTGTGTATTTGTATATCTATATTATATACATTTATTTTAGTATATTCTTTCCTCACCTTAGAGTTATGGCGCCACTATATATTTTTTTATTATATTATTGTTTTTTTTCAATCATTCATTTTAATTTATTTTTTATTTTTTATTATATTATTTTTTTTTTTCAAACATTCATTTATCTATATGCAAGAGTATGTGGAAAATCAAGATTCGCGCATGCGCTACGTAAATTTCGTTTTATAAAATAGTGTGAGACTTAAAGATAATAATTTATTTGTTATTTTGTTTTAAAAAACTTGAGTTTTTGTTTTAGATTTTTTTTAAATGTGAATGACCGCTATGAGGCGTGCACTTTTGATTTTCCAAACTTTTTATCTCTGCCTTTTAATAAATTTAAGAAATGTATTAAAGAAAAGCTGTGTAAAAAGGCGTATTATAACGGTAACGATTATCTAGTCGATAAAAGGGCCTGGACTAGTGCTAGACAGGCTACTTCTAATTATTTTGCGATATTTGGTTTTTAAATAAGTGTTGTTTGATGATTTGATATTTTAAAAGAGTACCGAGAGTTTTTTACGTCGGCTTTTTCTCTCGGCCTACACCCTCTGTCTTCTTTGCCGATGAGTAGGGATGCCTACAAATTCAAATTTAATGACGTGGAATAATTGATACCTACCTGTATCTTATGTTCCATAATAAACTAATTTTATTTTTATTTTTTATTTTATTAGTAAGTGTGTTCGAAGTATAATATATATTAATTATAAAAATAATTAACAATTAGATTCAACTTCAATGTTATTTCTGAGGTCCTTGTAGTTATCTATATTTGTTTTAAGTAAAACCAATGTCACCGAGTAAATAAACAAACAAGGAAATGTTGAATATCAAAAAATATACTAAGATTTAAAGATAATAGCGTTTAATTTAATTTTTATAATAATTTTATATTACAGGCATTTTATTTAATATTGTTTCTGAAAGACCGAACAAGTATTTTTTATAGGACTGATATTTTGTTATAAAGAACTCAAAACATATACCAACAATTATATTAGTTTAATTAGAGCAGCCCTTTAGAATTTATGGTGTTCACATGTATTGCGCGAATGCAAGGCTTGTTGTACATGTTTTGTATTAGTTTTGCAATGTTTTTTATAATGTACCTTCTTAGTACCCACAATTATAATTTTTTTATGTTGTATAATAATCATTGGCGTTAGTAAATATCTTGGACGTCCTGATGGGCGAAAAACTATGAATAGTTTGTTTTAAAATACACACGCTAACACCATATTACATAGTTAAAAAAAGACGAATTAGTTAATTATTTTGAGTGCACGTTAGTCTTAGGTGCTATACAGTGGTAAGTGGAAAAAAATAGTACACAAGAGCAGAGTGAGTGGACACTTTCTTATGTTAAATCTCGTTATTAGTCAATTTTATATGTAATGACTAAATTTATTTACTAAAAAGGATTTCGATGTTAAGCTAAATTAAACCCAATTTTATACTAAGTACAAAAATACATACTATAAAATATCTATCCAACCTGATCGTCCCTGTCATCGTCGAAATAGATTGTACTTTACTGTCTCGAAAATATATCTTAATTTTTAAAGCAAAATTTCTTAATTAACTAGCCGACCTGTATTTCTGAACGGACGCATAAATATGTGACAACCAATATATATGTCAATCCCTTTTCATTACCTACATCATTCTACAATTTTAAAATGTAAGATATGCGGTTATCCGAATATTGTGGATATATTTTGTCGATTCGAAACATTTATTTAAATACGTTCTTTATTTGAAGGGAGACCGGAGAAAGGGTAAACATTAAATGTTTGATAGTTACGAAACCCATTAACATTTCTTTATTTTTTCGTCAATCTTCTATTGTTAAAAATATGTATTTCATTCACTGATATGATAAAAGTCCCGAGAGAGAGCGAATACTTTCTGTTCAAGATTGCTCATTGTTGTCAAGTAAAGCTGCAGTAATAATTAGTACTAGATAATATTTCTTACCCAAATAGTATAGCACATGTTGAGGTAGTCAGTATTCCGGCGTTGAAGACTACTTTAGGTCCAAGCCTGTTCAAATGAGCCCCATAAAAGGGACTGATTATGAAAACCACAAGCTCGAACACTCCAAAAACAAGTCCATATTCTGTTGCTGTGCATCCTTTGTTTTCTGCCTGAAAATTTGATAAATTATAAAAGATAGCCTATCTATTCTGTGCTTTAAAGCTATTAGCTTTAATTATCAGCTTCTAAGCAAGCTTTTGACTCAGGTGCAAACGTAGGCAGTGTTTGATATTCAAAATAAATATTTAAATCCGTATATATTGAAATTAATACGTAATTCTTAATATGTGTTTTGAGAGGGGTGCATCCGAACCGATGCCGATACCATATATCGGCGATACTTTGGGTTTGCCGATATATGGCATCGGCGATATTTTCATTGCCGATTCACCGATACTTTTCAAATTTCACGCTTTAAAAAATATTAACGCGCATTTTGTATGATTATTTGTTGAAAAGATATGGTTGCGAATCCGCGTTTATTTTGTTGTCTCTATCATTCGCTTGGGACAAAGCATTATTATTTATGTATATATGTATTTCATTTCGCTAAACATTATTTATTTATTAACACTTTGTTGCATTACAATATAAAAATTGAACATAATTAAATGAAAAGGAGGGAAAAATACTATTACATATTAACTAAAAAAGTCTACATTAAAAATAAAAAGTGCACATGAATCACGATAATTTACGATCAGTCTCACTAGTTAGTAGTTAGTACGAAAAACTCTTGTTGGATTGATTAGTAGACCAACATTTTTTTATTTTTTTATTGAGACTTTATTGAACGTACTTTGAAGATCATTTAGTTGGCTTTTAACTGCTATCGCGAGTAGTATTTTTTCGATACCAAATTTAATAAAATACAGAATTACAACAATGTTATCATTGTTAATTTTAATTATTAACAGTTATTTATTTTATTTTATTTTAATTATTACTCTTAATTCTTAATTTTAGTAATAAAACGTTTAAAATTATTCAAAGTTTGTGACTATTTTTTGTATATAATTTTTTTAATAAAAATTACTTTAACTTAACTTGATATATTTTACCTTAATTTAATTTTAATTCAATAAGCGTTGGTATCGGTATCGTATCGGTATCGTATCGACGATATTCCAAAAGTTATCGGCATCGTATCTATCGGCAAAAAAGCGTATCGATCATCCCTATTTTTGACTACGCACATACATACATTAAATACATTAAAATGACGTCAAGCAAATATGACGTCAAGACCATTCAATCAAATCTTTCGTTTCACTAGTCCAAACACTAGTAAATGATTCCTCAGTCGTAGTTCGCACAAAGTATTATGCACACAAATAATAGCGTAAACAAATAATAATGGAAGTGCTAGCTAAATTTTTATCAAATATCAAGTCACCAGCCAACACCATACTATGTAAAATAATATGAAAGTGGATAAAAAAATACATAAATGAAAAAATTTTTGAGGTTTTAAGCTATTGCATAGATTTTATCTCGGGCTTTGAGCGCGGCGACCGAATCAAGAAATTCCGTAACGAAAATAACCTGACACACGATGTCGTAATATACTAACGAACGACAGAACGCACACTGCGTATTCACATCTCTCTGACGAGATCGGTGACGTAGCTTAAGCGCGGCCGGTGCAGCCTGTACAACTTTTTTTTTTAATATACGGCGATCGAACGCAGATTTTGTACTTATTATGCTAAGGCGTGACCTAGTATAAGCCATGCAAACTTCACGTCACTTAAGCTTAAAAAAGGTTTTTTTTGTAAGATTCCTATATTCAAACATGAAATTGAAGTTTTCTCTCCACAGGCGTCAGATTTTCTCAGCTTCATAATTAAAATCGACCCACACCTATTTCAGTAAGAACAAAATGTTGTCTAAAGATAACACGTTTAAGAGACAATGAGATGTGAATAAAGAATACTTTGTGGAATGAAATCAACATAGGTATTATTAACAAAAAGGCAACTATATCTATCTATATAATATAATAAAAATGTTATCTTGGTTTGTGTACGCTTCAGAAACTTAAAAAATTCTGCACCGATCGAAATTTTAGCATGATATATAATCCGCATCAAGGATTTTTTTTATCTATTTTTTTCCTTTTTTTATTTTTTTTCAATCACAATGTGCTACATCGAAGCGTGGCAGGGAATAGCTAGTATTTATATACATTTATATATGTAGATTGGACATCATGATCTTTTTAATCGGACCACAGCTCGTTTGTACTCGTAACAATGCAACCACACTGTAGTAAAATTAAAATTTTGTAATTTTTTGATAGTTTCACCATTTGGTACAAATTCTTGAAAGACAAAAAGGTTATTTATAAATTAATATATTTTTTAAATTAGCGTAAATTGTCTATCCGTTAATAATAATTTCAGCGTGTCCACACATTAAATTATTAACAAGAGAGTGTTTAAATGAACATGATGGCGTATTAAAAATTGCTCATGCAGCTGCTTGAGAACAAAGTAACGTATATCTATAATATTTACTGGTAGGTACGTGCGAGTCAACCTAGTTCTTGTTAATATGTAAAACGTTTTTAAATTGTTATTGCTTTAATACGTTGTGACAATTCACTCAAAATAAAATTAAATGTATAATAATTTAATTATGTTATCTTTATATTTAATGCTTGTTAACAAGGTTATAAAATGCATTTACGACCATGAATATTTTTTGTGATAGGAACCAGAAATAGCCGCTCCATTCCCGAGAGATAAAAAGTAAGATTATTATTATTGTATATAAGATATTTTATATTAATAATATATTTTATATATTATTTAATACATAATATTTTATGTAGTTATTTATTTAACGATTGCTATATTCGCCTCTTAGTTGCATTGCCCATAAAACCTTTATTTAAGCTTACCATAAACTTTAATAATTAAATAAGTACACAGTAGAACCAAAGATGGGCTATTCCGTAGCAGAGCCAAAGATTCTTAAGATGATTTTCATCTCTCGTTACTTTACAGTGACATCCTGTTTAGTATGTTTTATTATATATTTGTAACAATACTTATACTTTTAGATTTTAATTCTTTTGCGAGCAAATTAATATTTGGTCCACTATAGTGTTCACCGTATTCGTTTAACTTGATCATTTTGGCTGTTTAATTTGTTTCAATATGTGTAAGCTTTTCAATAAATAAATCTAAAAATAGATTCCTGCTAAATTGAACTCTCCGTAAAATCACAAATTGTTCCTTGGAGCAGCTTTGAAAAGGAAAAATGCAATCAATACAGTTGCAGTTGCTTTGTGCGTGAACACGTGAAAAAATTGAGATATTCAAAATTAAAACTAAACTATTTTAGTATATAAGGCGCCTGGTAATATTATGAGCAGACGATAACCCCCGGTAGTCTGAGGTTATCAGTTCTACGACGCTAACCATTGACGCATTCACGCACCTTACTTATTAAATGTCTGAGATTTTAATAAAAGTAATGAAATTATAACAAATGTGGGCTTAAAGACTGACCACCTATCTCCTTAAATATGTATAATTTCACTTACAACTAAAGTACTGTCGTCTTCTGTCAAACTATGTTTACGCTGTGATTAATACTTTAGTTAAAACGGTGCAATTACTTAGTTTTGAAGAATGACCCCTCATGTTCACCCAAAACACAATCCATGGAAGTTTTAACTATAAAAATCAAAATAGATTTACTGAATGAGACTTACAAACACGTTACTAAACACGAGTAATTTTTAATATGCTTATGAAGTATGTCGAAGCTAAAAATACTTTTTTTTAACACACAATTTCGTCCTTAAAACAAGAGATACATTTAAAAAGTGTGCTGTCATTCTTCAGGAAATATAAAGGTATATGGAAAAATACGACGATATTTAAACAAAATTTGCTTTTTGAATTTCAACACCCTTCACATTAAAATAACCTTTAGATCAGGATGTACCATGATTTTTCTCTTGTACGTATATGAAGTGACGAAAACTTAACGCAATGCGACTTTCAATTTCTTGTAAGAAAAGGAGGAAAAGGAATGAAAGAAGGTCGTATCAAAACCTGATTTACATATTATTTCGAGTGTTAAGGTGTGATAATTTTATGATGTTATGCGATAAATTACACACACAACAACATAAGATATACATACATATATTCATGTCATCTTAATATTACAACTCGTCATGTCAACTTAATATTACAAGCCATAACCAGATTTGTATGTTTAAGGCACATGTTTGTACGGTTGATAGGGGGATATTTTAAACAATAGAAAAAGTACTTTATATTAACATCCACTCTTATAAAATAACTTTTTTATTATATGATAGGGGTCAAAATAAAAAGGCCAGTCATCGCAGCCTATGTACACCCATTTTAGTGGGTGCGTTGCCGGTCTTTGAGAGAGGAGTATGCTTTCTTTAAAAAAAATTGGCGTTGCTCCCAGGGAAGACCGTCACCAGGATCCGATTCTACAGTTCACTAGTTCGCTCGTCGCGCTCGTTCGTAGTAATAAAAATGCCTAGTGAAGCGAACCGTTCCCGCCATCATGCAGATAAAGTCTGGATTTAATTCGGTGTTGAAATGAGGCAGGAGGCCAAACAACTCTATAGAACACTCTCTAAAAAAATGTCATTGGCGCTACAACCTCTTAAGGTCTTGGCCTCAAAATTCTGAATCTGTTTCATGGTGATTTTTAAATCTAATAGGCAAGTAGGTGATCAGCCTCCAGTGCCTGACACACGCCGTCGACTTTTGTCTAAGACATATCGGTTTCCTCACGATGTTTTCCTTCCCCATTCGAGCAAATGTTAAATGCGCACATAGAAAGAAAGTCCATTGGTTCCAGTCCAAAACCGGGGATCGAACCTACGACCTCCGGTATGAGATTCGCACGCTGAAGCCACTAGGCCAACACTGCTGTCTATATAGTACACTTTGTAAAATACACATAGACACGCAATGGCTCTGCGTAGAGAGAAAGAATCAAGCCTTTCAGGAATACATTGGACATTGACAATTTGACAAGCTCTTCGCTGTATTTGGTCAAAAGGAAGATACTGGTATTTGGGAGCACCGGCCCAGAGAAGTGAGCAGTATTCCATATGAGGTCGTACTTGAGCCTTGTAGAGCTGTACGTTGAACCTCAGTAAAATGCTGCTAAGCGTTACGAAAAATTAAAAGTGACATACATTTCTGTTTAGACGACAGTAATAGTAATTATTCATTCTTAAATAGTAAACAAGTGTATATTTTGCTTATCACATGTACGCCGAGAATATAATAGAATCTTAATATATCAATATATGTCAAGGAAGAATGTAACCAAAAGCATGTATTATTAACCCATGACTTTGGGCTACATGAAACAAATTATATAGATTAGGAATTACATAATACGTAATACATTTAACTTATTGATATTCATTTGTTTTATCTCATGCAGATTTATAAGGTATAAAAATACATTTGATTTTAGTAGCGATTTAAAAGTCTGAACTAATATTAGTCTGGGCTTAAAATTGAAAACACTTTAATCGTCTTTACTACAACGTTGCTTAGAAGATTTTTAGATGTTCATTTGTTCTATATCTCATGCAGATTTATAAGGTATAAAAATACATTTGATTTTAGTAGCGATTTCAAAGTCTGAACTAATATTAGTCTGGGCTTAAATTTGAAAACACTTTAATCGTCTTTACTACAACGTGGCTTAGAAGATTTTTAGATGTTCATTTGTTCTATATCTCATGCAGATTTATAAGGTATAAAAATACATTTGATTTTAGTAGCGATTTAAAAGTCTGAACTAATATTAGTCTGGGCTTAAAATTGAAAACACTTTAATCGTCTTTACTACAACGTTGCTTAGAAGATATTTAGATGTTCATTTGTTCTATATCTCATGCAGATTTATAGGTATAAAAATACATTTGATTTTAGTAGGATTTAAAAGTCTGAACTAATATTAGTCTGGGCTTAAAATTGAAAACACTTTAATCGTCTTTACTACAAGTTGTTAGAAGATTTTTAGATATTCATTTGTTCTATATCTCATGAGATTTATAAGGTATAAAAACATTTGATTTTAGTAGGATTTAAAAGTCTGAACTAATATTAGTTGGGCTTAAAATTGAAAACACTTTAATCGTCTTTACTACAACGTTTCTTAGAAGATTTTTAGATGTTCATTTGTTCTATATCTCATGCAGATTTATAAGGTATAAAAATACATTTGATTTTAGTAGCGATTTAAAAGTCTGAACTAATATTAGTCTGGGCTTAAAATTGAAAACACTTTAATCGTATTTGCTACAACATTTTTGAACATTTTCAGATAATTATTTGTTCTATATCTCATACAGATTTACAGAAACAAAAATGGACTTGTAAAAATTGTCTAGATTTAAAATTGATAACATTTAAAAAAATAAACTCAATATTTTTGCTTAGTGTTTTCGCTTATTAAACTTGGATATTTTTTCTTTGACTCATAATAAGTAATGTTAAGTAATGACAAATATTCCGCATTTACCTATTTGTGTTTGTAAATTACATATTATGTTAATTAATATTTAAATGCATCTACAATTAGTTATAGTGGAGCTACAATAATATTTACCGATGGAGTCATGAGTAAAAAAGTCTATGTACTGAAGCAATTTATGTTTAAATTAAAAATGCGAAACATTTTTTAATAATATACTTAATACTTTACAACTAAACTAGTTACATATGGAAAAAATCTCTCTCTAAGGCTAAGTAAGGGCTCTCACCAACTTATATATATATATGATATTACTCATTAAAAAAAAATAGATTTCATATTCCAATGAAGTATTGCAGAACAATTTTTTTCAAGTGAATAAATGAAAAAAACACTTTATACAGGGTTATAGGGTTATATAAAATAACTGAAGTTTCCCTTTAGTTAGAAAGATACCTCTATAGAATATTATACGTACCTCCTGAGGGAAGAATGGCGCCTGCAACGCAACACAGATAGCATTACAAAAATCTGCAATCGAAATAACAATAATAGTGGACCACTGCCGCCTAGTGAATTGAAAACGCATTTCGAAATTTAAAAAATCACTATCATAACTCAAAAATATCACTTAAACACAAATGATTTTAATGAATACCCGGGCGTGTAAATTTTCTTGAGGCCATCAATTTACTGAGTGGACGAAGAGGGTAAGATCCAATTATCACATTAATTATTTGAACTTTTGACCGCTTTATCTAATTGAGCACTATACATTGCTCTTGTGCAAATAGTGTTTCTGATAATAGATTCACAAATCTATCGATGTACGGCAAACAATGTCATGAAAATAATGGCCGTTTACCGCTTGTTTCTAATTGTAACAAGGCAACAGATAATAATGATATTTTAAATGTTTTAACCTTTTTAATTGCTAAGTAATGTAAACAATTTGTGATTTATATCAAGTGTGAGAGTTCATTGACTGACTAATAGCCATTCTAAGACGTGTTATTACCTAATATATTTAAATTGAAAAATAAGTATTCATAATGAAATATATTGGGATTCATAACAATTGGTCATAAGCTTAATTAGATGCGTCTACAAACAAATTTCGTTAAAACTTAACTTATAATATAACTAGCTTAGCCATAGCAGATCACCTAATTGATCACTGAGACAAAAATGTATATGGTCCATGCCTAACGATTAGAAGGTAGTTAAAAAATACGCTGCGTATTTGAAGTGATTTAAGGAAATTTTTATTACTTTTTTACTTTAAAATATTCCTTGTATAAATAAAAGTAAGTTCGTACATATTTATTTATAACTGCCGCTGCTTATACATATTAATTATTTTTATTTAGACCCATGTATTATGTCTAAAAGTAATTCATACTAGTGAAAATCTTAATATACCACAAGATCACTTCAGCACGTGGAGTTTGTAAACAGCGTCTCATAAATGGCAGATTTGAGTGGGGAAACAGCTGAGGGATGACGAAAATCAGGCCCGAATAAAACAACATCCACGCTTTCACTTCAAACAATATGAAACGCGCACCTGCCCACCGGCCGACCGAATTGGCGCCTATTGCCCCTCAAACTTGACAGCTGTCGGACGCGGGAAATTAAAAAAAAAATAGAAAATATATTCTTAAAAAATTAAAAAATCATCTTAGAACGTTTTAAAATTGAATGTGTTCGACGCGTGTTCGATATTTAAAATAAAATGAAGATGGCTGAAAGTTGCGTTAAAATATTGTTTGTTCTGTGTTTGACTGTAATCTGTCACACTGGAGAAGCAGCGGATGAAATTATTACAACATTGCGTAAGTATCGCATTTTAATAATTATATTATTTTTAATAATTAACATATTATGTATTATTGCATCGATGGAACACGTTTGAAATGATATTGTATGTTAAATATGGCCTTGAATAAAGCCAGACATCTGCGTTCATCTCGGCGGTATCTTAAGTGTTGAAACTATCGTTTAGCAATGCTTCGAATTGTGATGAAAAGCGACCTTTGCCTTATTCCGTTTATATCTTATTATTATACAACGGTTACGACGGTCTTTTGTGAAATTTTTGCGACAATATTTTAATTCAGTCGCGTGAGCTAGACTTAATTTGACAAATAATAAATATTATTAAAGTTCACGGTCAAGTGGTGAATTTAAATCGCATTTTTATTAATGACTTCTATTAATAAATTTAAATTATATTCTTTATTTAAATAAGATTCAATCAATACAGACCACAACTATTAGTTGAAATTTCAGTATAACGAAAAGAATAGGTTTAATGATTTATGTCTTGGGTTTTATTCCCGGCGAAAACAATAATGTGTCTGACTGTTCAGAGGGTAACGAGATTTCATTTAGCACCAGTGCCCTTGAATGAAAGAAGTTTGTTCATACAAAAATTATTTACCTCAAAAATTAAACATGCGTGATAAATTGTAAAAGGAAGTATTATTGCGCATTCTACATAATCTCGTTCGAATGTTGCTCAAATCTTGCTAAATCTGAACTGAATAGTTTTGCATTTTCCATATGTTTTTGATATTATGTTGCTCACATATTATTATATATTTTTTGATATTACGTTGATAGGCACGAAACCGTAGTACGTTATGATTTTCTTGATACACATACCATATAAAAATAAAATATAGTAAATTGAGTTAATGAATACAAAGCAACGCGACCGGAAGCACAAATTTCCAAATATTCTATTTTGTAATGAAAATATTATCATAATTAGGATTTAGGCTTAAGTAATTTTCAACATTCCAAAGTATATTGAGCCCACCACTTCGCATGCGTTACCACAATTGTAAAAACATTCCAATTTCAACTTTATATTTTGCGTGATGTGCGTATAAACAAAGAACGAAGTTTTATTTTCAATTACCAGCCTGTGCCATTTTAAAACGTATTTCATAGATAATATTTTTTTATACGTCTAAATATTATGTCATACATAAAATATTAAATCTATATACAAATATGAATCAACAGATAGCCCTCAAAAGTAAACTGTCATTTATGCCATGGTCACTTTCGAGTGTCGAAATAAGCAATGTAAAATATACTTGTCTAGCACACAATGTTCGTTTGTATATAAAATGTATTTACTCTGTTGCTATAGTCTCTTTAATTCATAGAAATTATACGCCAAATATTATAATTTATAGGTGCTAATAATTCTAGTCTCTACATTAGTATAAAGTATGTTCATAGGAGAGCCGATGCATAGCTGTTTCAACTTTGAAACTTTGAAAGAATATAATTACGGCTTAATTACTATTGGTTCCATCGTTCTATATTACTTTAAAGTATTATAGAATTAAGATTAAACAAAATAAGTATGAAAGGCTGAAGAGCGAGCATTCTGCTATTGTGGGTGTCCATTCATACTATTATTTTTCTACTGTCCTATTTGTACTCTAAAGGCATGTCTTGTTTCGGCACTAGCTTGTTTTATGTAACTCGCGTGTCTGTAGTTAAAAACTGTATGCTATTTATTAGACCGTAATACTTTGAAATATCTTTATGATCACCTTAAACTCATTTGTCTTTGACCTCGTCTGAACGATCCAAATTTGTACATTACTGTAGGATCTAATCAATTGATAATGGCAACTTCCTGCAGAATTTTTGTCGTAATCAAAAATAAACGTAACTCAATTTTCTGGAATTGGAATTATTGAGATGGCATTCTTTGAATATTGTTTAATCTTTGTATAATTGAGATATTATGGAAGTCATAGACAGCTTTAAAATAAATTGTTGAATTTAAAAAATACTTATATGATTAAACGTAAATGTCAGCGTTTACCGGAATTAATGTTAACAGGTTGACATCTTCAAAATGAATGTCAAATACAAAATTAGCGATGACTGTCAACTGTCAACCATGAGGAAGTTATTGGATAAAAACTAATGATATAACAATAGGTTATTTCTATTCTCTGCCCTTGAATTTAGACCTGCCTTGAATATATTAAAATCTAGTTTTGGTAAGAGATGACTGCTACTAACCTTGCATCTCCTTTTGTATTGAACCATAAATTTTAATCGCATACGTGCAGCGAATTTTGCGCATGCGTACATTATGTATATGAATTCTTATTTTATATGCTTGGTTGACTATATATAATAAACTGATTATTCAGCTTCAATGATTTGATTTGAAATTAAATTTAGTTTCAGCAAAAACATAGATTAAACTAGAATAACAGTAGATAATTTAGTTTCTATGAGCCAATGGTGAAGCTGTGTGATAGTGAATCTTTCTTTTAATCATAATAGAGTTAAATATACTGTGTGACTGCTGACACTAGAGTTGTTGCCTTTCTCGGTTCAGCATCATATGCTGCCAGCAAAGTCTACACGGACATATCTTTATAATTTAGTTAGCTGTTAGCTTTACATTTATGTGTCTATTATTAATTTGAATTATTATTATACTATAAATGAGAGGAAAGAAGCAAAAGTGTATTAGAATCGTAACGGAGTGGCACCCACGTAGTGGGTAACGAAATAGAAGCAAACAGATAAGAAGATGGGAGGACGGTATAAAAAGGTAGCGGGTCCAATGTGGATTCGAACCACTAGAGAACGCCAAGCTAAAAATGAATAAATAACCGTATGTCGATACATATTACGTATAGATAGGAAATAATTATTATATTACTTTCGGCACATTTACTTTATATTTAGTATGTAAGCTAAACAGATTTATTAGCTTTTATTTTATTATATTATAATAATGATTTTATAACTACATATATGTTAAAACAAAAACAGTACAAAATAATAATCGGAAAATCTGACTATCAATTAAAAGGAATCCCCTATATAGCTCGTTCAGACTGCTTCGTGTCGGCATTACCAAATGAGCCTGTAATTTGACCAGCAGAACTGTCCCGCAATCCGCCGAGGCCTTGACACCGCGTTGCGTCAGTTTGCGAAACGCATTGGTAGTAGCCTTATGTTCGATATATCGGACATTCGAGGCGTGCGTTGTCTAATCTCTGAGAAACAAAAGGAAAAAGCTGTCGACAAGAGCAGGACTAACCTAGAGCTAGATTTGTTTTATTTTACCTATTTCACCGCTTATTATTTTTTCTAGAAACTTAAGACAACAAAATCCTACTTATGAGTTGATATTCATACGAAATCTACTTATAAATATGTTTTTTTAATACTATATTAAGTATTTATATTATAAGCCTAAATTTGTTGTGTTCTGTTTTATTGAGACTTCTGGAATTTTCCACAACTTTATTTTTCGATGGAAACAAAAAAATACTTCTACTGAACAGTGCAGTAAACAGTACAAATAATAAATTATTAATTAATTTTTAAAACACAATTAAAATAAGTATAGGTATCTTGATTCAACTCTTAATAAAAATTATATATAAAACATCTACGTTCTAAATATTACAATTATTGTTTCTTTATCATGAATACAGGCAAAAGTGTGGTTAAAAATAGAACTGTTGTTTAAGGAAAAACATCGTTCAAAGTAGTTCGACTTAAATTGTTTACAACTGATGAATACTAAATATAGCGTTGACAATTTATCATTTTTAATCTATGCAATATTTTATTCAAGAAGTGACGTATGTCACAACTGATGGTAACTTATAACTTAGTAAATTAAGCTTAGTTAAGTCATTTGAATTAATTATTTATACTATTCACAATGATATACATTTTTTAATATGAATTGTTAGTTAAAATCAAACGAGGAAAATATTAAGTTTAAACTTTAACTATACACTGACATTATGTTGCACTGTTAGTGTCTCCTTTTTCACTTCTGCCCAAGAAGGTTGAATATATTAAGTAACTTATACAGATTATATATTGAGACATAAAAATTTGTATTGTACTAAGTGCTTAATATAAGAAATATATTAATCGTCTTTAGCACAGGCCAATTTCAAACAAAATCATTATTACTTTAGAGGAAATCGAATCACCTATATATTTAAAAAGGTATTCGTGAACATCGTGCTAGTGAAGGCGTATTATTTACACTATATATTTAATCTGTATATTGCACAGACTATGTAATTAAACAATGGTCTTTGGTATTATGATATAACATTTCGCGATATTATCTTTACGAGAAAGCTAACATACTTCTCATAATTATTATATGTTATTATTTATTTCATATTCAAGATTATGTGTGATAAGAGATTTTACACAATTTCAAAACTTTAATATTAGGTTGTATACAACGAAGTGCCGCGACTTTGTCTCTATAAATACTAATAGAAACACGTTAAGGTTTTCTTTTAATTAATATATATTACTAGCAGACTCGGCCAAACGTTGTTATGGCTAAGGTTTTATAAGGTTTTATATTACATAGTGGTAAACTAATCAAGGGAAACGGTAGGAGAACACCAGTCATGGGGACCACCATCCTTATTGGTTGCTATGCCATTAAATTGTAGCTAACAGTTTACTTTCAACTCAGCGCCATCTGTTAGAATTGTGACTATCAATTAATAAACAAATATTTTGCAATAAAATAATAGTGCGGGTATAAATTGAGATGTAAGCTATCCTATCTTTTAAGTTGGATCAAACTACACACGGTGTGCAAATTTAATTGAAATCGGTTCGGTAGTTTAGGAGTCCATAGCGGACGAACAACGTGACACGTAATTTATATATATTAAGATATAAATAATATCGTATTGAATGATAATCAAAAAAATACGAGGCACATTTATAGCTAAAGAACATGATTAAAACGATACTAACGTAACGAATGTCGTTGAGAATCATTTCATAATGCATATACATGTATAATATGCTTTTCTCAATTCGTTATTACTGAAACTGCCTATTTCTACAAATATACGTGGCTTATAATTTCTACTATTTGAAGAGTTCATTCATTTGAATTGATAATGTAAACTAATAAATTAAATAAATAAGAATATTGTTATTTTTTTTATAGTAAATAATAGTAATGTAGAAATATAAATAAAAGAGTAATAATAGAAATTAATTTTTATAACCTACTTGTTGTCTAAAAATAATTTAGGAAAACAGATTAGGATATCTAAAAAATAAAAAAATAAAATATGTTTATTATGGAACAAGATACAGGTATCACTTATTCCACGTCATTAAATTTGATAGGCATCCCTACTCATCGGCAAAGAAGACAGAGGGTGTAGGCCGAGAGAAAAAGCCGGCGTAAAAAACTCTGGGTACTCTTTTAAAATAGCAAATCATCAAACAACACTATTTTAAAACAAATATCGCAAATTAATTAGAAGTAGCCTGTCTAGCACTAGTTCCAGGCCCTTTTATCAACTAGATAATCGTTAACTTTAAAGTAAGCCTTTTTACATAGCTCTTCTTTAATACATTTCTTAAATTTATTAAAAGGCAGAGATAAAAGAGCCTCTGGGATTTTATTAAAGAAGAGTATCTCTTTTCCCAAAAAAATAAATACTAACTTTAGATAGTCTAGTACGGGGAAATTGCAGCCTGCGTTTGTTCCGTGTATTAACATTGTGCGTCTAGTAAACTTATCACTATTTTTGTATACATACATAATATTTTCATAAATATATTGCGAGGGAAAGGTAAGTATATTAATTAAGCTCAAGATCCATAAAGGATGGCAGTGCTACCGGATTATAATAAAAAAAACCCCTCAAGAGAGTAATTTATAATGGTTAGCGCACTAAAACTAATTAGTATTTTGTAAACTTAACATTTTTGCCAATTCGAAAAAGTAGGTTTATAGGTTGTCATTTTGTTGATTACATAATATAACTGACCTTGTGCAAGAGCTGTGAAACGCCGTTCAAGTTCAAGTTATAGCTTAAATATATTTCGTTTATTCAGTATTTAATTAACCAAAAGCGATATATTTACTTATTTAATTACTGACCTTTGAATAAACAAGGCTTTGACTTTAAGGTAAGCTAGATTTTTTTCTGTTTTATTTACACTTAATATAAACATAATTCCAATAGCCGTGCAATTAAATTAATACCAAAAGATACATTAGCACAATTTTCTTATTCATATTATCAATACGATATTAGTTACTGACGTCATTCAGTGATGCCTACTCCTGCAGAATGTTCCACCTAGGACGTCAAATACCCTAAATATCGATAAAAAACACCTAAGGATTCTTTTTGTATACTCGGTTTGAGAGGTAATTTCAAATATGCATCAAAAAGATCATTGAATATAGAATAGTATCAAATTTCGATCTTGGAGTAGTATAGCTTTTTGATAATTCAGTTATAGTTTCGTCTTTCATATTTTTATTCGGTTATTAGGTAGTATGTTGTTTTTTTTAGAAAAAAAAAATGATTATTTGAATAAAGTACACCATAAAATGCCTCTTAATAAATGTACCTCTAAACTTTGGACATCCTGATTCCCCCTAAATTTTTGGGGAAACCCTGAAACCTGGGTTCGCTTGCCATTCATTTTTACCTAAGTATATCTTGCGCGTTTAGGTTTTGCGAGGGAAATTAGCGCAAGCGTTACATTAATTATTTCTTTCTACTTCGTTTGATTGTTTCGATTCGTATTACTTCTGTTTTCCAATACTGTATTACAAATAATTATTATAAACAATAGTGATATTATATATCCGGTTAATTTATACTGCTAATTAAATAAATAAATTTACGAATTTCAACATAATGACTTTAAATGGCTTTCTGCTTTCTAGATAATAAACAATTTATGAAGCATTAATTCAATATTTATTTCGATTCTTTTTTAGATTTAAACTCGTTTTTCTACCTAGTTAAAATCTTATTATTAGAAATTTCAGAAATAATTAACGTTCAAATAGTTTAAACATAAGCTTTTCTAAATATTAACGTCATTCTCACATCGAGAATATAGTTATAGCTCCAATAAAATATATAATTTAAGATTTTTTTCAATACACGAAATTCCCGCTTTTCACTGTAGGTCACAATAGCAGATCACCTTGTCACACTGACCGCTTGTCATGTGATCAGTTACATAACATGACATGCTTTTGCTTTATATACAAAATACTTATCGGAAAACATTACTTCTTATTCAAATAATAAAATAAATTTGATAAAAATGTTCACGTTCTTCAATATGCTTTCATTGCAACGTAATTTTGACTAATTGGCTCATTTTGTGAAAATATTCCCATTGTAAATTTTAAGATTTAGATACATATTTCGTAATTGCCTGAAAGTTCACTTATTAGTAGTAGAAATGAAGCGTTATCAAGCAGATAAAAATCATAAAATTTTGTTGACATTCTTATTCTTACAAAACATTCTTACATTAAACAGATAGTGGAGAGATCTCGTTTACCAATACATATATTACGTAAATTCGTAGATTTTAATGACAACTTTGATATACAGAGAAGTGGATCGGTCTTTGAGAGTTTTAATCCCAGCTCGATTCGTTAACCAGCAGAGTATTACTAACCTTTTTTCTCCTTTTCAGCGGAATATCTATTACCATGCAGCCGAAGCGATCCAGAATTAGACAACTGCATCAAAAGGTCTTTTAACCACCTACGTCCATATCTCGCAAGAGGCTTAACAGATCTTGATGTACCACCGGTAGAACCTCTGCTCATAGACAGGCTGGTGATGGAAAATTCGGCTGGACCAGTTCGAGTAACCGCTACCTTCAGTAACATTACTGTGATCGGGCCAAGTAATTACACAGTTACCAAAATAAGGTTAGTATTTCTTATTAAAGGCATAGAAGGCTGACCAACTTGTCGTTAAGAAAAAAAGATACACAAATCTGAGATCTTAAAAGGTTCTATCGCCACTAAATTTCTATTTCAAAATAAATAATTTATGAAGGGAAAAAAACATCAAAATCATTTATTCATACTTATGAACGACAAAAAAGAAATATTTATTAAATGCTTCTTATTTTACATTTACTGCCAGTTCTCAAATCAAGGGAGTGGAACGGAAGAGAAGAACTGGCGATAAACTCTCCGCCACTCTTTTTAATGTCATTTGTTTTACACAATGTTTGTAAGCTGCAACCATTACACCATGTTCCACATTCCACATGGGCTACACTTCGTCTTTGTCTAGTGTAGTGTGTTGTGTGGTGTCAATTTCGTACTGAGACGCTCATTAGATCCGTTGTGCGTAAAGTCCTGGCTAATTAAGCCAGCCTAGCTCCTTCCAGAATCTCAGCAGTTTCCTGGGCACTTCGCAGGATTCACGGAGCTTTGACTTGCTGCCTCCACACTGCTCTATCCACCGCTTGACTCAGAGATATTAGTATCCGTAATATAAAACTGCGTGTTCCTTAATGTTTTAGAGACCACACAATGCGTTTGTAAAAAAAATGTGTTGCAACACAATGTACCCGCGTATAATAACCACAATTAGTTGTTTTCAAATGTATGTCAAGACAAAACTAAATTGGGGATCATTATTTTTATTAAAACTTCAATGTTGACCACGTTAATGGTTTTTGTTTCTTGGGAACGGAAGTACCTACTCGTTTGTTTAATTTGTATCGTATTATTGCAACAATTTTCATAAGTCATATCAAATGGAAGAGACCAGCTGCCCACGACACGGTAAATCCTAGTGTTCTTGTGCACTTTTCAATACATACTTTTTTGTCTTGAGTGTAATAAAGATTTTTCTTTCTTTTTCTTTTCTTTTCTACAATTTACATCGTAGAACAATGTCACTACGAAACTAATTAAATGAATCACATATTTTCGTATTAACAATATATCTATAAAGTATGTGGTGAAATGTTCTACATTTTTTAATGCTATTGTAATTTCTATATGCTATGGTAGAAGAAAAAGAAGAAAAATCTTTATTTTTGGATTACAATTTCATTCCGCGCAGTATTCAAAAATTGTTTAACATTTACTACGCGTACTACGTAAGTCTATAAAATGATTTCACTCGCCTGTAACCAAAACTTATTATGCTCTGAATTTTAACCCAGGAATGAACATGTTCAAACAAACTCCGGAAAAGATCCAGGTCTACCGCGTGAATTATTTTTTGTATATATATCGCATACGTATCTTGGGTAGAATTAACAAATTTGCATAATAACTAAACAATTGTTTTCAGATCTGACTTAAAGAAGTTACGCATAGACCTGGGACTTGTTCTACCTCGCATCGAAGTGACTGGCCGCTACGAAGTTACCGGCCAAGTTCTACTGTTTCCTGTTCGCTCCCAGGGTGACTTTTGGGCGTCATTCAGTAAGTCTTACATACTTTACTTCTTTGTACATTAAGGAGCAACACATACCCGTAGAAATTATGCATAAAATGCGTTCGTAGTGATGGTTTCTCGTTTAAAAAGTTCTCGCTTAAAACTCTTGTTTACTACAAGAATCTTGTAAGCTTCATCGGTATGATTGATGTTAAGAGAACCAGCGTTTCCTTATCACTGGAGCTTTTTGAATGACGCCGTTAATTATCTATATTTTTAAAGATAAAAACAAGTGCTGTTCAATAAAGTTATATATTATTATTCACTGGGTGTTATATTAAATATCAGTTATACTTGTGTGTTTTAATATAACATTTGAAATACACATTAAAAATAATCTTGTTAAATCACTAAATATCGTATGTAATTTTATTTCATAAATTGGTATTGCACTCCTTTTCAGAATGCGGAAATTTCGTACTCGTAAGGAAGGAGACCTTGTGTTTTATATTTTAAAAAATTACGATAAAAATCTGTTAATATAAAAAACTTCACATATTTATTTTATAAAACTTTATTATCATACCTACAGATTACATCACCTTCTCATTCTGAAAAAATAGCTGATGTATTATGATGTCTAGATCTAAAACAAATTACAATACTGTTAACATATATATATGTCTAATACTAATTCGCTATACGTTACAGCTGACGTTGCTGCTATAGTGAAGATCTTTGGCAAGGAGTTTCTTCGCCAAGACACTAAGTACATGACGGCCGATCGAATGCTGGTAGACTTCAAACTCCGGGGCTCCAGATTCAAAGTCCGGGATACTGTCAACTATGGCAGTGTTATTGGTACATATTTTTATTATTTCAAAACTTGACTTTATCTGTAACAATATGTTAATATACATTGCAATTGATTAGTACCAAATATATATAATATATATGCACCGTTCCGTGGGGTTATTTTGAACTAAACTGAAGAAAGAATATAGAAAAAATAATTTAATTATTCTATTATGATAATTATTCTAGACTACTACAAATAAAATTATGTTAAACCAGTAGAGTTTCTTGATCTTGGTTGCTAGAACTCATTTTTGAACAACAGCTCGTAAACGCAGTTTTACACCAACTTAAACAGAATTTTACAAACAACGTTAAAATTTGTAAAGTAAAATGTAATTTCGGGAAAAGTTTATTTATTTACACTACGTTATTAAAAAAGGTAACATAATATTGTCTTTTATTGACATAACTTTCACACATTTAATAATAAAACATTTTTTACCGGTAAAACATATAAGTTATGAGACAACGGGCGGCCTTATCGCTAAAAAGCGATTTCTTAGATAGTTTTACTTCAAGCTTAAATTATGTGTTTACTTCAAGCTTAAAAAATTCTCTAACCTGTTAAAACATCTCAATTTCCAGGTGAAGCAATGAACCAGTTCTTGAACAACAATGCAGCTGAAATCATCGATGAAATGCGTCCAGCTGCTTCAGCGGCAATCGGCAAGCACTTCAAGGTGTTCCTTAATGCAGCTTTTGAGAAAATTCCAGTCGACCTCTGGTTGACACCCTAATACTGTGGTGAGATTGTTATTAGCTATAACTATTTTATAGGTAATGTGCGTGTATTTTTTCACTATAAAGAAATGCGTAGTTAAAAATATTTAAACTGACTTGTCACAGACTAAGAAGCGAACTAGAAATGTAAGACGTCAAAGGTAAAAACAAACATTCATTCAATATTTAAGTGTATGGAACTACTACTACTTCCAAATAGTAAGAACAGAATTGAATTGATTATGTTAAAATTTTACTAAAAGCAATAAAAAAATATTGAATAATCTAATTAGAATGTGTTGTAATTTGATAATTTAATTGTATTCAACATTACAATATCTTTTCAAATTGATGAAAAAGAAATAATTTCTGCTACTCAAATTTAAATAGAATCGAATCAGTATCTTTTCTACTTTTCAGATTTTTTATGTCGAATTAAATTATTTTTAATTTTCGAATATACAAAATAATGTTAGTACAAGACAACAAATGTATATTTTTTTAGTAAAAATAAATAGTGTTAAAATATCGAAAGGGACTGATTGTTAACAATAACACAGTTAACAGAACAGTATGGACTTAATAAATCTGTTCTATATTTGAATTGATGTTTGACCTGAGATTTCAATGTCGTGTAATAAAATAGTATGTATACTCGTACAACGAAAATACCCCACTGTATTTTGGACTTAGTAAGTCGTATTATTTATTTAATAATAAGTCGTGATTGTAATTTTTAGATAGATAAGTGACGAATGTGATTATAATAAAAGTATTGTATTAACCATATTTAATTTCAACTTTTATTCAATATTATTAAAATCAATATTTTACGATCCGTTCGTATTGGGATGTAATAAAAAGGCCGCAATATTTCTTAATATTTGACATGCAAATAGATTTCATTAACATGTTATAAATTATTATGTCAAATATATAATGTTTGACATAATAACTTATTTTAAGAGACTAGGATATACGTTTAAAATATCGTCATAATCATAAATCGTATATTATCAAATGTGCTCGAATTATAGTACCCTCATGTTCACAAATATTTGATTTGAATGAACTTGTTTAAACTCAAGACTAGAGAGAAATGGGCGGGAATTATGATAATTGTTCTTTTTTGACACATAACCCACATGACCCTGCTTATGTATCCTAATCGTGGAAGTCTTGAGGTTTCCAATCGCTTGATAGCGCGTATAGGAATAAAAATCTAATCTGTTTTGCAAGGGTTCGAAGACACGTTCATAGGGTTGGACGCACCGACTTCAACCAAAATTCTTTAGTTTTGTAATTAGTAGAATATGGTTTTTAAGTAACATAATTTCGCGATGGTATAGTATTACTTCTCGCGTCCAATGTGACTTACCCAACAGAACTTTCGCCATCTAATCTCGTAATAAACTCATTTACAACGTATAATTTTACGACCAAGGTATGTAGTAATCGTGTAAAGTAAACAAAATGTATTTTAAAGGGATTGGTTAAGGTTGGTGTCTTATTCAAACTTTTTGAATTTTGAGGATGAGTCCTTTTGCGACATAATATTTTTGTGCATGTGCAAGATGTCATCTTCTATAAATATGATCTATGTATACCGCATTTTAAGTCTCTTTACAATTCAGTGGTCTGCCAAGGTATTCATTTCCCTTTCATTTTTATTATTTTTCGGAAATTATCGAATTTCCGAAAATTACTGCAAGCGTTTTTGGCGATATAAATTAGAGGCCATAAATTTGGTAAAGTGGACCAAACCTACTTGGTTATATTCTGGCTGAGTTCACAAAGGCCAGTGCTAGGCTTAGTAGTCCATTGAAAAGTTACATTTGGGGTTGCGTTTTTTAGAGGACGCAATTTTATTTATGGAACATGTTACTGTGCGGCTTGTACCGGCGATCTTGGATAAAGGGGTCCAAAACCACGTTTTTGGCTATATCTCCTAAACTATCAATTACATAAAACTTAAAAACACATTTTTAGCAAATTGTGACGATTATGTCTATATAACTTTTATCATAAATCCAAAATTCAAAAGTTATAAGTAAAAAGAAAATATTTCCTATTTCTAAAGTTGACTAGGTGGTAATCATGACAAGCCGATCAAAAAGATTTTACCTTACTTTTAAGATCTCTGTTTATTTTAAACAAATTTTCTAAATCATTTTTTAATTTTTTTATTCCTACAATTTTATTATTGGTATTTAGTAGGCCTATTCACAGAAACTTGCTGATATGTAATTTCGACATAATTAAAGAGACGACATAAAGAGACATAATGTAGACACAGGATTTCTAAAAATGTTATGTCATGGATATTTAGAGATATAGCCAAAAACTTGGTTTTGACCCTTTTGAGGGGGGGACAAGAGCAACCCACAACTTGAGGTTGGTTTTTTTTAACGGCCCTACATTCCCATAAATAAATCTCTAACAAATGTTAAGTTTGGCCCTCAAATTGTAACATTTCAATGGACTCCTTCTGGGTAAAGCGCACGTTGGTACGCAGGGAACGAGAGGGCGGACACGTTAGAAAAGAAGCGGCGGAAAGACTAAGGTCAAAACCTGAATACGCCGCATACCCCTGTCATATGTAAAACATCAGATAAGGCAAAAACTCTAGATGTATGGAATGAACGCTACCTGGGGGTGAAACAGCTGGAACTACAAAATTATTCATCGCAAATGTTAGAACTGCGTACAAATTAATAAAAGAGAAGCGTTTCACACCCCGGATGGCGCAAATTTAAGGGAGGAGCCTTTGCACATTACCTTCATAGGTTTAAAATTAGGACAAGAGCATTGACTGCGGCGATGAAGAACAAACAGTAGAACATGTGCTCCTACATTGCCCTATATTATCTAGACGACCTGGAGCAAAATGAGATGACTAGACCGTAAGGCCTACAGGACATTTAATAAAGCAAGATTGCTGGAACGGTACTGCGACAAAATTTGGAATATATAAAGGCGGAAACAAAACCCCAAAACGGGTCTGCGAGAATTGTCCGGTGCCCATGAATATTGTAAACAAAAATATTAAGATGTAGGGGGTCTTTGGAGACTGATTGAAAGTATAACAATGGAGGGAGTAGAAAAAGTGATATATTATAAAAAAAAAAAAAAAAAACATTTAATGGACTATAAGTTAAAACCTTAGCTATTAACTTAATGAAAAATGATGCAAATAAAAGTTGTTCCAAAAACTATCTACAAAAATATATTATTTTTCGTAAAATGATTTAAAAAAATTATATGGAAAAATATAAATTTTTTTCTCAATTTTGAAATTTTTTATACTTTTTATTTATAGTTTAACATAAAATTATGATAAATTTAAGAATTTAATTGAACAAAAAATTAACAATTTTTTTTATCAAATAAATATTTAAGAGATATATCATAAAACCTTTCAACCACTATTTTGGTTATTATGGGTGGGAAAGGTGACAAAACTTGTTTTATTAACCCCCTACACATCAAAAAATAAAATTTTTAAAAAGAAGGTTAGTAAAAATTAAATTTAATGATATAGATAACATAATGAAACTGATCTTAAACAATAAACATGTTAATATCGATTTAATAAATAAAGAATAAATTAAAATTTTATTGTGATAAAAATATGTCATTGGCGTACAGAGTTGCGAAGGCATGATCTGCCAAAGGCTTTAGGAAGTCACGTAGAGCCTCTTCTATTGGGGCCTGAAAATCTCCAGACATACTCTGCCAGTTTTCATTAACGAAATTGTTCATTGTTTTACCTGAAAATTAAAATATTGTGAAGTGTTACATGTGATGTGATTTGATTCTCCGTTGGTTGCGAAAATGATGTAATGGCAGGCCAGGCTTCAAGCCAAGGGAATTGCCATTAACAAAAAGTGAAATATAGGTACTATATACGCCGGAGTCTATTTCTTGCTCGACCACACCGAAGCCTGGTGAGCGTGCCTCAGGATCAGTACGTTGACGTCGACAACTTAGGATCTTTATGGGTTTGGTATAATAGGGCTCCTTTTTTAAAAGAATATACCTATTTACTAAAAAGAATTATGATTGTAGTCTAGAATTAAATATACCACCTTGCCTCCTCCTTGTATTTAAAGTGTAAATTCTTTATAACGTCATTCACTACAGCGAAAAATTTTCTATAACGTAAAATGAGTTAAATTTATTTGGTTTAACACAAAACCCATTCATTAATTCACTCTTTATAACTCATCAGAAATTCTCTAATACGAAGAAATATTTTCATATTTAGACATCAACAACATACCTAAGTGTAATTGTTTTTATAATCAGCATACAAAAGTAACCTATAGAGGTACCGAAATAACTAAGACACCTAAGGTCATATACAGCCTTCTCGCCTTAGTTATTGTTAATTGTATTAACTCGTGTGCCATTATTCTTAGATTACATTGCCTGTAGGAAATTTTGGTCTCAGTTATTAAACGCAACATCGTCACCTATCTATTATATACATGAAAAATATTGTAAGTGGTTAAATTTGTTTTTTTGCTCATCCGTCCGTATAACGAAAACTCTCTATAACGAAAAAAAAATACTTGGTCCCTTGAAATTCGTTAGAAAGAGTTTACACTGTATTATTACGTTAAAATGAGATGTATGGAAAGAAAACATATTATGTGTCTCTTCGAAGCCAATTAAATTTTCCGCTGAAAATCGTCCATATCGTATTTTATGTAGTAATCATAATTGTCCATGTTACACCGAATGAAAATGCTTACTTAAATCTTTATCATCACCAAATAAGTTCTCCAGATCCATTGTTACTTGTCCAGCCTGGAAATTTACATCAAGTTTTTCACAGGATAAAGTGTCTAGACCATTAAATACTTTGCTTCTACCTAATGTTATAGTAACTGTTGCATTTATATCACCTGAAAAAGATATTACATCTTAAAAAGCAGAAGAACCTTTAGTGTAGATAAGGTTCTATGTTGTTTTGCTTTATTTTCTTTTTAAGAATATTTGAAGAAGGGAAATCGAACCCAGGTACTCCGTGTTATACACTAACCAAGCACAAACTTGTTCATAGAGGCCAGTCTGAATATATATTTTCAAAAGTAAATTTTGTTACAGGATGCGCTTATCGTTGGTTCTTGTAAATAGGCATGAATAAAATAATATCATTAAACAAAATACGATAAACTGATACGTGTAAAAGAAAGAAAATAACAAGATAATAATTTTCACTTTGTCTAAAACATTTAAGACCTGTTTCTTAGTTCGTTATTCATATCGAAATGTCATGAAAATATGCTTACGATATTTAGAGGTGAAGTCTCCATTTGCTTCCACTGGTATCATCAGAAGGGTTCCTTTCAATGTGTATTGTCCTTTCATCCTCAACTCTGGAATATATAGTCTGGCAACTATCTCATGATCCTTGGCATGGATGCTACAAAATCGAAAACCTTTCATTTAGATAATATCTCGCAGTTTAATAAACATAATTTCCGATTATAATTAATGTAGGTACTGGTATTATATAAAATGTATTATCAAACTTGTACTAGTTCTAAAATAAATAAAACAGACATACTTGAATTTATTAAGGCGTATATGATGATTATAGAACCATTAATCTTTTTATCAGTTTTACTTTAATTTGTTTTATAAATAATACGATAACATATTATTTTTATAGGAAACCGATAGTTTGTTAGCAAAGAGGTGTTCACTATTCATAAGTGTCTTTGCATATTTTAGTAGTAGATTTTGCTGGAATGGCGAATGTTGAATGTACGCATTCTTTAATAATCGGACTAATTATAGCGACACCTACATTATGTAATATAAACAAGAACGTCGACGTACGATTGGAGGAGCAGTACACCATACCTCCACAGAATACATGACAACAAGGAAGGACTATAACCTAACCTAAATATAGAAGAGGAAAATGTCGTAACTTACTCAATACTTTTTACCCGCATAGTGGAAGGCCCTCTCACATAAACATCTGAGAAGGAGGAGGTTACAGATAGAGGTCCAGTCGTCTGCTTGACCGAGAGAGACCGAATTAGGAGTGGTTCACATGATGGTATATCTAATTTAGGTATACCTAAATAGGAAATAATTGCAAATTAGGACAAAATATATAATCATATTCGAGGTACACATATGTAGATGTTTTATTTCTGTTTAGCTATAATATGATTGAAACAGATATTGAAACGTATCATTCCCGTGGCCCATTAAACTACTGAAATAAGGAACAACTAGCACAGTGTTATGGGTTTTTGATCAGTAGCAAAAATGTACCCCTAAAAGCCTAAGAAAATACTCTAAGAAAGAAATGAGCTATTAAAAACAACAACTATTTTCCAATTCGAATTTGTAGTTCCTGATATTAGCGAGTTTATCCAAACAAACTTAGCTTTATATTATACGTGACATCAAAGCTAGTCATGGCATAAACATTTATTAACATAAATAATTCACATATTCGGAAGATGACAAAATATTACCTGCGGCAAGTTGTGGAATGTATGTATTTAATGCATCCTTCAGACATTTTCCAAGAGCCTTTTCTTCACGGGGACAAATGAACCCACCAACTATATTACAAATTATTTTTGATTTGATTATTGTATACACTTGTTTAAAAAGATTATAATCGCAAATCTATCAAGTAATTAATAAAAATTTATAATGATGGTCATTTAATCAAAATATAATCATCTGACTAACTGAGAGTTTATGTAAATCACAACGGAAAAAGTGTTTTAACTAAGTGGGGAAGATTCATGATTATTTTTCGAATATACATTCTTACGAGATATAGGGGTATGAATCTCTGATCAAATGATTCTGAAACTTTAAGTTTCCTCTTTAAATCTTTTTTTTACATTTATGAATCAAATTATAGTTAGAATAAAACTTGGTATTTTCCAATTTTAACCCTTTCGTTTTAAAAATGTAAATAAATAAAACTTACAATTTATATAACTTTTTTCATGACACAACACAACACTCATTAAACTAAAAATTATAACCATAGACGACCGCATCGTGTACTTCAATAAGGAAAGTATAATTCAGTATATAATATAATTAAAGTTTATCTTTTAGAAAACGTGATGATAGGGTAGAAATTGATTACAGTCAGTTTTAATCTCACGTTTTTGATTGAGATAAAATATGGAAATGTTTTTACAAAATTTCCTTACAACATTCAAACAAATTTCCTATATTTTCTATAAAAATGCGTTTATAGTATTTATAGGTTTATAAATATTTTTTAGTACATGATGAAGTCCCTAACCACTGGGCTGCATGATGAAGTCTCTCTAAACTCATTTCCGAATCTGTTATGTTCACATTTCTTAAAGGAATAACTGACGCAGTATTATTGTTTTATTAGGAATCAAATTCAGGACCACTGTCATCTAGACCCATGAAATTTTACCACATATAAAATATCTACCAACCCAAAACTTTTATTAAAATAAAAATGATTAAATGAAATAAAAAAAGCTACCAAATTGTCTACTTAAATTAAAACAACAGTTTTGGTAGTATATAGCTTTTTGTAGCAAACACATTTGTGGTTATGAAACTTGAATTTAGTGGATTTTATTGCACGTTAGTTATTTAATTGTAGGTTTTATTAAAGTTAACTGAATCAACAAGCAAATATTCGAAGTGCAATGTTGTAATGGTGACGTAAGTTTTAGTAGGTTAGTGACCGCAAGCGACTCGCTGACATACTTTTATTTAGTACAAGTATACGAACGGCTTCTTTAACGCATTGGCTAACATTTGTTTAGTGAACTAATATTAATAAAGTCATTGGACATTTAATTTCTATCTAGCACTAGTAAAACTGTTTTTAGATCTTAAGAAATTTAGGGCTTATGCTATGCCTTAGCGCATGTAATTAGATTGCATCTTTTCTTTGATAATTTCCTCATATAGACCCGTCTTCTGTAGCTGACTATGCCAATTAAAGGCACACATTGAATGTAAAATCAATCCAGATTTGAACCTAAAACCTGATAGCCGCAGGAGCACATCCTCAAACCAGGATACAAATACCGATGTTATTTCAGTGAGAACAAGTTCATACGATTTTCTAGAGCAATGAAAACTTTAGCGTCGTTTGGCAAAATAAAATGTATTTTATCCGAATTCTGTGGCGTAAAAGTAAAACATAAAGGAACAATATAAATAATTTAATATAAAGCCTTTAACAATCTACGACTGTTCAAACTTAATCTAACTATAATCTATATAATAAATTAAATCACACCCACCATCCAATTTCGTAATTTTAAAATTTGAATTGAGACCAACCTTCTGCGCTACTGATAACACCAATTCCATTTCTTAATAACTATACATAATACAATTGCACAGATAATAAAAGAGACAACACAGAAGGACAGAAACAAATGGCACTAAGCCGGGAACACCATGTTCGGGGGCACATGTTTGAGGAACTTATTCGCTATGTCTTCGAGGACCATTGCAAGTGCAGTTTCAACGGCTGGCTGTACTTCCTTTGTAAGTTCATTCGCGTGCATGTGGACGATGTGTTTAGTTACCATTTCTGAAAATTTACATATTAGCTACAGTTCGCGATACAAAGAGTATATTATTATCAAAAACCGTGATCAAATAAGCGGCCTTAATCCTTCTGCGGGGAGTGAAACATTTTCATGATGTAATGTAACATATATAGCAATGGAATATATTTTCAGAGCAGCCTTGCGATTCTGTAACTCACTTTTCGAACTCTCACAGCGGTTCTCACAGCGGCGGTGGCGCTCAAATCAGTCGTGAAGAAGCCATTTTACGATATGGCATTCTGATAAGGAGGGAGCTTGTAGTTTATTGTTTATCAGAATGCCTAATAGTATAATGACTGCCTTACGACTGATTTGAGCGAGACCGCCGCTGTGAAAACCGCTGTGTGAGTTCGAAAAGTGAGTTACAGAATCGCAAGGCTGCTTTGGTCTAGTGCAGTGATTCCCAAAGTGGTCTATATCGACCCCTAGGGGTCTATGACAACCTGCAAGGGGTCTACGTCAGCGACAAAAAAATTTGGGGGTCCATGAAATGAAAATGGGGGTCCACGATAGTGGATCTCAACACATACACTGATAGTACCTATTTACTTACATTATACTATCTTATAATCAAAACATATACATTATATTGACTTATTGCTTATGTTATTTTATTTATAGTTTATTTTATGTTTATTTAATGCTAAGTATATTTTACATAAAGATACAAAATTTTATTTTCAGTAGTTTTAATTTAAATTCAATTAATAAATGTATAAATTAACACATGTTTTTACTTTAAGTTTTTAACACTAAACTGTAATACAGTTAGAAATTTTCAGGAAATCAATATCAGGTAAGTAGGGGGTCTACCCAACACGGAAAAACATGGGAAGGGGTCTACGACACAAAAAAGTTTGGGGAACTCTGGTCTAGTGTCTTAGCGTGCCACTATCAGTATGGGATTATGGCGCCACTGAAATGTATTAATTATTTGGATGAAATATAACTTTTGTAATTTACCCATTTCGCCAGTTGTAGAATGTGCTTCTTTTAAACTGGCATCTAGAGGTCCCATGCATCGTAGCTTTACATTTGCGTCTTTAATCACGATTCTCTTATGGACCTTCGCTCCGAGTGCTTCCAGAGCTGCTGAGCATTGTGCTAAAAAATTAAATTCAAGCTATATAGTATTAGCCTTCGTGATTTTAAAATTAAAATATTTGTTTTTTTTTTTGACTAAGGTTAGGTAATAAAGTTTCTGAGATGATGAATTTGACTAGTAGACCAGTGCCGATAATTTTTGAAACCTAAAAAAATAATAGTAGGATGAAACCTATTGGAAAAGGAGGAGAATATTATAAAAATTAAAGGAAAAATAAATTACGGGCGATCTGAGGTCGGGAAGGGTTAGGGGGGGAGTTTTAAGGGTAAAAAACGGTTTATCTCGATTTCCGGCAAAACTAAAAGTCCTATCGAAGAAAGTTAAATGGCAAAGTTGTAGGTAATAAAAAGATCTAAAACTTTTGTATTCACATTTTTTCAACCTCAAAATTTATGTGAAAAATGCAAAAACGCTGTTTTGGTTTATAATTTTTATCTTTTACAAAAAAATTTTTTTTCGAAAGATTTGGTGAAAACTTACCTTTCTATGTCCCAAATACGCTGTAATTTATTTGATTAAAAATATTTATTTGTTCACCTTATTTTGAATTAATATCGAAAAAACACCCTAAAAAAAAAAAAAAAAAAACACAAAAAAAAAAAATCAAACCAAAAAAAGGGGGGGGGCGTTAAAAATTAAACTCCCCTTTCGGAAAAAAAAAAAAAAAAAAAAAACAAAAAAAAAAATCTTCCAAAAAAAAAAAAAAAACGAGCAAACCCCTACTTCCTTACTTCTCTATGAAATACGAAAATTTTAGCCCATCTAAAGGCTAAATTTTTTTTTAGGTCACTCAGGTATATATAAGTTATCTTAAAATAGTAATAAATAGGCATCTGATTATAATTTAAAGAAGATTCATAGAGAAGTAGGGAAGGGGATGACGGGTCTGGGCGTTACTGCATACGATTTTTTGCATTTTCTGAGAAGATTTACTATGGTAATATGTATATATTTTTTTACCATAGGAAAGTAGAGATTTCAACGAACTGAAAGCACACCAACTTTTTGAAAAAAGCTGAAATTTTGACGTCAGAATTTTCGATTGAAAATTAGGGTGTTTTTTCGATATTAATTCAAAATAAGGTGAACAAATAAATATTTTTAATCAAATAAATTACAGCGTATTTGGGACATAGAAATGTAAGTTTTCACCAAATTTCGTTAAAAAAAAAATATTTTCGTAAAAGATAAAAATTAAAAACCAAAAACATGGTTTTTTGAATTTTTCACATAAATTTTGAGGTTATGTGAAAAATGTGTGAATACAAAAGTTTAAGATCTTTTTATTACCTCCAACTTTGCCATTTAACTTTCTTCGATAGGACTTGTAGTTTTGCCGGAAATCGAGATAAACCGTTTTTTACCCTTAAAACTCCCCCCCCCCCTTCCCGACCTCAGATCGACCGTAATTTATTTTTCCTTTCATTTTGATCATATTCCCCTGCTTTTCTAATGGGTTTCATCCTACTGTAATTTTTTTCACTTTTTATTTATTTTAAAGGCTATCTGCACTGGTCTATAGAAGCTTACGCTTCATTCCTTTTCTCAACACTGAAGTAACACTAACGTATCAATGTAACAATCGGATAGATAAAATATAGAAGATTTGGTTTATGAATGAGGATTAGTGGGAATCTACACATAAAACTTAGCCTAGGCCTAAACTGTTCAAAAACTTAGACATCGTCATTATTAAGGGCGTACAATCTTCTATATGCAGGATATAATTGTAATCAATAGTTGAACAGCTCCTTAGGGTCCTTAGGCCTAAAGGTACTCCACAAGTATCTTTCGCCGTCGCAATTTATCTCCTGCTTGTTGCGTCCAATTTCGAGCACAATTTAGGATAGGTCATTGTTAAACGAAATAGTGACTATACTAATTTAAAGTAGCATTTACTTACTAAAATTGGCAGCAATGAATCCAGTAGACTCTACGGGTAACATTTGGAACTCCCCAATCACCACATATTCTCCGGACATCACCAAGTGCGGTAAACTAATATTTCCTGTTACTTTCAATTCTTCGGGATACACACTAAAATAAAATATAATCTAAATTCAATATCTTAAATTCCTATTAAATATTCGCTACATTCGATTCAATTGTGTACACAAATGATTGAGAATGTAAGATATTTTTTTGCATAAAAAAGATTGCAAAAAACAACCAACCTAACCTTTTGATACCTTTTGCAATTTCATAACTTTTTTATTGCTGTTTCTATGTTTGGCTAGAAGAGATCATTTTGCAACTGTTTTTGATTTTATTATTAAATCTTATAAATATAATTGTGCAATCACGTGTAAAATACACATGTCACATATGATTATGAAGTCATCCAAATTTAAAAGTTTATATTTCGACCACATAATTCAAGCATAAGATTATTAGATAAGTGAAATAATACTTACTCCAACTTGTTAAACGTGTAGTTGGTAAGTCCACTAAGCTCAAGATCCGATAACCAGGCATCGTATTTGAACTTATTCTGGGGCATATTGTGTTGCCTAAGCCTAATACTGGGGACCTTTAGTGGTTCAAGGGGCTGTATACCAAACGAAGGTATGCCGTGAGCAAGAAGTGTTCTGGCTTGATCAGCAACTCGCTTTATGCATTCTGCTACGTTAGGATCGCTGTAGTGGCATATTGGTTTTTGTGCTATAAATGAATTTGAATATAAGAACGTGTAAGTATATATGTAAAGTGTTTTATTAAACATACAATTAAAAGGACTGCACCCTCATCACAATCCCAATAAAGCTACGGTTTCCTAGAAAAGCGGTGCCGTTCTCCAACGGCCGTAATGTAACGTTGGGTGACGTCACCCATACGTTGTATATAAATAACATCGGAGTAGACCGTAACGTCAAATAGTGTATATAGTTATTTAGTATAGTAATAGTTAGTATATAGTTATTTTGGGCTGGCGATCTGAGTGAGTTGTTGCCCCACATATTTTTATGGTGCCACTGGCGGTATTGCTGTGTACCGGGTTGTGCAGCTCCCTCAAAATGGTTGAGTGATGAGCTATTCGGGGCATGCTTGCCGTCTGCTGGCACAGGCTTGCTCAGATCGATCTGGTTCTTTCTTCCAAAGACCAGTCCAGTAAATACTCTGCATTTGTTTACACCAATTTATTAATTTATTATTGTATTATCTGGACTATAAAAGAGACTAAGACCCCCGAGTTTGTTTCGACATTTCTTCTCAGGGCAGTCAGTTAGGAAATGTCGACTTCATCTAGTTTAGGATGACATTGTAAAAGTGATTTATATAGTCCTACTTGCAAGAATAAACTATTTCATTTCATTTCATTTCATTTCATTTCATTTCATTTCATTTCATTTCATTTCATTTCATTTCATTTCATTTCATTTCATTTCATTTCATTTCATTTCATTTCAGTGGTGTGTCATTTGCATGACGGCCGTCATTGCGGTGGTAAACTGGTGAAAATGATTGTTTTTTGCATTAAGTTAAAAAGTAGTAAGTACTGTTTAGTTTTCTGTAATTTGAATTTTTTCTTTGATTAGTAATTGTTTTTTTTTTGTAATGTTTGTTATGTTTGTGTGTAATAGTTATGATCTTATATATATTTTGTATGTCATGTTTGCTGTAAGTGCTTGTCACATAAAAATTTATTTTTTTGTTTTTACCAATTTCAGTTCCACGTTAGCAAGCTTTTTCTCAATAAAAAAAAAGTAAAGACGGTCGTTATTAACAACCGTAAAATGACGGCCGTTAGTTAACGGCACTGCTTTTCTAGGAAACCTAAGTTTAAGCTTCAGTAGGATGCCAAACAACCCTTCGCAAAATGTCTAATTAAACTTAGATAATTTTTAATGTTTAATTATAAGAACTTGATACAAATATTAATATACAGATATCTAATTAGTGCAGAGCCAAGGCCAAATACATAAAAACAACCACAGCACACACGCATTACACACTTGAAAAGTTGAAACGAACCGAAAGGGAAAAGAGATTTTTTTTTGATATCTCCCATTATATTTTTTATTTTATTGTTTTAAGTGTGTGTGTTTTTGTTGTTATGTATGTAAATGTTATGCCTATGTCTATGTTTAATTATATAAATTAACGGACGACTCATTGGTCTAGTGGTTAGTACCCCTGACTGCGAATCCATGGGTCCCGGGTTCGATCCCCGGCTGAGACGAACATCGATGTGATGAGCATTTGGTGTTGTGCTTAAGTCTTGGGTGTTTAAATATGTATTTATATGTCTATATACCTATAATATGTATGTATATCCGTTGCCTAGTACCCATAACACAAGCTTCACCAGCTTAGCATGGGACTAGTTCAATTGGAATTGTCTTTATAAAAAAAATTTTAATCATTACTACGACAATAAATATATATTATCAAAACCATGATTTAATTATCTATAAAACTGTATTATGGCATATCTTAATATATATATTTCTTCTGTGCGTGTGTATGTGACTGAACTCCTCTCAAACGACTGGACCGATTTTGATGAAATTTTTTGTGTGTGTTCAAGGGATCTGGGAATGGTTTAGATTCACAAATCAGCCCGGCAGATGGCACTGCAGTCGGTACTTTCATACTTTGCTTAATATCCTAATCGCTTTAAATATCATGCAGGACAACGTCTGTGGGGTCCACTAGTTATATTATAAATGTAGTTATGGCTTCCCTACTTAAACTGCATATGTGCTTAGAGAGATATATTACCACGAGAACTCAATACAATGTGTACAGTAAAAAAACTTACCGATTTCCTCAATATTATCACCCGTCGTATCATTTTGGGGTAACCGTTTCGCTATAACAACACTTAATACAACGACCATTAAAAACTTCACTACTGAACTAATCATTTTCACTGTCGATGTCGACTAGAATAATCTAGGTTTCTGAGGCATTCTGCCTTTATAATACTTTGAAGTTACTCGTATAGGCCATATGTGGCAGAAATTTAGCCTCGGATCTAAGGTCTACAGGACATAAATTAAGTCTAGGATTAATGACCTTAGCTTGAATAGTAATTAAGTACTTACGTTAGTAGTAATTGCTTTTCTTACTTGCAGATGATTAAACACACACCCCTAAAATATAATTTCTACCTTAAATTGTCACTTTAAATGTCTAGAATCTGTAATTTGACTGTCGTTCTTGATTATCATCCTAAGAAGCAGCACTTTTCTACGAAATTTTTAAATATTAAATTTCGTGTCACAATGTTAGTTACCATACTCCTCCGAAACGGCTTGATTTTTATCAAATTTTATATGAATTCATAGGTCTGAGAATCAGCTACTATCTTTTTCTACCCCTTGATAGGGTTTCCACCCTAACATTCTTTATTTTTAGAAATTTTTATTTTTATTTTTTAATTATACATACAACCCTAATTTTCATCACCAACCCTTTTTTTTATTTGTATTAAAATTTTGACTTGAACTCTAAGTTTATAAAGAAAAAAAAAAAATCACATTCAGGAGAAACGAAGTTCTCGGGGGCAGCTAGTTTCATTATAAAAGTACAAAAAAAGTCTCTAAGAAAAAAACACTTGCCCGGTCTCTGGTACAACTAATAGAGGTCAAATTGATTTGTAGAGTGTATGATCAGTTAAAATTTGCAATATATAATAATAATCCAGCCAAAGCCTTAGATGACATCCGTTTCATTCATCATTTTTATTTCATAGACAATTAGGTGATCAGCCTCCTGTCCGACACTTCGTCGGCTTTTGGATGGCATGCAGATTTTCTCGCGTTGTTTTCCTTCACCTTACGAGCCAGTGTTAGATGCGCACATTGACAGAAAGTCCTAAAGAATGAGAATCGCACGCTGAAGCCAACACTGCTGTGCAATATATAGTATTTTATTGATTTTTAATTTCTTGTTGCCCTGTATACAGACTACCCCATCTTTCGATGTTTTCTTTGTCTGTACACCATCACTTTGATGGTAAAATAACACACCAAAAAGTAATGTTTTAGATGGACCAAATTGTACCAAAATTTCTAGTTTGTTTTGGGTGAATTGCGTTGTAGGGTTAAGGCAAAGATGTTCACAGTTTAACAGGTATATTTTTATATGTAGCTTTCATAATTATTACAACCTTTTAGTGTCCCATAAAACTTAATTGCATTCACTTAACAACAAGGAAATACTTATGCAAGGGAAACGACATTTTATAGCGAATGGAGGTTGACATGTAACATACATGTTTCAAATACTTTAATCAAAACGTCTTATTTCTAATAGAAAACACATTCTTTGGTGTAAAATTTTGTAAAAAACCTTTCGAAAATAAATAAATCTTACTCTAAAGTTATACAATATATCCAAGCGTTGAGAAGTTGTGAAACCAGAATTAGTACGAAAAGTAACACAAATTGTTTCCTTAGACGTTTTTAAGTTAGTTATTCTTATATAAACATATCGGAACAACAATTTGTATAAAATACGATCGACTACTAAACACTTATAGGAGGTTTTAAACAATATTTTACAAGTGTTTAGGATGACTTAAACCTAACCCCCTTATTCATAAAAATCAATCTAAGCACTCTTTGACTAAGGTAACTTCGTCTCTTTCTGACAAATTGTTTTTACACTGCGTTGAAAAGAGACAGGTGAGTACTTAAGAGTGCAACTAGAATTATTGATTTTTATGAAGGTAAGTATATTATACAAGAAACCCAAAGGATCTTAAGAATCCTCAACTAATATCTCCTTTAGGGGTATGGCAGAGAGAACCTTGTTGAAGAATGCCTTGAAGATCGCAGCGCTACTCTCTTCTATAAGTGGGTTCAGAATATCCAACACCACGCCTGGACTTGCATTGAAGAAGGCAGCAGCTGATGTAGCTATTAGGAATAAAGTATATTTATTTTTAATTAGGGTTGATTTTTAAGATCAAATTCAAGATAGGTCAATATCAAGATCGAGAAAGAAGATGCATGTACCTTTCCCTCTTAATTGACATTTGTCAATGACATAACACTCAATCTTATTTATTTATTTAAATACTTTACTACCTTATTCAAAAACATACACATAACAAAAATAAAAAAGCAGGTTACAAAAGTTATAAGGCAACGAGCGGCCTTATCGCTAACAAGCGATTTCTTCCAGGCAACCCTAATGTGGAACAATGAAAAAGAAACAACTACAGAGGGTAGAGTACAAGAAATGAAAAAATAATTAACAAAAAAAAAACTCAAAATAACACGTTACTATAACTAAAATAAAATCTTTAAGTTAATAAAAAAACGTGATATAATTTATATAATAAAATTATTATGTAACTGTATATATATAGTATAGTAGGAGGGGTACTGCTTGCTTTAATTTGATAAAAACTGAGTATGAATAATCGCGTTATATAATTACCAGCAACGGGTCTTTCGGTATCATCAATAGAGAGCTGGCCATGGCCAATCTTCAGTTTAGTGATCATTTTCTCAGCCTGCAAGTACTCCACGCCATCACGCTCTACTACCTTTGCTGCACCTTTTGCTACTACTGTTATTCCAGCTAAAATGTTTTAATCAGAATTATATAATTTATTCTTGTATCAATGATGGAGCTTAGGTATATGAACTTTAATTTATTTCGTTGTATTTAGTACGTGTGTTCCAATCGTAATGAGTTAAAAATCTTCACTGTTCACTGAAAATGGACCACATGAATTACAGATTAAGGCACTGTACATGTACATTGTACAAGTATTCTATCAGCGGAGATTGCTAAATTCAGCACTTAAGAAAGGTTAATATTGTTATTACACTTTCCTGAATTAATATTGATTTTAAACCCACTTCATAAAAAAAACGAAAAAGTTTATTAATTCGAGGTGTATCACAATCTGTCTCTATATAAAAAGGGATTCCTGTTAGTTTGTTTCGCTAAAGCTCGAGAATGGCTGGACTAATTTGGCTAATTTAGATCTTGAATTATTTGTGGAAATACAGGGAAGGTTTAAACGGTGGGAGACATAAATAGTAAAGAAAAATACTAAAACCAACAATTGAATTTTCCAATAAAAACTGTTCTTAGCTGAAAAATATTTGATGTTTTTTGTCATAGATAGTCTGGCCATAAATACTGTTACAATTAAAAATAAACAAAATATTACGTTTGAATTTGGAATCGGTCATTTTTATATGATTGTTCATTACGTTTTCTCATTTTGGCGCCAATACATTGTACAATATTTTGCGATATTAAAATGGAGTGGGGTGATAGATAAAACCGAATCGCTGTGATTGCATTACACTAAGTAGGTATGGAGCCAAGTGCAATATTTAAAACTCTCCATACGCTTGGTATCAGTAAAATATTTGTGTACTGGGCTATTAATAGGTAGACTTTTTGGGTCTTAGACATGTCGATTTCCTCACGATGTTTTCCCTCACCGTTCGAGCAAATGTTAAATGCGCGAAATAAATATACATACTGAAATTACTCCTCAACCGCCCCTTTCCACTAATGTCCAAAGTGAGAATCTTGGAGCCACGCACGTCATAATCAGCTGTCACAGATAGCTTCGGCAATGTCAGCTTCATCTGCCCTTCATACTTTCCATTTAGGTTTAATCTATAATAGACAATAATTTCCGATATAGAATTATTTATTAGTTTTGTAATCTATTTACTACCTTATTCCCATTTTCATAAATAACTAATTAATTCAAGTAGTTTATTTTGTTTTTAAGTATTATAACATTATTGTAATGAATGTCGACGCTGTCGACGGAGTAATTGTGACCATATTGTGTTCCATATTGTTGTTGTGGTGTATAAATGTCTATATTTTTTTAATAAAATAAATTTTCCAAAAAATCCGTCTCCAGGAATCGAACCTGTGCGTTAATTACTGAGTCACAGAAGTGGTTAAATTTATTAAAACTGTTATATACGAGTATGTAATATATAGATACTATTTACCAAATTTATTATAATTTGTTCCATTCATGATAAATTCAAAAACAAAATAAGGTCTGTGCGAATAAATCATTTTTGTAGGGAAAAAACCCAGTTTCATAATAAACCTGATCAAATCTCTGACGTCATTTTTAACTAGACCGTGATCTTTAGGCAGTTAAAAATTAAGAAATTCAGATACTAATTCATGTCAGGGTTTATTTCCCAACGCAATGCGTAGGTATATCTTAAATTATATAAAAAATATAAAGGTTTAAACTAACACAATGGCAATTATTTTTTTAGTACTTTGTTTATGGGAGAGATGTCGAGGAATAACATAATGAGAGTTACGGCATAGTGTTATTGTGTTTTCTTGCAAACACTTATCAGAGGTTATTTTTTCAAATTTTAACGATTCCCTGGGTCTTAGAAATCTTAGAAAAATTATTAAATTGTTTGATTTTAATAACGAAATATTACTGTGGAGAATCTGTTATATACTACTACAGGTTGTCTTAACTCCAAATAGTTTATCAAAATTCTAATTACGATTTGAAAAATTTTCCCGTACCATCATTACTTATCTATTTTTTATTTTTATTATGTTTATAATAGAATAAATGATGTAATTTAGTAAATAACACACAGGCTTCAGTTACACACACATGCAAATAAACACCCACACTCTACACACTTTCTGTATATATTATTGTTTATTCTGTAAAATCTTCTAATTGGCGTTTTGATTTAAAAATATTTTGTATAATAGTTAAGAAAGCTGTAAGGTTCTTTCTAAATAAATAAAAATTGATTGTTTACTCACTTTAACTTTTCTATCTTAAAGTTGCTTCCGCCGTAAGCTTTCATATTCTTTATAGTTGCCTTTAAACGAAGGTTGGTAGCTGTTCTGTCAAGTTTCAACGTTGGTACATTGAAAGGTTCGAGCGCTGGTGCATTCACTTCCGGTATCCCATTTAGTAACTTCGGCCTTAAAACTTCTATTGCCTCTAGAATGCATTTTTCGATTTGCGGATCGCTTTTCTTACATTGAGGGAAGTAATCGGCTGTAAAATCGAATCATTTATTAAACCCCTTTATAATCTGTTAAAATAAATAAATCAAGAGAGATTTCACACTAATTAATCTAATATAAGAACTACTTTACTCTGTACTCTGATTTGGATAGAATGTCAAACGAATTCTTAAACTAAAGTAAATTTTTTATATCAAATTAATAAGTTATTTTATCATCGTAATGTATCGTATAATCTATTGCAGTCAAAATGCAACGCAATAGTTTCGACATTTCCCGCCAAGACTCATATGTCACGAGTATCCGCTTTGCCAATACTAATTTCATATTCTAAAACATTTATTTGACAACATACATTTATTTTGTGTTCCCAAAAGATTTGAGTTTTGAGTTTAAAACTTTATACAGCTGTTCGATTTTATTAAAAATTATATTATAATAATAATAATTTATTTGCATGAATATGGTACAAAAATGTTATGGTGGTACAATCTAAAGTTCACGTATTCTATTCTGCCACACATGGCGTGCAAATTTGTCTTAAACGGTAGAATTGAAATAAAAGTTACAATTACATTTTGATTCATATCATCAATTTTGATTATATATGAATTATAATGTTTCTCCCAAATAATCAATAAAATAATACATTTATTCCAAAAATGGAACTATCCATAGATTTTTAAACTACCTTGATTGCCATACAAAAGGTGTTTTTTTAAATTTTTTGCATGGCCAATTTCTCCCCATTTCTACTTCGACAGTGGTCCACTCCCGTTATAAATATTTATGTGAACGAATAAGGACTTTTCTAAAATTTACGCTATAAATTGTGTTATGTTCGTTAAGAAATTGTGTTTAATTATACAGTGATTTGAAATACCTAAAGTTTAATAATAAAATAAATAAAATGTTTATCCTTATTTTGTAATAATTGTTTTCCGCATACATTCCATTTCAAAATATTTATTATTATAAATGGAACCTTTTAGAATTAGTATACTTTTCTACAATTATTTGCTATTACAGTAGAGCCTCGTTAAGTCGAACCTCGATAAGTCAAAACCTCCAAATCTCGAAAAAAGTTTTGTTCCCTTCCCTTAAAACACCAAAACCTCCATTAGTTGAAATCTTGACCCTCTGTTAATAGAAATAATCACCGAGTCCCTCCAAGCCATTTTGGTACATATTTTCACTCTATAACTCGAAAAATTAAATTTGACCTCTGTATCTCGAACATAGGAACGTTTTATTTTACAACCTTTACAACTTGATCATTTGGGAATTTATTATCTTTATTGTTCGAACAAAAATAAGTTACCGACTTTAAGAACTTGCCGACAATGTGAGTACACTATTGTTCCTTAGAAAACATTTTAGGAGTATACAATAATAAATTTATGACTCATGGAAACACGTGTTTGCTTGCTTTGTGTCAGGTTTCAATTTTTTTAATTTATAAGAATAAACCTCAAACTCTTTATGTCGAATCAAAATCCGCCTAAGTCGAAATCCTCCATAAGTTGAAAACTCTATAACTCGAATTTTTGGCACTCTGATTGACTTATAGAGGTTGTATACTATTCTTATATTGATTCTAAGCCGAATGCATTGAAAGAGTGATGTTTCTATGATAATAATAGAAGCCAAAAACTGTTCAAGAGTCCAGTCTGAAATTTCTGCATTTGTTTTATAAATACTTTTTAATGGTAGGTAGGCAAAAAGTGCCAGAGCCTGTCTTCACTCACTTATCAAATGTTAATTGCTCTCCTACACAGAGAAATCCTTTAAAACGCATCTTATTCCAAAGCAAGACCGCAGTGTTTAGGTTCGCACGCCATACACTAGTATAACGTATATAGTATAACTACTGCCAAACTGCTAAGTAATAATCATTTTTTATATATATAGACGACATGATACTACAGACTGGCATGATACTTTGCAGTACCGGAAGCTACCGAGTACGATTTTTTTTTTGTTATTATCAAAATAAATAGAAAAATAAACTTACGTAATATTTTGCCATAAACACTAAACACACAAAACAATAAAGCGAATAACACTTTCATTTTATATCAGGCGGTTTCGACGGTGAAGGGGTATGCAAGAGTGCGCGGGAGTCGCCACGAACCTTATATTTGTATGAAAAGATCGGAATACTATTGAGTAACTGGAGGATATAGTATCATAGGTGCGAATATATATAAAATGTAAACTGGTTTATATTAGATTTTTTATTTAATTTGTATTACTTTATCTTAATTAAATGTCTTGTTTACATGAGCCAGACTACAGTTCAAGCTAGTTATGTATTTTATTTCAGAAAAGAATCCATGTTACTAAACTGAATGAAACAAAAAAAACTCTCTGTCTTTGCTTCAAATTTCCGTATCTATATTGTGGTAATTGTTTTTCTTTATGCAAGTAGATGATCGGCATGTTTTAGGTCTATGCCGGTTCACTGGTTTACTCGCGATGTTCTCCTTCATGAGAAAGAAAAACCCTTTGGTAACCAGCTGCAAATCGGCCGCTTCACCTCAGGGTTTAGAGGCGCGCATTGAAGTAATAATTCTCAAAACAATGAATATACCCATAATGAAACTGAATTTTAGGCATTACACAAATTTAATCTGGGGTTTTAATACTAATAATAATCAGACTACTAACAATTATCTACAATAGTAGTTTTATTTACTTCATTCTTTAAATGTTAAACAAACAATATTTTCGGGATTCCCACGATAAATGCTATAGACCTTGGATATTATACTTTTACTCAATTGTTTTCCCTTATTATTTTAAAATGAAGGTCAGAAATATTTTAAACTTAAGCTTTATCCGTTTCCTTACAAGTTTACTAAAATAATTGTAACATTTAAATTCCTTCTGACGATCGGGTTTAAAGATTATGTTTATATAAACATCCAATGTAGTCAAAACTAAATTCCAGTTTATGTCTATAAAATTTATTCTATATACATAGTTTTAAGTAAATCAAAATTATATTATTATGAATCTTTTATTAGACCGCCAGTCTTAAATATTATAAATAATAAAGCAAGCCTTGCAAGGGGAAGGTTGTATGAATTTTAAAGGCAAGGTGCTTTTATGCGGGAACGAAGTTTAAGTTTTGTTCACAATTATAAATATCTTAACTTATATTATTATAACATTATGATTATTAATATCGCTAATTGTGCGGTTTTTAATAATTAATCAATTTAAGTGCACCACTTTTTTGCAAATAAACGATTTATTATTAAAAACCGTTTTTACGATGAAATGTTGACGCCTTATTAAGAGTTGTAAAACCCCAAGGAGACTTACGCTTATGTTTGTTTATAAACTTTTGAAGTTTAGCTTAAGGAAGGTTTTTTGGTATGGCTTTGCTAAACGGTGTGCCACTCAAATTTGACGGAATTTAAGTATTTGGGCATTGGGTTGAGGATTTGTCTTCTCTTTCGTTCCACGCATTGATATACAAAAACCCAAGATGCACAATCAACGTCTAAAAAGTCTAAAAAATGAGCCAACATTCTAAATTGGCCTCATTTCAAATAGTCGCGTCTATAAGTGGAGTCGATGTTATTTATTTGTTTTTTTATAAATAAATTTATGTACTCTTAAACTTTTTGTGTGTAGTTTTTGACAAATATATTTACGCTATATAAAGTGTGGGTCAGGAGGTAGCCAATTTAACATTTTTTTTTAATTTAAAGAAAATACTTTTTAACCGGATTAATGTTATGTATTATTATAAATTTACAACTATTTAACATCCAACACCTTTTGTCTTCAGTCACGTGACCACTCAGCTGTAAAGCACCCGAAAAGTCGGATAAATTTAAAATTATGTTAAATATGTAGTTGTAAATAAAAAAGTCATGTTCGACTCCACTCAATACCTTGTCTACCGACCACGGTCGGTCGTAAAATTTTATTGTTTAAGTACGTATACACTGGTTGTAATAACAACTTTAAGCAATTCGCGTAATGGTAGGGGAGCCCAAGAGGGGATTTCGGGATTTACTAAAGGCGGCAGATTAATATAAGGGGGATACTTAGGTTAAGTACCTCCACAAAATATGAGGCCCATATATAAGGCCGAGTGAAGGAGACAGGATCAGTTTAGTAAAAAAAAATTGACCATCAGAAATTCCGAGCGGTCAGATTAAGGTAGGGTGATTAATTACATCTAAAAGTTATATCCACTAATCTGACAATTTGAGAGTGACGGAAAAAGGAGGGCAACAAAGTTGTAAAAAAACGTACTCGAATTCTCGGCGTAGCTAATTTTTTTATTTTGAAGGAAATAATTCAAAATAATGAAAAATATATAATCTGACGATTTCCGCAAGCCGAAATAACAAAAATTCGTCGATAAAGTTAAATGGTGAGCTGCGTGATGCCTACATTTCCTTAAACCGATCGGAATCTACTAAACGGCTTCTAAATATTTCCTCAAAATAATTTCTGTGAATTTGAACCGATTGGACCGATAGATTTTGAAAATTTTGAAAAATCTTAAAAAATAAGAAATATTTTTTTAAAGTGGTTTTTTATCGATAACTTCAAAACTAATCGCCTTTGACTTGAAAAACCACGTCGATGCCACCAAGCTGGTTAAAAGCGGTTATTTGAGAATATCGTAACGAAAGAAACCCGAAAAAGTTTTAATCGGATTACTGAAATTTGTGGTTCGATCAATTAAAATTGCAAAATCACTTATGAGAATGATAAAACTGGTCGAATGCCGCCAACCGCGTGAAAATTGCTTGATCCATTCAAAAGTTATTGAGGTTTGAAAATTCCAAAAATAGTGTTTATGAAACTTCTATCAGCTTTGAGCTGGAGAGCTCAAATGCATAGAAATACTTGAATAGCGACTCAAAATATCAATTTTAAGCGCCCAGGAATGGAATTAGGGAAGTTAGGATGGCCTTTAGGTGAACCTTTTTCTATTTTTTTTGTAGATAGGGAATCTTAGATAATTAGATAAAAGTAGTTTAGAAATAAGAAACCAATATATCTTAATCTATTGAGTATTTCAAAATTGATTTTTTTTTGCAAATTAAGAAAATTTGTGCATCGAAATATAAATAGAGCTTTTTTTGACTTAACACTCCCTTAGAAAATCTACTCAAATTTTTTTTTTTAATTTTCAACCCTTAAATACAACCACCCGCATTGAAACATCAGATTAACATACTAATTATTAAAAATACTAGGATAGATGCTATCAATATTGACCTCGAGGATCAAAAGTTTTTTTACATATTTAATATCTATAGGCTCCCCACGATAAAAGAATTATAAATTTTTTCTTCTATTAAGCTTGACCAATAGGTCTCTAGGTCGAGAAATCCCCATTTATGGGCCCTGTTTGAAAATAAAATTAGAAAATAGGTTTGGGACACTTTAATGGTGTATACCCTTGATTTGAGCACTGGGAGTAAAGAAAACGTACAGTTAGAAGCATTTAATATGTATTTATTTTTTGACGTTCATAAGTGTACATTGTGTTACCTATATGAATAAATGTTTTGATTTGATTTGATTTGAATACTAAAATAGCAACTAAGACAGAATTGTTACTAACTCTAACTAAACTACATAGTACATATGGATATTATCTGAAATAAAGAGGTTATTATTATGTTATTATTAACTGTACCATAATATATGACTTGTTTTGTACAATGATTATTATATATCTATATAATAGGAGTAACTACTCCTATGAGTAAAAGAATCTATTAATCAGCTAAAAAAAAATTATTGTTACATGGCAACTCATTTTCGTAATATTAAATAACTTTGAAGTTTAACAATAACTGCTTTTGACGTTTGACTAAACAATGTCACTTATCATTGTTAAATTAAATATAGCGAAGGTACTATATTATCCGATAATTTATATGACATAATGTCAATAATAATTCCGTGCGCGTTTGGGGTTACCCACAGATTGTGTGCGGCTCAATTGCCCGCGTTTCCGTGAATCGTTACATAAAAATCTCGCAAAAGCTCGTTGCACAACATCGCTCAATTCTCTTCGAAAATAATCGGAACTACAGTGAGCAAAAATTTATTAAATGATTCAGTAGGTATATATTATCCTTAATTGATTTAATAGAAGCTGATTTCTATATAAATTGGCAAATCGTAGAGCCATATATGCGCACTGCGTCCTGCTTTTCCTTTTATTTTAAAATCATTCATTAGGTAATGTGTATTTAGTGAATAATGTTTTTATAAAACAAACAACTGTTTCGCTAATTCATTGTTCGAATAAAGTGCAAATATAAAAACCTCTTTAAATTAACATAAAACTTAAATTGGTTCCTTTCATTAAGAGAATATTGATGATATGAGAATATGAATAACGTTTGCTGGTTTTCACGATTGATAGACGAAACAACTGAAATATGTTTGTTTCACTCACTCCACTGGCTATGCGACTCAAAAATTGTATTCGCCCCCGAAATGAGAAATTTCCAGGTCTTGTGCCAAGCAGCTTTAAATGCAGCAGGTCCTCTTCTACTCTGTCGATCCAGCAGTACCTAGGCCGGCTCATTTAAGCTTTTTTCTACGCCCGACCTTGGCCCATGCTTAAAACAAACATGTTTGTTGCAATAAATATTATTTACAAATTAATTTATAATGTTATAAATCGTAAAAAATCGTCGCCCATTCTAAGTGCAATATTTCCGTAAGGCGGTAAATGTTCCCTACATTTATGCTTGCTTTATATATATATTATAGCTTTTATCATAGTTTAACTATATTTTATTAGCAATAGACTGAAGCTCCTAAGTAACTTCCTTTTTTTAATTTGAAATAAAAAATTCAATACTTCACAAGTATTGAATTCTAATAATATCAGAATTAATATAAATATGTAACTTGAAGGTAACGAAATATGTAGCCAGTTTTTGTTGACGATTTAATTAACAAGTACACCTCGCTACTAGGTATTTTAAGGTTTTTATTTTTAAATAAAAATAGTGTACTTATGCTATTCGAACATACTACCTCAGGAGGGTAGAGTTAAAACAGACGAAAGACGAAACTGTGTCAAACGTGACAAACGAACTTAATATCATGTCTCTATCATGTCAACAGATGATTTTGACCGTGCACCTTTTTTTTAAATTATAGCATAAGCATAAGCATAGCACAAAGAATTTGAAGTAATAAATGCGTATTATTATTATAAGTACTCTTAGAAATCACAAACGATAAATATTAAAAGAAACAAAACACTCAACCTAGGAAGTTTTATTCCTTACAAAACAATTTTTAATAACTTATTACAACAATGAAAATTATATTCAACCAGAAAAAATATTTGACACAACTCAATCAAATAAAACACTAAAGCGTCCGTCACGTCCGAGAGCCAATCGCAGAATACCCCCGGTGTTCCCAGTTCCACTCCTCTCTGTTACCCTTCACTCGATCCGGCTTGCTCTGTGGAGATTGTTTTCTAAGATTATATCGAAGAAGTCGTAAAATACTTTTACCCTAATTAATAAGATTCAGTCAACAAATCTAGTTTAAATTATGAAATAGTTTTACATAATAGTAATTTTACATGAAATCCATATTACATCATTAGGGCACATGTTTAGTAAAGTTTAATGATAGTTAATAATAGGTCTATACCTTATTATTACATATCGTTATTTCGTTCGTGGTGGTGGTTCGTCGTATACTCTTTGATATACGTAACATTGAAAAGATTGATGGCTCTGGTAATAGTAATTCTGCACATTTGTAAATAAAAATTAGGTAATTAAAAAAAAATATTATCGTACCCACTCTTACGATTTCCCGCTTATTACACCAAAATATAGAATGAACGAAGTGAACTGAAATGTATGCCTTAAAATATTGGCTAAATTAAGCACAATACACAACAAAACACTAATTTACTTGACGTGGCTTCGGCATATTGGACTAGAAACCCCGTAGAAGTGGAAGACGTAAACTTTTAACATTTTGAGAAGTTTGTTTACTTGGGCTCCATGGTGACTACTGATAATAAATATCTCAGTGATATTATGAAAGTGTCTGCCGAAAGATCAGTAGTCCTATCATGATAACAAATCTGCTACTTTGGCCTTCGCGACTTCTGAGAAATGTCTGACCTAGCATGTTTTGTATAAACCGCTGCTGCAACCAATGCTTACTTATGGTTCTGAAACCTGGGCACTTAGCGATTATAATATTTTCGAGCGAAAAATTCTTCCAATTTTTTTGACCCTGTTTGCGACGACGGTGTTTTGCGTATTTGTTTCAATGAAGAACTTTATACCGTCGCGTCGACGCCAACGTCGTCCAGTTCCTAAAATGCAACAGGCTCAAGTGATTGGAACATGTGCACCGAATGGCGGTCGACTAGTGCTGCTTACTATACTCACAACTTGGTGACATGAGAAAACCCGGTAGAGTGAAGCTGCGTTGGTGGAATGGAGTTCTCAAGGACCTCGAGGTCATGTGTTCGAATTTGGACGCAAGAAGCACGACGCGACGAATACACGAAACAGATAGATTGCGATGGCGGAAGATACTTGAGTAGGCTAAGGCTTATAAGGGGCTGTAATGCCATTGATGGTGATGATGAATAATAATAAAAATAAAAATAGAATTGATTTAATTTTTTATATCAGTCTTTGATTAAATATAATATTGTTTTCTCTTTAACAATATCTTTTTCATTTTATTTTATTTGAATACTAATGAAAAACCTTTCGTGACTCAATAAAAATTAAAATCCTACATGGGATGATAATTGTTTTGCTAAATGCTCACTAAACTGTGACAAACGATAGTTTAGGTAACTTCCCTTTAAGTAAGTAATTTTATGGTAATATTTCATAACAGCTAGCGCAACTAGTTACTTGATAATCGGTGCCAGATTGAAATTATGACCTCAAACTTATCCTGCCTAGGGGCTACATTAAAAAAAATATACGGTTAAAAAGTTCCTTTAGCAAAGATAGTTTATTTAGACCACAAGTTTTGACAACAATTACAACTTAACTGTTATAAATAACTTATTATTATAATGACATTATTATAATTAATTTGACATTTGCATGTCTATTTTTATATGGTTGATTGTGCGTTTTTTTATAATTAATCAATCTGAATGTACCACCTATGCATATAAACGATTTATAACGATATGCCCACTGAAGTATTTTCGAACCAATTCGATTTAGGGATCAAGAAACCAATTCTTAAAAGTCCGGCAACGCACTCGCGAGCCCTCTGGTATTGAGAGTGTCCACTGTCCATGGGCGGCGGTATGACTTAACATCAGATGAGCCTCTTGCCCCTTTGTCTCTGGTCTATAAAAATAAAATTATATATAAATATATAATATTATTTTTATATATATATATATAAATATTTATATATATATATTTATTAGCAATATAGATTTTGCCTGCATCACTTCAGTAGTAGCCTTCTTCAATAAATTCAATAACTCACAGTCTTCGGTCTCACTCACTTTACATATTATAAATTTAATAAAAAGGTTAGACATCGGTGGATGGCGGTTGTATTACAAAAGTTTTATTTTTCAAAATTTACATATTAAAATTTAGATTCAAAATATTCCTAGCTGTACTCCGCGGCAATCCATGGTGAACATGGGAACCGTTTAATAGTAAACTCTTAATCATTAATATTAAAACTTTATATGGGATCCTTTTGCCTTTGAAAACGGTTCATCATAATCATTGACATCCAAAAGATCAGCTCGTTATGGTTTCTAACCCACATCAGTATTTGTTTCGCCATTAATTAAATCCAGGATCAAGTTATCCCTTTTCAGCTGAGGCTCATAAATAGTGATTGTGTGAATTATAAAAAAAATATTGAGTAAAAGCTATATATTTTATAATAAAGCCGGCTTAATTTATAAATAAAAATATGTTGCTAATCCTAAAACTCAAACACGGCTAGACTAATCATCTTTTGGGAAGAGGTTTTTATGGTGAGAAAAATTTCATGGAGAAACAGAAAAAAGTAGTTTAAAAGCAGGTAGAATAGCAAAATGTTTCATATATTAGTTACTACTAAACAGGTAGGCTAAGTAGAAAAATCATATTAAGACGGAACGAAGTCGGGCGGCTAGTATAAAATAAAAGTCTGTAATTTTAAGATAATTATAATTAAATCAGTACAAATCACCGTAACTATATTACTTACAATTTTAATATTTACAAATTTATCACGGTTTTGGCTAATTATCAAAATCTTAATATAAAAATTTGGTTAAGGATTTAATACAGAAATCCATAAGCGACAATTTATATGAGTCCTGTGTAGTGGTTTTAATGCCTAATAAGACGGGCATTCGATTTCATAGTTAAATGTGCTGTATAGTACTCAGATTGCTGCTAAAGTACGTTCTGCAGAATTTTGTTTTTAAGTTTAAAAGTTTATTGAGTTTGAGTACAAGCTAATGAACAAATTTCCATATATTATACAAAGCAAATTTATGATCACGCCAGATTTTCTTATAACTTTCAAAAAATATAATAATTAGTAGTGTTACTATAAAACGAAGGCATTTATAGTATATGTGTTTAAAAATAACTATATGAACAAGTGTACTCATTGCATATAAATATAGTAGCTTAGTTGTCTCAATAATAGAGGACGTTTTAACCCAGAAAATATATTTGTAAAGTTTGTAAATTGTTATCAGAACAAGTCTTAGTCTTTTATTATATATAATATACACAAAAATCTCTAATCTAATCTTAAAAAATTCCTCATGCCAATTCGGTCTCAGTGGCTAATCAATAAGACTCCGCAGATATCACTCTCATTCTCATACCGACAGATGTCCGAAACGACCTGAGAAACTTAACTAAAAACGAAATTATACTCACCATATCACAAACTTTTACAACACACTTACGACTAAATAACAATTATGGGAATAATTCTTGATACGTAAACTTCGATGTTATTTTATTCGATATCTCTGTAAAGATGTCGGCTAGACTTTTTTCCATGACTGGGCTGATTTCTGAGAGGAAGACTTGGGAGTTTTCATTGATAACCCTGTTGGTAGCGGGTCCCAACACTGGATCTCCGTCGAAGAGATTTGTCAGGTAGATTGATGAATCACCAACGCGCAGCTTCACTTTCATAGGTTCAAATTTTAGATACTCCTTGCCATCTCTTGTCTCTTTGTGGCCTCTCATTGTTACGTTGCACGCGTAGTCCTCTGTGAAGATAAAATGAAATTATTCTTAACTTTGATAATACAATTATAAGAGAAATTTTTTCCTGGTATTCCAGTAGTCAATTCAACTTAAACTCAAACTCAAAATAACTTTATTCATATAGGTAAACAAGTACACTTATGAACGTCAGAAAAGAAGTTAAATTAATTGTAAATTTACATTTACTACCAGTTCGCAAGTCAAGGGCGTAGAGCGGGCAAGAAGAAGACACAATAAACTTTCCGCAACTCTTTTTAATCGCTAAGTTTCGAGTCTCAGAACTTTTGAACTTAGCCAGGGTTGGGAATTTTGTTGCATTGTCTCATGTTTTATATTTTACGTCTGTTTTGTAATTTACTTATTTTAAATACTTCATTAAAGTGTGTTGTACTTCATTAAAGCCGTCAGTCCACGATAGTATAGGCCCGCAGCCCGCTGAAAATCAGTATTGCTGGTGACAGCAACTTTAATTGGGCCCAAGTTTGCTTAAATTTTTAACCATATAAATAATTTTGTCTTTCCTATAAAATTATTTACTTCTAACTCTTACACACACATTATTAGATAAATTGAAATCATCATATTGAATATAATCGTGTTAAAGATCAATGAAATAGATTTAGTCTTAAATTATTTTCTCAGACTTCCAAAATCAAGAAGCAGGATTTTTATATTCTACTAGCAGACCGGCCAAGCGTTGCTGTGGCTAAGGTTTTTGTTATATTACATAGTAGTAAACTATTCAAGGGAAACGGTAGGAGAACTTATGTGAAAGGTAGATAGCTTATGTGATAATCTGATACGTTAGTACTTTTAACACAACGCCATCTGTTAGAATTGTATCAAATAATAAACAAATCTTTGCAATAAAATAATATTGCGTGTATAAATTGAGATGTAAGCTAACCTAGCTTTTAAGTTGGATCAAACTGCACACGGTGTGCAAATTTGATTGAAATCGGTTCGGTAGTTTAGGAGTCCATAGCGGACAAACAACGAGACACGTAATTTATATATATTAAGATTAAACGTGTATTTTTTGTATATTCATATTCTATTTTGTAATTGGAGCTTGCAAAATGTTATAGTATTTATCGATATATATTCTTTGTTAGATGTATTAAGCATTTTTTTCAGAAAAATATCTACCAATTATCCAAGGACCCGTTATACAGGTGTCCCAATACTTAGTAAGGGTCATACAGCTAGATGTTTTATAATTTGGATTTCACGACCGATAATAAGCAACCAATCCGACCATTGCAATAATTACAATAATTTTATTATTAATAGGTACGTGTTACAAGAACATAATGGCTATTGCTGATGTCTCAATGAACAGTCTAACCTACATCTCGATACAAAAAATATATAATCTTTGCGAAACACACGTTGCACAAAATAAACTCGAAATGTGATTGCTCTAGTTTTGTACAGGAAGTGATACATTTTGACTAAAAGTAAACCAATTGTAGTTGATAATTTTTTTATACAACACCAATTTTCACAATTTTGAATCGAATGCGACTTTTCGGGTGATTTAAAGGACAAACTTATGAGCCGTCGCAAGACGCATCTTAAATATAATAAGCCTTTAGGGAATAGTCTGACGTTTGATTATAATAAAAAAATAGTGTCGAATATTAATTTTTTAACTTTCTGTATTTCCAAATTCATTAAGTTAACTACTTGTGTTAATTAGGTATAGGTTGAATTTGCTATACACGAACAGAGTAGGCCTAGTGGCTTCCGCGTGCAACTTTCATCCTCGAGGTTGCAGGTTCGAACCCCGGCTGTGTGTTATTGGTTAACGTGCTATATCCGAATCGATTCCAGACATTTCAGAACATCCGGGGTGGTAGGAAAAGAACCTAAAGTAATTAAAAAATTAGATGCAAGATTTTTTCTATTGAGGCCTACGGGGAAAAGAAATATTTGTTCTACATTAATAATACATACTAAAAGATCCTGTAATATTCCCTCTTCCTTGGAGACGCAGGAGCAGCACTTGAATGTCCATTTTATATTTTCCCGCGAATTCTAATTTCGGTAGCAGCAGCTTGAAATCAAATCTGTTCCTATTCAAATCAGATCTGAAAATAATAAACATAAAATTAATGTTGTTAAACAAATTGATATGGTTTATGTAAATAATTTACTGTCTTAAAATAATAACTAGGCTTTTTTGTAATGTATTGTTAATCATTTATGTCGCACCAAAGTTTGTTGTATACATAATCTGATTAATTTTAAAGAAAGCATTTTTAAGCGCTTTCTCGTAGTACCTAATCCGCTGTTTTGCTGGTTCAGCGAAATTGTCATATATTTTAGATAAAAGAGCTTGTAACATATACCATCGATATAATATTATGTGTGATGTGGTAAACTTAATAAATTAATAAATATACATTTTAAAAACTGTTTTAGTGATGTTTTGTCAATAATGTTTATCACTCAACTCTAACAAATAATTATTGAGCATATTAAAGCCTAGTCATGCTGAGAGAAATATTAAAAATATGTTTTTATTCGAAATAGTTTTGTGTTTTAGAAATAGATTTTATTAGTTTTTGTACACTGTCTTAAAATGTACAATGGCACATAGGTCGCGTCTTCATCCGCCACCGAACCCGAAACATTTTAAGATACCACTAAATTAATATTCTAGCCTTTATGAGATATACATACTTCAATTCTGTTATTTTAAAGTTGCTGGGACCCCGGACCTTGACATCGTTGACCACCGCCGTCAACTTGGCACCTTGCGGTCCCCTGGCGAGTGCGATCTGACCCAGGCTCAAAGGTTCTATCCCAGGCACATCCAGCTCTGGAATACCCTGGAAACAAGAGTAAGTCTTCTTATTGACTGATACTATTGTGTGGTTATTAATTTTGTGTGTTACATAAATAAAGTAAATAAATAAAAATCATTTAATTCAGAACATTAAAAGTCCATATATTGTATAGTAGAGTAATACTTATAACTATGTTAGTAAAATTAAAATATAAGCCTCAATTTTGTATTAAAATAACAATACTTAAATCGCTAAAATGGGTATAAACTTTTCAGTATTTATTAACATAATAAAAACCTCAAATAAAATAGCCATGATTTGTTCTTATCACTCTCATTTTATAATGAAACATGATAACGTTTGTTTAAATAAATGTATTTATGTACGATTAATACGATCAGAAGCTAATTATTCTAAGTTAAAAACTTAGATCAACATTTTTGATCTTAATTCTAAGTGAGTACAGAAGTAATTGTGAGAAGGATATAAGTTATTTAATTTTATTTAAGTCTTAAATTTACGCCTAATGACCTAACTATATACTACTATAGATTTAATTGGGGTCACTCAACCTGACTTATTATTTTCGCTCATATTCTTCATGTCCACACCCTAAACACAGGTTAAACATAATTTACCTGAAAGAGTAATTTAAACTGTGTAATAATAACAATTTAGTTTTGAGTAACAATATAAAAATGTTCCGCGTAAATTAGGCTTTAGTAGTGCCGTGTACCTTTAGTGTTGTACGCTTTAAATATACAAACCTAGTTTCGCACTAGATGTAGTAAATTAGTATAATTATAGTCACAAATACATCGTAATATGCATTTAACCAATGATGTGTTTAATAAACAAACACAAAGTGCGAATCTAAAAGTTTACTTCTGAACCCACTTGACACACTTTGGTCTTATGAAACTTACCTGACAATGACATACTTTCCAATTCATTTTAAAAATCTATTTTCTATATTTGCAATATTTATTGTACCATAATCAAATTCTAATAACATAACTACACTTGTATGGGCATTCTTATATTGTAATTACTTCGATTTTATTATTACTTTTATTTAGTCAAGAGCTTGCTTTATACAATGAGTTCCAATGATGTAGATCGCTAAAGCCTTGTTTATGGCTTGCACTAGTATTAATTTTACCCACAAATGCTTGATATTATCTATTCGGTTGGGAAGGCACATACACAAGGCATAGTCCTTTCGATCGGGAATTAAACTTGATACGTTACGAATATGCTCTTCTATAAAAGTCTGTCGAAAAACCGAGTTCTGGGACCGATTATTATGCATAAAAAGGGCAGAAAGCCTTATTAACTGTAATTAAATTTTAGGAACCTTCCCACGGAATAAAGTAGTTAGTAGTAGTAGTTCATCGATTTCGCAGTGGAAACACGTTACGTAGTTTCTGTAATGTTTGTTTAAAAAATTAATATGCTAAGTGGTCAGTTGTTTAAAGGGTAAGTTCATTTTTGGCATTACATTTAAGGGGTTCAATGAGTCATTAAATGGGTAGGAAATACTCTGTTATTTCGTAAACTGTAAAGGATATCCTATTATAACAATTAACGCAACGAAATCATTTATATTCGATAATCAGTGTTATGCAAGAATGTGTAATGGCAACTTTGTTCCGTTTGCAAAATAACGATTTACAGAAGTAGGTAATAAGTCATTTTACGCGTGTCTACAATATGTGATATGTATATATTATCACATGAAACTAGATAATACTCGCAACTTCGTCAAGGAATAAGATTTATGTATCAGTTATGTTTTTAAAGTAGAAACAAATCAGTTTGTAACGCACTCAAATTTTTTCAATTAAAACTATTAATGTGAAGATGTGGTGTCAATGTTATCTCGGTACGTAGCCTAATACCTATTGTATTTCTAAGGATTCACCATATAACTTACGCCTTAACAAATAAATATGACAAAATATTCGCAAACTGAGTTAATGAAAAGGTAAAACTTCATAGCTATCCGATCTCTTTATACATAAACAGACGAATTACTAAACAAGGATTTTATTTACGTATATTTCCATTACACCTGACATACTTTATCTCATACATAATACTACGTAAAACCTACGTGCTTTTTATTAAATTGATAAATTTTCAACAATGTACCAGAAGTAATGACGAACATTGGTTATCCTATCAGTGCCTAGCGCAGTATATAAGGCAACTATTTTGTATTTTTTTCAAAAAAGGACAATATGGAGCTGTATCAAATAGTCACCTACATAGCTATTGTTATAATACAGGTGAGCAAAAATTATGATGTTTTTACATAATTTATCTTAAATAGTCTCATTAAAAGAAATATTTATCAATACTTAAAAAAATATTTGTAGCTAATAATATTAAGTTATTAAAATTATGGGTATCCAAATATGAAAAAAGTAATTTAAAATTAAAGTATTAATAAAGGATAACGTATTGAAGCGTTTATAAAAACATAAATATTTAAATGTATGGTCTTTAAAATATTTCCGTGATACGCGGAAAAGTGAAAAACTTGAATAAAAATATATTTTATATTACGCAATAACTTTATGATAAAATGTTTCTTATAGCTTACACGTTTACTTTCAGAGTGATGCTGGTGTTTGCAATCGCAAAAACACAGTGATCCAAGTCAGAGTTCCCCAACGCACTAACGTGACTGTCAAGTATCCGCCCATGTTGCGTAGTCCCGTCGAATACGTACCCTATCCGTACTCACTAGGGAACAAACGCGAACGACCTTGCTATAGATGCCAAAATTCAAGATGTTTCAAATGCAATAATCAAGTAAAGTCGCCAACTGTTCTTCCCGGAACAAGAACCAACATCATCATAGATGTTCAAGGCTCAAGATCTAGACCTAATAAAGATCAACAAGTTAATCATGCACCAGACCCCAATAGGCAAGGGACCCTTGTTGTTGTCCAGGGTGCATCGTCAGCATCTAGTGACGCTGTTGCTTCAGCTAATGGAAATAATGGAAATTCTGCTGCCACTGCTTCATCGTCAGCTTCAGATAACCAACTTATTGCTGACTTTAAAGAAGAAGACAGGGCTCCAGATGGATCAACAAAGGACATTGAGGATATATTTATAGCAGATAACTCAAAATCCAACTCAAGTGCTTCTGCATCAGCTTCTTCAAATGGAGGCGGACAAGCGAAAGCAAGTGCGTCTTCATCTAACCGAAATGCACCTTCTAAGCCTTCTTCAAATCGTTCACCACAAAAATCATCCCCATCAAACGGCCCTCAAAAGCCTAGTAATAAACAAGCGCAACCAAAGAAAGACAATCAAGGAGTAAATAATGGAAATAAATCACCTAAAAATGATAGATCACCAGACAATGATGATTTCTCAGATAATGACAGTTCTCCAGACAGTAACAATTCCCCAGATAATGGCAATAACCCAGATGACGATGATTCTCCAAACAATGACAACTCTCCAGACAATGACAATTCCCCAGATAGTGGCAATAACCCAGATGACGATGATTCTCCAAACAATGACAACTCTCCAGACAATGGCAATTCCCCAGATAGTGGCAATAACCCAGATAACGATGATTCTCCAAACAACAACAACTCTCCAGACAATGACAATTCGTCAGATAGTGGTAATAACCCAGATAACGATGATTCTCCAAACAATGACAACTCTCCAGACAATGACAATTCCCCAGATAGTGGCAATAACCCAGATAACGATGATTCACCAAACAATGACAACTCTCCAGACAATGAAAACTCTCCAAAAAATAGTAAGTTACCAGTCTCTCCCAATTCATCAAATAATGACAAATCTCCAGACGATGGTGATCAATCACGTGATAATGATTCCCCAAAAAGTGGCAATGAACCAAACAGCCAAGACATTCCAAGTCCTGCCAAAGAGGATAAAAAAAATGACGATTCCGCGCCAAAAGATGAAGATTCAGCTACAGGAAATGCTCCAAGCGGAGACGATACAACAGATCCCGATGCAAAGGGTGCCGACCCAGGACCAAAAGATTCAAGTGATTTACCATCCGATAACAAAGATCCACAAAGCGATCCTAAATCTTAGTAACATTTTAAGAACACTCCGAATTTTAAGACCTTTTACAAGTAAATTAAAAAAAAGAGATTTTAAGTATTTATTTAAAATAATGATTTCGTAGTCCATATTTAACCTAAGACGTTGTCATGTAATCCCTTGGGACTAGTAATTATTAAATAAATCTTATTATTGACGCAAATATGTATTAAACGTCTTATTGTTTAAATAAAAGACTTTTATATAATAAATGTATACCGCATTCACTATTTTAATAATTTAATTATTTTTTAGGAATAATGACACTAACAAGATATACATGACATATGTAATAAATTACCTTTTTGAGTTTGGGTCTTAATTCCTCTATAGAATTCATAATACACTTGTCCACATTGGGGTCATCTCGATGGCATATTTTGATGTAAGGTGCTGAAATCACACAAAATAATAAGTGAAATGAAAATCTTCGGAGTCTTTGTACACATAACTTTTCTTAAAAGGCTAGTATTACTACTAAATATATATTATGTACTATAAAATAACACTAAAAGTATAATACAATAAATCAATTAAATATAACATATTTATTATACACATTATGCTCGTATATATTTATTTTAAAAGACTTTCAAACTCGATCAAAATGTACGTATAATTTAAATTAATTATCATTTGTATTTAATAATTTACAATGTGTTATTTAATATGGACTGAGTAAGCCAATATTTTAGAATAAATATATACATATAGATAATGGAATCGATATCAAATCTACCTACAATCTAAAAAGATTACCCCAAATTTTGCTTTAGTTCATTTCCACAAGACGAAATCCGTGGTTTCGAAAAGTTATCTCTAATTAATACATAAAATATTTCCCAAGCTTTTGGGAATATTGAGAGCCCTAGAAAACTCTAATCATTTCTCAATCCATGCAATACTTACGTATTTCAGCACCAGCAAAGTGCAGAATAAACAGGACCGAAGCGATAGTCAACATTTCGATATCTTGCACAACAGAAGTGTATTAAACGGCGTGGACGACCGGCCGGCACGGTGCTTCGACCGCCACTAAACCACCTTCCACCAGCCTAAGGACATGTGAACGTCCACCGATTTACCACCTTCGAAAACATCCACCTTCCCCCTCTAATGGTGAAGGTGTAAACGGGATGCAGAAATGGAAACTGCGTGATCCTGGCGTCCGTTTTAGCACGAGACCGTTGCCAAATTTCCTATTGACACGCGTATAACCTAATGACTAATTAGTCGTTACGAATAAATTAATATTTTCAATAGGGTATCATGTACAACGTATTGCTATTAAAACAGTAAGTGACAAGAGATGCGGTTGTCCGTCAACTGGATGAAAAAGAATACACAATACACTCCAAGTCATATTTCCTTTCTTTTCTTATAAGCTAGAGCTATAGATAGGTAGTTGATTGTAAGAAAATTGATATCTCTAACGTGTATGATCATGAGCTTTATGCGTAAAATGAAAGAATCGAGTTTCAAATAGCCTTTTTATTTATTACTTATTAAAGACAGAAAGAATAATCTTATATATACGAAAATTTTAATAAGCTCAAAATCTAGATTTACGCGGTAAATTCCTTTCACCTAAACCGCACGGGATATGGGTGTATGACACTAATTCCGTTTCCTGCGAGTTGGGCAATGTTTGGTCAAGGCGAGCTACCGAGCTCCAGTACTTACGAAGATGTACCATTTCGCAAGCTGCGTTTTATGGCTCCCTCCTTTGTTTCCATAAAATATTAGTACCCCCCTCTAATTTACGAACAGGTATTACATACTTCAGATGATTGATATTTGTTTTTTTAACTTAGTAGTAGGTGTAGTCTTTTGTGCCTGACAAACGGTGACATTCGGTGTCATCCGGATTTTTTAAAAGCCGCACGAGCACGAATCACGTTAGTTAAAGTACGCACGCTGAATTAACACAGATCCACATCTCTTTACAAATTCTAATAAAATAACATAACGCATCAAAACCTATTAAAGCTATTTCTTTATATTAAACTTACAATGCGCGATGCGTCCATGCCCAAAATTACAATAACCGACTAAAAATCGTTCTGGAGATTTCGGGTGTTATTAAATATTACATTGCAAAACTGCCTTTAATATAGAGATATTGATTTTCCCGAACGGAAAATTTTAAGACTGCAAATTACATACAAGTATTGCAGTGAGAATGCAGTCAGTTTACACTTCGTGTTCTATTCATAGTTGATATTAAAATATATATAATAGATAAGGATAAGTTAAAAGCTCTATTTAAATTGCATAATTTTACGTTTGAATAGTTATTACACCATCTTTCTTATTATTTAATATTAACGTTTAAAGACATACGCACGTTTAATTTTTTAAATATTTACACATTGACCAAGTTTAGTTATGATAACAATCTAAATAGTATAACATCCATTTAAGACAAGTTCTATACATATCAATTTTTATACAAATATAGCTAGTCAACCTATATATATATATATATATGGTATATAAATATATATATTTATACATATATTATATAATCTGTAGTGTAGTTACGATCTTAAGCCATTTGCAAAATTTGAATTACCACAAACAAGCTGTATGTAGTAAAAATACAATGGATTGTTCCCATTGGTAATTTTTACAAGAGACGTTGCCGGTTTGTTTTGTGCGAAAAGAAATGTCGTTATAGTAGGCAAAAGACGCCGCACGGGCCATCCCCTGCCCTACTTACCTTTTGATCTCTCAAGACTCAGTCAATTTGTCGCTATGACCGAAATTGGTAATGTAATTTGTTTATGCGCAGGTGCCAATCCCTTATGCCCGCGTATTAATCCTAAGTCTTATTAAAAAATAAATTATATTAATTAATAGGTTATGTGATTATAATTGTAGTAGCTTAAGAACCTAGGGGTAGAAACACAAATAATCTATAGGTACAAATAAATGTGAATTAATGTTTGCTAACAACAAATATAATTTTCTTAGAAATCACTCAAACTTAACATTTAAAGTGAAGGAAGAAAGGAAAAGGAATATTCAAATTCAAAAATCATTTAATCATATGGGTAACACATTGTACGAGGGGTGATCCAAAAGTAATGATAATCAATATGAAATAAGGATATTTTAAGTTAAAAAAGAAATTATTTCTCTACATAGTCTCCTAGCGAGTCAATACATTTAGTCCATCTTTTTTCTAAACCCATAATTCCCTTTGAAAAAAATTCGTTGTCTTGACCCTCGCAAAACACCTCTACAGCAGTCATCACCTCGCTATCGTCGTCAAATTTTTTGCCTCGGAGGTATTCCTTGAGCCGAGGAAAGAGGTAAAAGTCACTGGGAGCCAGGTCTGGCGAATAGGGTGGGTGTTCGAGCAATTCGAATCCCGTTTCTTGAATGGCAGCCATCGCAACGGCGGCTTTGTGAGACGGTGCGTTGTCTTGGTGAAACAACACTCCAGCTCTGAGTTTGCCTCGTCTTTTTTGTTTGATGGCCTCCCGCAATCTTCTTATTTGGTCTGCGTAGTAAGAGACTATAATAGTGGCTCCTTTTTCCAAGTATTCCACCATTATAATTCCTTCGGCGTCCCAAAAAACGGACGCCATAACCTTTCCTGCCGAACTTGACACCTTGAATTTCTTCGGCGTCGGGAAGAGGCTCGTTTCCAAGTCCTTGACTGTTGTTTAGTTTCCGGATCAAAATGATGGATCCAGGTCTCATCCATGGTCACGAAACGAAACAAAAAATTTTCCTGATCCGTCTGGAACTTTTCGAGATTCGCCCTCGAAATGTCTACTCGATTTTTCTTTTGCTCGTCGGTTAACATTCTCGGCACCCAACGCGCAGAGACCTTTTTCATATGCCGCTCGTTTGCAAAGAACCTTTGAACACTGCCATATGAGATCCCTGTGATCTCAGCTACATGCCCTATGGTCACTCTTCGATCTGCCAATTCGACATCTTCGACTTTTGTAACGTTTTCCGCATTGAGGGACGTGGATGGGCGTCCCTCGCGATGTTCATCTTCTGTGGATGTTCTACCCAGCTTGAACTCCTTTGCCTAGCTCACAACTGTGGAATATGGAGGAGCAGAGTCCCCCAATGTTTCCACTAGGTCGCTGTGTATGTCTTTGGTAGACATTTTTTTCAAACAGAAGTACTTTATGACAGCTCTGATTTCGTTTTTCTCCATTTTGATGTTTACTTTCCGTCTGTTCGTATTCAAATGAACGTACCTCCCGGAAATCGTGGCCTATTTATATGATTTTTTTATGCTGAACTAGTGGATATATGAGGAAGCTGAAACAATTTTTTCATATTTTTATATGCTCTACAAATAACCGATTATCATTACTTTTGGATCACCCCTCGTACACTTATGAATTGTCAGTAAAGTAAAAAAATACATAATATTAATGCTTCTAATTGTACATTTAGTGCCAGTTCTCAAATCAAGGGCGTAGAACGGAAGAGAAGAACTGGCAATAAACTCTCCGCCACTCTTTTTAATCGCCATGTTTTTTTTTTCTTTTTTTTTTTAATAAAAAGTGCTTTGAACTTTACATCGAGGAATGTAAGATCACAAAATCAAATGATTCTACGTATGGTTTTTGCCTCAATTTTAATACCGTGAGTTAACCCAATTTAATCAAACTTGCACCTATTGAATTTATTACAAATATACATTTACCTTAGGTATTTAAACCGCTAATTCTAGGAAATTTGCGCTATTTATACTATTTTAGAAACGCCAAAAGAACCTCGGAGCAGTTTTCACGCTGAACTCTGAAGTCATGTTTTGTGATTCTATTTATTACCTAAAGAGACTTTAAGTGAAATATATTAGACTATACGTGAAATATATATTCATCGATACTTCTAAACATCTAAAAAGTAAATAATCTTATCCTATTAATCTGAATTTGTTATTATTTAGGCACAAGTGAACTTAGCGATAATATTTACGTCCCGGTCGTAGCTATTCTTTTAATCCTACCGAACTAGCACGCCAATGTGCGACGTTGCCGTTTTATTATTTATATTATGAATTTATCAACCAATTTTGTCTCAATTTCTTTGTATGATAAAATAGGGTTTTTAGTTAATTACATTTTTCTTGTACTATTACGAAAATATGCATATTACACCTTGCACTATAAAAAAAAGCCATAGCGCTTTTTCTACGTTGTATATATTATATACCTTTGTATTACCTTTTTTGCAATATACACGCGTAAGAAAAATAACTTTCGCAAGCATGTTTATGAATTTCGCCACAAAAGCGAATTATTTCAATCAGAATAGAATTTAGCACAGATAAATACTGCTCACAAAATATTGATTATTGTTTTACATACTATAAATACATAAATTTAGTTTTATCGTCGTCCAGTTTTAAATTAGATTATTTTAAAATGATGAAAATATAACGTTTCTTAACCGACAGCGATTATCACGTCGTCCGCTATAAACGGATGAATCGGGAGGATGCTTGGAAATAAATCCGCTGTTCAATTGTAATTAGAAAACACAATCAAGGGCGCTGCGGTTAACATTCGGGTTCAACAAACTGTCGTGTGTTTCGACATTGCTGCAAAGATTTATTCATACAATTAATCTAAGGCCATGCAGTGTTGCCGTCTTTCATCTAAGAAGTAGTAGGCTCCAACGGCTGTGAACCCCTCAGGACTTTCCTGTCATGGGCGCATTTAACACTCCCTCGTATGGTGATGGAAAACATCGCGAGGAAACCGGCATGCCGTAAAGTTGCCAGCCAGTATCATGCATAGGCTGATCACCTACATGTCTAAAAATAATGAAATACATACTTAAATCTCAGTCCTACCAAGAGTCGTAGCGCTACTGTTTATTTAATCAAAGGCCACAGCTTAAATATAACGATCCTGGTCCAATAATAACTCATACCACATAATTCTACGTTTCTGACATAACAAATATTCAGAGATTAAAATATATATTGAGATTCGTCCTTAGATGATGTCATGGTGATTCTTTCTTAGGCAGTAGGAAAGTCATTTATTCAATAATATTGTGTCTATCTCCTCGACGTCCGTCGTTCCACAACTGAGCGTTTCTTAAGGTTTTTCGCGCACCACCAGTATGTGGAACCAGCTGCCCACTAAAGTATGCAAAATTCATAACAAAAATGTCTGCGCTAAAGCAACTTTATAAATAAGTAGAGCAAATATTTATAACTACTTATTAATAACTACTTAATTTTTATAATAATTCATTGTTTCACATTTAAAATGCAACATATAATAAGTAACTTTTGCTAAAAACGATAATTAAAGTCACAATTATTATGAAACAATAAACACTATACTTTTCGAATCAAAAATAAAACACCAAATACCAATATATTTTTAATAACAATTATGGCTTAGGAAAAATTTGGTCCAACGGTAACGAATTAACGATACGATTAGCTGTATCCAGGAGGACTTTTGCTGTTGTCTTCTCAATATAAGGCTTCATGGCTTGCAGAAACTCACCACGATTTTGATTTATAGCTTCGTTCGTCGCTTCTTCTGCAAAAGGTTAATCACAATTACAAATGAAACATAAAGAAAAATTTGTGCGTAACGGCACACACAAGTGTTGTTCATAATATAGTCTATAATCTGAATGAGCAGGTTAGCATTAAATAAAAATTTCTCGGGTGAATTCGCCACATTATTTACATTCAATACTCCAATTGCTTAGGAATAATTAATATTATTAGTTTTAGTAACGAATTTTATTGTCTAGTTGAATTTAGCTGTCGACTGCGTATCTGGGCTACGTGATGACCGCTACAACCTCTTCCAATTGATTATAATGGGTAAAATCCAGGATAAACGGCGAGTTGGTAAAAGGAAAAAATCATGGCTTCGTAAGGTTAGGGAGTGACTAGACATTACTCCACGATACTGACGGTCAACCTCCAGGTAATGAAGAGGCACCAAATGAAGAAGAAGACAACGATTGCTGAAAAGCACTTGAACCTTAGATTTACATAATTTTATTACAAAAGTTTTTTTCTCTGGGTTATTATAGAGAAATATTTTTTTTCAAAACACCGACAGACGATGCTTTATTTTCTAAAGATTGCTTTTTTTATTGCATGTGTTCGAATTAATTAACTACTTGTGCATACCGTCCACGCCTATAATTAAGGCAACATTTTAAATTTAGAATTTGCTAATAAGTATACAAAATACATTGTATTGCCGGTTAGCGTTGCTAACTACATTTTCTGCGTTAATTTTAACTATGGTAGTTAGCAGCAGTACTTATATATACACTGAATTATTTATTAAAGCCACTTAATTATACTTTTACTAAAAATATATTGTAATCTAGATAGATATCATAGATCAAGGAAGACATGAAATTCTTAATTAAACAATTAAGTTCACGTCCCGGTGACACAAACATTATCTATGATATAAACAAGTGATGCCCCAGATTTAAAATAAAATTCATAACAAAAATTTCTGCGCTAAAGCAACTTTATAAATAAGTAGAGCAAATACGTCAATGCTTGTTAATTTTTTAAATAAGTGCAAGTAGTAAAGTTCTGGAAAAACATATTAACCGGTATAAAAAAATTACAAAGTAAAATGTATGTTCACAGATATATAGTAAAAGAAATGTAGCATGTCCTTGCAACAATACAGCTGAAGATACGGTAGCATGTCCTGACTGACTTTAAAACAATGGCTACGAAACCGAACTGAACTTATTATAGGAATAAACATAACAGACAGAAACTTCAAAGACATAATGTTTAACAAAAGTTTAAGAGACCTAAAAACTGTAAATATAATACAAAAAGTTGTAAACAGAAATAAATAGTACTTAATCATACAGTGGCGTACCTATACCATCTGAGGCCCGTGGCAAATTCTTTTGATCAGTTATCAGTAATCAATAAAAATCGACACGTTGTACTCAGTTTAATTTTATTAAATTCATATTTAATAAACTTCAAAATTTTCAGCGTAATGAATTACACGTTGTATATGTCCCACTAATGGTCATAGGCCTCCTCTCTTAGGCGAGAGAGAATGGTCACGCTAGCCCAATGCATATTGGAGACTTCACATTCATCTATAGAACATAATATCTCTTGGTCAGGGGCCCTCTTGGGCCGGGGGACCGTGGCATTTTGCCAGCCCTGCCACCCTATTGTTACGCCACTGTAATCATACTATGTACTTACAAATGCTACGTCGTTAATTATAATATACAGATACGTTAATTAATACCTCCGACGACAATATATTCGGTGAATTAACCAAAGAAAATATATTTAAAAAAACATAGTTCACTCCATTTTAAGTTAGTTACTATGTAGGATATCCACACTATATTAAACGACACTATACAGAATGGCCAAAAAGTCGTGGATCAAACGCAATTACGGCATAGATAAGGTCATCAGCTGCAAAAAAATGTTCTACGGGAGGTCCCTAACCCCTGCAGAGTTATATAATTTATTTTGCATTTTTATAAGAAAAGTAACTTTTTTTACTAATTCGAAAGAATCTACATCCTGTATCTTTTTCATAATATCCACTAGATTGGTACAGATGAGTCCATGCGTTAGACGTGCTATTTATAGCTGTTGTTTATCCCACGGAACCCCACTGTAAAAAAAAAACTCTACCGAAAAGTGAACCTGTATTACAAATTTTGGCGCATTTAATAGGGATTCTGAAAAGGTATTACACATGGCCATGAGTGGCTATAATAAAACAAAAAAAATAACATTAATCATATTAGAATACTTTTATCTTACCCAGTGTTTTGTCTCCATTGAACAGCCCATACAACCTAAGACGATAGTCTTTCATGTCAATTTCAACATTCACATTCTGGAACTTGATATATTGCGTTCCATTCATCTCGTATATTTTGTTAGTTATTCGCACGTCAGCGTCACACTTTACTGGAATTTGCGTAATACAAAAAGAGAAAAAAATGCTATAAATACATATGTCTTATATCTATAATTGCTATTTCTTTGTCTCGCTAAAACTCGAGAATGGCTGGACCTGGCTGAATTTAGTTCTTGAAATATTTGTGGAAGTTCAGGGAAGGTTTAAACCAAAACATAAGTTAACAACAATACTAAAAATGACAGTTGAATTTTCTAATAAAAACTGTTCCTAGCTGGGAAATCTTTGATGTCTTTTTATAAATAAAATATTGTCACATGGTTTTGCCTTTAGAAATGTGTTTCATAGCTGTAGTATGTCCGATCTCTTTGATCTGTGTAAAAATGTGTATTATGTTTTGACACAAATATGTGTGGTACGAAGTTTCCTGGGAAATCTAGTATAATATAATTATTTTACTAATTTTGGGGTGATATAAGAAGCCCGGGTTGTTTCGACAAACATATTCTACAAACTTTGAATCATCATATCACGGCTTATAATGGTTTTATTAGTTTGTAAGTTTTGCTGCGCCTTCAACTATATCCAAGTTAAAATGTCACTCGTCAAATGGTCATAGGATGTGTTTCTGAATTTGAAAATGGAATAATATTCTTAAGCTCTAGATATGAAAAGTACTTACTGGCATCAGCCACGAAGTTTCCTTGACCACGAAGCGGTACCACCAAGATTTGAGTGTCCAGCTGGTAAAGACCTTCCAAATGAAGTTTGGGAAACCGAAAAAGGGCTCGTATCGCAAATGTATCTAAGTTTACACTAAAACAAAAATTAAGATGAATTTGACTTTGGGGATAGTCATTACTTCAATTTTACCTTTATATTAAAGCCAGCAGTTAAATATACAATAAAGAAATATTCAGTTAAATAGCCATATTAGCCATTTTATTCCATACCATAAATTATGTAACCTTACGGACTCGAAATATTAAAGTACGGAAAAGCAAAAAAGAAAATAATTACTTCTAGACAAAATAAAGTCGAAAAACTACTATCGTTGAAATATCGTCGGTAAAAACGAGAAAAAACCGGGAATAATTTCTTATTAAATGTAAATTTATCAATATATCCCATTGTAAAATTTAAACTTACGTAATTAAAGGGTTATTAGGATCTTTGGTAGGCACATATCTAGGTTATGTTGAAAAATATACTTACTCAACATTCTTAACAGTGAAATCACTAGCGCCTGATACTTTCACGTTTTTTGCTTTAGCTTTGAGAGGTGCCAGTTCACCGCTTATTGCTATTATCTAGAAAAGGATATTATTAATTAAAAGAACACTAAATTATTAATTAACCAACATCACTTAATATGAATATTAGTAATATAATTACAGCTTAGGACATATTGCTAATATCGCATAAAAGCGGTTTGCACAAAAGCCTTGGATTCGCTTACTGGCGGATAAATATTTTGGGTTATATTAATTTATTTCACTATAACACTAAACAGGAGAAAAATAAAACAAAATTAATGAAGATTAAGGATGTAAATCGGGCGATCTTACTGCTTAAAGCAGTTTCTCCCAGACAACCCAAACAAATATTATACACACGGTGTGTAGGCACTGAGGGCTGCTTCGCTATTGGAAGCTTACGGAAGTTAAAGCACAGTATTAAACTCTAAAAAAAGCGTAAAATATTACTTCACTAATGTAAAATGGATCGATACTGGGCACTTGGAACTCCGGTATCCCAGAGACAAGGTGTGGTCGCAGACTCTGTACAGAATCCGTCACACACTCGTTGATAGTACTCTGATCTCGCTTGCATATTTTCATATAATCCGCTGCAAATCATACGTAATCATACAAAAAGCTATATAGGAATATTATTTAGGCATAAGTAGAGGATATAAAAGGATATTAGTAGCAGTGGACCCGTTCCGAATACGCCTGCGAACGATTTTGGTAATTGATGCAGTAATAGCGTACGACAGCTTTTTATTAAAAATAATCTTCAAACCTTATTTACTGCGCTGTTATACGCACACATAATTTTAAATTAAAAATAATAATAAGAATAAAACACTTTCCCAATATGTAAAGGGCTAGATGAGACTGGTACGATAAAGCCACTAGGCCAGTGTTGGCCTGGTTGATATTTTTGATCAAATTATGCAGAAATTAGAGGTTACTGTATCTACTCTTAATTATCTATAGACAATAAAGACATGTCAGTCACAAAATATTAGTAACGATGAATTGCACGTACTTGAAAAATTTATGAACACGTATGAGTAAATTATAAGGCATTTAAAGTCTATTAAATAGCACACGCATCAAGTTGCTTTTATGGTGGAAACAGTTTTATAACTTAGTTTAAGTAATATTGCGCAAATATAATAAAGAAATTTATTAACGTTTTCAATGTGCAAAATATTAACCGTGATTTTTAAATGTTAAAAATTAACATTAAAAAATAAATCTCAGTAAATAAATGGGATATTTGTTTTGCATTTTTAATGGTTTACTGGTGAGAGATTCGAACATGTTAAAATTCACGAATGGTTTAAGTATAACGTCTTTAAGTAAAATATTAATTAAATTTAAGTGAATAGAATCTGTATATTCATTATTTGTTTAATATTGCCATAGATTAAAAACACAAAGGAATTAAACTTTTTAAACATTGCCTAAAGAGACCCCAACTATATTTAAAAACATATATCATCTATGCTATACCTAGCAACTTTTGATTCACCCAAACCTAAAACTAAGTGCCTTGTTTACTCGCTTTATTTTAAAGTAAATTTACTTACGTATTTTAACCAATAAAACTACATTTATAAAACAGAACACCACAAAGATGAATGTAACACGTAACATTTTATCTAACAGTATTCTAAGACTGTAATTTTACATGCTGATTAATACATTATATACCTGACATCAAGAATCATTCAATCAAGGTAAATATTACGCGAAAATCAGCATTTTTCAGTAAATGGGACAAGCGCATATTATGATTTTTCGAAGTAAAATAATATATTGCTAAAATCTAAAGTTTACTGTTACTTAAAGCGTCTTGTTAAGACTTAATGAATTTAACAAATATATTAAATTTTGTTTCTGAGTTGCACCGTTATATGTATACCATTATGTACAATGATATAGTTAATCTAAAATTAGAACAAGAATGGACTTCTCTGAATACTACTGTGAGGTTGATTTTATGTGGGACTATAGAATGAAAAAATCATATAGTTATTAAGAAATTAAAATGTTTTCAATATATTTTAAACATCTTTATCGTAAGTAACGTAAGCACTAATGCTCAAGATATTTTCGTTTTTTTTTTATAATGGTACAGGAGGCAAGCGAGAATGGGGGTCGTTTTGAAGTGATGTCCGCCGCTTATGCACACCTTGATCGCCGGGGCTACCGGGTGTGTTGCCGGCCTTTCAGACCAAATGGTACGCTTTTTTCTTGTAGGTTCCTAATTCGTATCGGTTTGGAAATACCTCTACTGGCAGCTGGTTCCACAATGAGGTGGTGCGCGGCACAAAGTGCCTTAAAAAGCGCTGTGTTATGAAATGCCAGTTGTTTGGAATTGATGGAAGGCTCAGGAGCTTAGAAGCTTCAGGGGTTTGAGATAATATCATTTTTTGCCAGACCAACCCCGCATTTATATGAATTGGTCACGTGACAAAGCGTGAGCTAATGTCTTTCCCATACCACACCTTTCGAGAAGTGATTTTGTCTCAAGCCCCAGTATATTATGTAGATATGTTATTTCAACTCCCCATCGGCCTATACCCTTGCCAACTTTGTGTACTTGAGGCACACAATAATACTAGTCTTAAAAAATAGTACTGAGGTTATTAGAGATAGATTATTTTAATATTCATTTAATCAGAATTGCTAAGATAGATAGTGGCAAGTATACCACGCCTTTGTAATACTATATTTAAATATAAATACATACAAACAATTACATGAATTGACAAGCTCTTCGTTTTTGTTGATCGGGAACCATGATACGTTACAATTAAACACTAATTGAATTGCACTGATAATGATAATTGATTGAATGATTGTCATTCTTTTAAACAATGTATGATCAAAGTATCTATCTCTAGATATGTCGTGTAAATGAACTGATTATTATTATTACCCTTATTATGTACATATAATTTATAACATATAATTGTAGTCTTGTGGTGATTTTTAGTTGGTTGAAAATGGACTTATTGATTCTTTTGCAGTTCATGGTATTCGCAACATCCTCCTCAAACAATACATCTTGAATGCCTCTAAGTTTTTTCGGTCCGCGTGATTTAACCAGAACTGATCCGTACAAAAATATTGAAAATACCAAAGTTCTGACGAACCTGCTCTTGGTAGTATTCGACACGTTTCTGTTTTGCCATATTCTGGTTAGTTTGCTCATTGCTGCTGTAGCCATCTGTGTTAGACTACGGATTTCCCCATCTTTTTAACCTAGGCTGTACATAATAATAAATATAATTAAAAAACAATAAAAAAACACTCTGTGTACCTTTACTAACCCGTAAAAGCTAAACCATTGAGCAAAAGTGAGGTTATAGTTTAGTTAAATTATATGAAACTACCAAATAACAATACGATTGGACTACCAGGAAGGCATTTCTTGCCACCCACTCCTACTATGTGGAAACTTAGGGTCCTTCAAGATAAGCCAATTCCTAATTGACCGGCAATATACTTGCCAGCCAGTTAAAGCTGCTTCCCGCTTGCCCCGTTTCATTAAAAACGGGTTAAGTACAAAATGGTGACCTAGGTTTTCAATAATATCTTAAGTCAAGCGTCATTAAGGTTTTAGTGTCAAGATCAATACTCAACGCCAACCTTGTATAGGATGAGGATATTATTGACTTCCGATGTGTATGAATCAAAAATAACATGCAATAGTACAACACATATTATGTGAGAATAAATGTTAAGAGCAAGCTAGATGTACAACGTTTGATTTGGGTCAATTAAAACTCTGGATATGTTCATCTGCTTCCATGTCGTTTCTTTAGGTCTACTGAATGCACATGACAGGAAATGTCAAAGTGTAGGCAAATGGAGTCCCGCAACACGTCAGTGGCAACATTTTTGAGTATGTTTTACTGCTCATGTGTGTTGTTTTTTATATAATACAAAAACAACTTTTGAAAATTAATAATTAAGACGAGATTAAGAACGCCTCGCATCGCTTTTGGTCGTCTTATCTGGTCTGAGAATCATCTTTCATCAAAAACGGTCGAGGCGCTTAGGACTTTAATTACATACGCACAGAAGATATATAAATCATTTTATAAAGATTGTACTCTGACACTAAAAGATATATGTGGAACCTTCAAGAAAAGAGCGTATCATTTCTTAAAAGACCGGCATCGCACTTGCGAGCCTTCTGGCAATGTGAGTGTCCATGGGCGGCGGTATCACTTGACATCAGGTGAGCCTCCTGCCCGTTTGCCTCCGTTACATAAAAAAAAAACATTAATCATTAATTGTACTGAATGTTATTTATTAAATATATTATAACTATTCTGTATTTCTTATTATTGAGGTTCTTTTGTCTATCTAAAAGATTAATTATTAAGTAAATACTAATTTGATTAATGACTATTATTGAAGCCTCCATATTGCTACCTTCTCATCCGTTCAATGTTATCGCAGCTAAGTTACGTTTATAGTAGTAATCGCACTGAACATTACAAGTTATTTTTATACGAAAATAATTGAAGTCATTTATTTAAGGCTTGAATTTTTAAATATGTGTGTGTACATAATGCGCTGTAGGTAATTGTGAACACAACATTACATTTAATTTCATTAATTACCTGAAAATTATTATTATTGCCAACACGTTATTCGTAAAAAATATGAGTGATAGATTCAAATTCCAAATAATTTATTCATTTAGGTAACACCATGTACACTTATGAGTCAATAAATAAATACATATTAAATGCTTCTAATTTTACATTTACTGCCAGTTCTCAAATCAAGGCCGTAGAACGGACGAGAAGAACTAGCAAGATAGGTTAGAGTTGAGATCAAATATGCCGAGTAAGCTAAACATTATACTGCTTTACCGGCGATACTAACACCTCACACGCCATAAAATATACATATGTAGAAAAATTTCCACTTAATGTAATCAAAACTCCCTATTTTGATGTATTGTTATAGAATCTCATGATAAGTATGAAGGTACGTCACAGTATTTACGATAAAACGCTGACCTCTGCTCTGCCAAATTAGTAATCCGAGTTATTTAGATGATATTTATTAGTGAAGTGGAATTGTCGTAATGTGGTCTAAAATAGGATTTTTTCTTATATTTTATTATTTTCATCCCGGGGACTCTCAAGGTACATTTATGTTCCACATAAGAGGATTTATTAATTTAATACAACTGTGGTTTTATATGTGTATTAACTTTGTTATATGGTAATATATAACCGTTTAACAGTAGTGCGTGAAAAATTTTATATTCAAAGCTTTGACATTACCAACTGTACCAATAAAAAAGTCAGTGTCTAATGCAGAAATGGCTCCCAATATATAATAACAAATATATTTCTAGATGCCGTTACTAAAAGCTCACAAACTGTTGAAGAGGAAGAGAGGTTAAGCGAATTTATCGCAAACGCAATCGATTCATTTCAAGAAGCCAGATCCCGTGGGCCTTCCCGGGGCGAAGATACCCGACCCATACCATGTTCCAGAAATAAAGAAGAGCCTTCCTCTTGGAGGGTCCATAGTCTTTAAAAATACTGCTCTATATGGCATTAGTAAATTTCGTGTGCTCTATGTTAATGTTGAAGCCGGTAAAATGGAGGTAAACCCAATTTGAGACCTATTGAACGTACTTATTATATTTCGCATTATATAATTATGAGCAAGTGTTCTTCGTACCTAGGCGAAGGCAACGTACAAGGTTGTTGGCGGTACCATGTGCCAGAACCAGTCTGTTGCACAGATCCCCGTTAACAAAGACGTTGCGCTTACTGAATGCTATCTCCGACACTTTAAACATCTTTACATGTTCGCAGAGTGAATTCACAGAAGCGATTTTGTGTATCTTACGTATTTAATTATTTTAATTAATTAATTTTAATTAAAAAAAAGGGGAATTTCCCCCAAACACGGGTATCGACACAAACAATAATATTGTAGCGCCATCTACAAACTATGGCAACAAACTCTGCAATGACATTTCCTAAAACGCACTAATAAAGTTATTCCGTATGCAAAGGTATTCGTTCCGTCCAATCAGTTGTTAGACAGATCGATCATCTTCCCTTAAGGTCGAAAGAACAGCTGCACCTTCCTTTCTGCAAGAAACCAATAACCAAAGATTTAATAAAAAATCATTTATATTATATGGAATTTAGGATGCTATAATTGTCTTTTCATTCTTTAAAGTAGTCGTTAATCGAGTGAATGAGGGTACATTTTTAATTAGGAAAAATAATGCAGATTTATTTAATATATAATAACAGTCACATTAACTGTAAATGTATGGTTTTGATAGAAATTATTTATCTCAATTTCAGGCTACTGCTGCCTTATCAATTGATAAAGTACACGCTCAGGGAAAATATGTATTAAGTACCTGGTTGAGAACATACCCCGGCAATTACCAAACCGATGTTGAAGGTATAAAATCAATTGCAACAGCTTCACTCGAAGTGGATACAGACGGAAAAATAAAAGCACAAAATATATCTATGGACATAAGTTTCAATAACATTGGGGTCCAATTCGAAAATTCGGGAATAATATCCATGTTTTTACAGGGACTATTCAATTCAATGGGTATATTTTTGTTCAATAGTATCAAGCCGTATATTCTAAAAGATGCCTATACGAAACTAAGGGAAGAGATTAACAAGAAACTTGAAATTGTTGCTGGTGATCTGCAATTTCCTAATTCAATATCACCCATTGACATGATATTAATAAAGGCGAGAAATAACGTAATTGCTCTCGAGAAGGATCCTTACAAGATAAAAAATTACAACCATTCTGTTAGTATGTTTCACGTAGCCTTATCTCAAACAAGGCTCACAGGATTATCCTCCTTTTATCGCGATGGAAATACCACTTTGAAGATGGAAAATAACACAATAATAATCGATTTGAGCATCGGTACTCAAGAGATACAAGGTTCCACAAATTGGAAAATATCTACATTCAAGGGATACTTTACAAAAGTTGGAACTGTGTCATTTTCAATCAACTACGTACGAATACGAATAATTTTAGGACAGCCTTTGGACACAAGAAAACGACCTGAATTCATGAATCTAGATGTTGAACTTGGTAATTTACAAATACGATTCGATGGAGCAGGAACAATAGACTATGTAGTTGAGATGGCCATAAATATATTACCCAATATTTTAAGAAACCAAATTATCGTAGCTTTGGACGACTTAGTTCGGATTAAAATACAAAGAGAGCTAAATGAAGTCAATGTGGAAGATCTCATTAAGGAATTCTTGCCTATTGTAGATCATTTACAATTAAAAGGATTTAATCTTAGTCAATTTTTTCCAACTCAAGAAGAAAATCGGTATGACGAAGACGATTTCTTTAATTTTTAAGTTATTAATTTATATTTATTAGAATCCCACCCCATAACTTTAAATTAAGTGTAACTGTATTTTATGTATTGCTTACGATTTGCTTACCTTTGTCACCTAGGCGCATAGTATTTACTAAACTGTAAAATATATTATAATATGTACAATATTTTGTTGTTTTCTTTCAACAATATTCAACGGTACATAAAATCAAAAAGACCAAAGTTCTTGCAAATACCTTCGTTACAGACACCAATTATTAATTTCGGACGGAGTTTATTCGCGCCTAGGATGCCAAACATTAAATAGTATAAGCGAAGAATTGAACCGCGGTCCTTATAAACGGTTATAAATTGTATATTCTAAGCCATAAGGTTGGTGATGTAAGAAGTAACGAACTCCAGAGCTACATGCTCGTGTGACTTCCTTCGGAAACAGGAAAACATAATATCTAAACGTATAAACATTGGGTAGAAGACTCGAGTTGTCTATTTTTTCATCAATTAAATCTGTTACTAACAGCGATTCTCTTAAAAAGTATAATTCCAACATTTTAAAAAATTACACCTGTGTTAGGCTGATTTGATTATTACTTATTCAAAGTTATATACCCATTCGACTCCCTTTGTATGCAATTTAATGAAAAATAACAAGGATCAAATTACTCTAATCGCTATTACGGTCATCCTTCAAAACTAGATATGAAATTTGTTTGCTAAGCATTAGAAATCCGAACCCACCTATCGCATTACCGGATTACAACTAAAAACAAAACGTACTGAGTAAACATCAAATAATTAGGTAGACAGGACGACAAACAAATAAAAACAATTAGATAACGAGCGAGTACGTAGTACCCAGAATTGATTTGATATAACGAAATAGTCTGATAAACTGTGACCCCATACAGTCGAGATGTTCATTCAATAAGGGGATATGTTAACTTCGACAATGTGGTTGAAATTTCTAATTTTATGCGCAATATTCAATTTTGGAACCAGTGAAGGTGTTTTATATTTTATACTTGTGATGATTGTGATTTAATGGTGTGTTAATAATTGTGAGACGACCGCTTAAAGTTGTGTTTCGATGTTATTTACGCCATATTAATCGAACAAACGATATAATAATATAATTTGAGGTTACGTTACGATAAAGTATTCGCAGATGATAGCGTAGAACTGTAAACCATGTAAGTTACCCCATAATTCAATTCTTAACCCTAAAATGGTATTTTGTTTTTAGATGCATCTCATGTCGAGACAACAACAGTATCTAAACTTACTGAGGGCGAAGAAAAGATGAGTGACTACATTCTCCAGGTTTTAGAGCACTTTAAGAAACCGAGCCCAGTTGGAATACCTGGTGCTAAAATTCCAGAACCATATTACGTACCAGACATGAAACATTCACTTTCTGTTGGAACTATGTTCTTTAAAAACACCGCTGTGTATGGAATTAGCAAATTTCGCATTTTGCACGTAGAAGTTGAAATTGGAGCCATGGAGGTCTGTAGTTGTTTATTATATATATATAGTTGTTCTTATTTATTGACATTTATATTCACATACGTAAATAATAATATGTCTAAAACTACGTAAAAATAAAAATAATTGTAAAAACATAGTTGGAAAAATACTAACTTATAAGTAGAATGACACAAGTGCAATAAACGAGCTTACGTAAGGTTTTTATAACTAATATAAGGTTGCAGAGGTATTAGTGTGAGGGCTTTAAAAGAGTTTTAAACCGTTATGATTTTAAGCATTAAGGATATTTTTAATTTCCTGTTAATGTTCTTATGTGAACGGGCTGTGCGATTATGAACATTATTTACGTAGGGGCGCATTATGGTCTTGTCTTTGAGTATCTCTGTCTTTGTAGTCGCTTGCTACTATAATTATAATTAGTTCTAAACACATATGTATGTATAATATTATGTTGCTTACACCGGTTTTAAAAACGTCTGTCCTTTTAATATTACCGTTAATGACCAGAAACGGCCTTCGTGACCCCAGTATGTTTGGTAAATTCAAGGATTGATTTTAGGTTTCGTTTTCGAAAACAAAGTTCTGTGTTAAAATATTTGCAATATTCAAATTCTCGTAATATTACGCATATATCTCATATATATGCATATATTTCAGACTAAACAGGGAAAAGGAATGAAAACGCATAAATGTGATGTGTGCATGATTTTCTTAAAAAACAAAATTTTGTAATTACATCTTAATAGCTATTATGTCAGTATCATTTTGTAAGCTATTTTTAATATGTTCTTGTTTTTACTTCAGGTACATGCAGCACTAGCCATCGATAACTTACAAGCTCGTGGCAACTATACCATGACAACGTGGCTGAGCAAGGTTCAAGGACCTTTCACTGTAGACGTCACAGGAATTAAAATAACAGCAAAAGCAAACATCGGCGTAGAGAGAGATGGAAAATTAAGAACTCAAGATATCAATATTGACATAGAGTTTAGCACCATAGCAATGAACTTCCAAAATGCAGGCTTTTTTGGAGGAATGTTACAAGGAGTCGTCAATTCTTTGGGCCCTGTTCTTTTTGACTCGATTAAACCATATATACTAAAAGAAGCCTATACAAAAGCTAGAGAAGAGGTTAACAAGAAACTCGACGAGGTAGCTGGGGACATGCAATTTCCAAATTCAATATCTCCGTTAGATATGGTCATAGCGGACGCTAGGAAAAAGGTCAGAGATTTAGAAATGGATCCTTACAAAATAAAAGATTATAATACCACTGTCAGTATTTTCACAGTTACTTTAACTCACACATGGGTAGCAGGAATATCATCGTTCCACAGAGTAGGAAATATATCTTTAATAATGGACAATAATACCGTCATAGCCGATTTTGAAGTCGGAACACAGAGACTCCAGGGTAATACTCTTTGGGATATATCAGCAATAAATGGTCTTTTATCAAGGGCAGGAAGTGCCTCGTTCTCGGTTGAATACATAAGCGGAAGAGTAATATTAGCACAACCTCTTGACACTAGAAAGAAACCAGAATTCAGAGATTTGAACCTAGAAGTTGGTAACATACAAGTGCGATTCGATGGAGCTGGTACATTAGACTATGTAGTTGAATTTGCAGTTAATATACTCCCTAATCTCCTTCGATATCAAATAATGGATGCTTTGGAGACACCTATAAAAGAGAAGGTTCAACAAGAGTTAGACAAAATAAATGTAGAAGAGATTATCAAAGACGAACTTCCAAAGGTGGATCAAATGCAAGAGGGTGGCTTTAAACTATCCGCTCTGGTTTCAGATAATAAAGAGGAACCGTTCGATGAAGATGATTTTTTCAATTTTTAATAATATTATATTTATCACAACATACGAGTAGGTATATAGTTAATGACCGGAGTTAAAAATTAAATGTATAAAACGAATTAGTGTGCATTAATCAAATCCTACGTACCACCTTTCTAATTCTATATAATTATTACATACGTAATATTTTAAATTTTAATTTTTATGTATTTACTTTCCAAATACCATTAATTTGGTTATAAATTTAATTTAATAAAAATATTAAAGTCAATTCCGTTAGTATTTATATTATATAGGTAGAAAACATGCACGATTTTAATTATTTGTGATTTAATAAGATAAAATATCTAGTATATAACTGACCAATGTCACGTTTATAAGATCTTTTAAGGTATTTGCTATTTTAAATAATTCCTTTTTCAACAAAGGAAGTTCCATGAAGTGTCATTATGGTTCAAGAAAATAAAATAAATACAGATCATGGTAAATAAACTCTTAAGTTCACTAATGTCAGTAAAATTTACAGGTTTTTTTAAATAAGAAATATCAAAAACTTAACTTAACATATATTTTGAAGAATTATCAAAAACTTAAACTTAACATATTTTTTATAATCTTTACTTTTGCGTAAGTTAACCTCTATCAAAAATATATGGAGTCGATATTATCTTGCTTTATTGGTTAAGGCCCACAGAATACTAACAGTAATTAAAAGAGCTTTTTATTATAAAAATCGTGTTAGTCCAACAAAAGTCTTCGCGGCGTCAAACCGGTAGATAACGGTGTATTCCTCATATTGAAAGCTGGTTTCTTATCAGACAATCCGTTTTGTTGATCTCATTTTTAAAAGGCTTTAACGGGAATTAAGGAAACGTTTTCCGATTTAAAAAACGAATTTGTCAAAAAGTATGGTTTTGTCACTGGAGAGTTCAAAGACCGCTCTCCTTCTTAAACCTGATTGAATCACAAAGTAAATAATTATATTATAATAAAATTATAAATCGATGACAGACTGTCAGGTCGCCGGTCTCACCATGTTATGGAAAGTGGAAGTTGTTCAACGACGCAAACTCCCAACATTGCAGTGCCGGAGACAGAACTTGGCGCACGCTTGGAAAGTTATCTCTGGATTATATTTAACGTAGTACAATGAAGTCGTATCAAATTTTATTTTTGTTTCTCGCTGCTGTGATCACACCGAGCAAATCAAATTCACGTAAGTCTTTTGAAGAATGCAACTTACTATCTAGCTTTAACTTTTTGTAGAAATAAGAAAGTTTATTACATTGTAATATCTAGAAAGATTTCACCAATGAAGTAGGATCAGGAAGAAATATTCTAAAGAAAAAACTTTTTAACCGGATTAAAGTTATGTATTATTTTAAATTCACAATTATAAAGTTATATATTTATAATAATACATAACTTTAATCCGGTTAAAAAGTTTTTTCTTTAAATGTGTAAAGGTTATGTCAATAAAACACAATACCATGTGAAAAATTCTATATTCTAACTATACTTCAAAATTCACGAGTAGTGTAGACAGTTAACAAATTATAATATTTATTCTATGGCTTATAACCAAAATAGGCAGAGTTTTAATTTCTTAGTTTAGCAAGCCAAGAATAATGTGAAATTTTTAAATTATTGCATATGAAATTAACAGTAACAATTTCGTAGACAATTTTAACTTCTTCGTCGGATTTTCAGTTATAAACTTGCCCCTATTTATAAAAATTCAATCAGTACTATTTCGTCTCTTTCTGTCAAATTGTATTTACGGTGTGATGGAAAGTGAAGGATGAGCACCTTGGGTAAAGTGCAATTAGACTGATTTAGTTTTAGTTATTTAGTTTATTTTACATCTCGACATATGCGGCAGTAGTAATATACATTATTACATAAAATGTTCTTGTAAGAGAATATCCGTATTAAGTAATATGGGATGTTTACTCGTAATCACTGTATAATCTTGGACTAATGTAACATAGATGGAAAAATAATGACGCTTTTCTTATAGTTAAAAAACGATTATAATTTTTTTTAAACGATATAATTTAAAGGATTAGGTCATAAGCGATTATTTTTAAAATCCGGGTCCTATCAATCTAATAATTGTAAGCAAATATTGCTAAATAAAAACCAACTTCCTTATATATTGCCTTAAGTATATATTGAAATAATAAAGGATATACACCAACCGGGCCGATAAAGTGTATGTGACCCAGACGGGGCTCAAAGAGTAACGTATCTACAATTTTAGAAGTGCTTGATGCATCTTTCTCTCTGGAACTCGGATTTTATTGTGACCAGATGTCCAGATAATCCCCGGGCACAGTACAATATTTATTGTCATTTAAGCGACATAATCCCTATTTTGTATTCAACATATACAAATCGTAATTTGTTTAGTGCCCAATAAACATTTATGACAATTGCGACAAGCCTTGTGCTATTTGAAAAACAATATGTCCAAAGCTCCCAATATAACATCGCCATTCTACACATTTGCATATTTCAGCATTAAATTTAGTTGTAACATTTTACGGACTAATTTACTGAAACCTTTAGGTGATGTTATGCAATTCTTTCACAGTAAACCTAACTTTTTGTCTAAATTTACTTGAGATCGTCTTTTATTTTTCAAACCTTCAATTATAGGTTAATAATTAGTGTTACTATGTGATTCACAATTCTCAGGTTAGTTAATATTAGTTAATTCACAAAATTAAAATCACACAACTGGACATGTTATTAAAATATATCCATCGGCAACACAACTACGCATTTTTTTGACCATTTAACGACTGATTTAAGAAAGAAAAGATTCGATCTGTGAACTGAACTTGTTTTAATTTTTATATATGTAATTTAGTAAAAGCGAATCATTTCTTCATCTTCACACACAGCTTACAATGACTTCACTTATATCACAATGTAATTATATGGCCATTGACCGTAATAGTGAAATGTTACATATAAAGTAAATAATTAGCACAATATCATAATCACGTTATCAAATATTTTGACCATAGATAAAAATCGCAGCTCTAATTAAATTTTTAGTTTCAAGGAGTTCAAAATAAATTCACATTATTATTTCCGTTCAATTATTCTAACGACAAAATATTTGTCAAAGACGTCACGATGCAAAATATATTCAATAATATTTGCTAATAGTTAAATCACATAGGTCAGTAATTTTTTGTTTACTTTTAACCTTCGTCTGAATATATTAAGTGTTAATATTTACTTATTCCCAAACTGTTTGTACGGATCACGAACGCAACAAATATCGTATATTATGTCAAAATCTGAAATTTATTTATCGACTATGGCTTGTTATTTAAGTATATACATTTCATATTGTAACTATAATTATACAACGAATACTATTTACTATATATAGAGTCAGTAAAATAATAAAAAAGCGTTGGTTTTCAACATACATAGAAACTTTTATGGCTCGGTCTTCTGACTGCGTTTTCCCTAACATACACTACTGACTTGTCCTGTATTTTGCACTTAAAAAGCTAAAGTCCTGTCGTTTAACATTGAATTAAACATTTAATTTCGGATTATTAACATTTAATTTCGTTGCAGCACAAAACGTTTAACGTTAAATATTCATCACTTACACCGAAACATTGTAAGGCTTGTATTTTCCCAACATTTTTGAATATATTATATTAATTTTTGAAATAAAACAAAGTCGTATTTTTTATTATAACACTAATATTTCGTATATTAATGTTCAGTCTTTCGCCATTACTAAGAATACTACAAAAACTTATTTTATCGAAAAGAAAAAAAAAAAACAAAACAACACAGGCAATCGCGAAAAAAAATAATTTTTATTTTTGTTCCCCTCGCCTCATGCACAATACAAAAAGACGTACTTTGTTCAGTTTTCCCCGCGTAGAAGGAACATCTCCCTAAAAAAAAAAAAAACAAAAAAAAAAAAAAAAAAAAAAAAAAAAAAAAAAAAAAAAAAAAAAAAAAAAAAAAAAAAGAGAAGGGGGGAAAAAAGAAAAAAAAAAAAAAAAAAAAGAGGAGGAAAAAAAAAAAAAAAAAAAAAAAAAAAAAGAAAAAAAAAAAAAAAAAAAAAAAAAAAAAAAAAAAAAAAAAAAAAAAAACAAGAATTGATAAAGACTTTATGCAAATAACCATTATACCAGCACATATACCTAAATACGCGTTTGAACATATGACATCGATTTACAGTCTAGCCCACGTCAGTAGAAAATCTGACCAAAAATTTAAGAATAAATTGAAATAATTCTTAATTTAACGCAATTGCTAATTATTTTTTAAAGTTGTAACCTACTGTCAGAAGAATAAAGGTGATTTTAATTTATGTAGGTCAGTCTACAAATGTTATGTGGAGAATATTAGATGTCTTACAAGTTTCGATCTTGATATGTGCGAGATATTTTTTCAATAGATTTTATTTTTAAAAGCTTAAAATGTTTAATTTTTATAGTATTTTGTGCCAGTTGATTAAACCTTAAGTCCTCCGTTCAACAAAGTCATAAGGGGGTAAGAAAACTAAAAACCATTCTATTATTCTAACAAGCCCCCATACGTAATGTTTGTAAATTCCCTTTGATTTTGAAATATAGCGACAGAAAAGAATAATTTCCTACGTTAATACTAAAAATGTTTATATTTCTGTAGGCATCTGCTTTTAAAAGCGTATAAATATTTTATGTAAATAATAAGGATAAAGGCGAGATACCTCAATATAATAAATAAACACAGATTTATTGCGTGTTTATTATATTTTACTACTTGCGCATAATGTTTTAAATATTATTAAAACTATTTACGATATATGAATCCTCGATTAAAATAATTTTAGTTATGAAACTTGCAAATTACAAAAGTATACCTACTGTATACCTACTGTTTCAAGTAGAAGAAAAATTTAAAACTAATAATTATAATGTCATTAATATTGCAATTGTGTGACTTCGACCCTTTTCTATTCATTAAAGAATAGAAACATCAGATTTTCACGTCCAGATAAAATTTATCTGAAGGTTCCTATTGTTTATTGTTTTCACTGTTACTCGGTACCGTTATGCGGACAGTGCGCAGACGCATACTAATAGGATATAGAAAGCGCGAAACAGCTGATATTAATGCCTACAGATAATAGTTAACTGTTTCTTTTTTGGACGGCTATCGATCAATTTTTTTTTTAAATACGAACTGAGATATACTTTTTGAATATGATTTTTTTTAAGCATTTACTGTACGTTACTGCTGAAGGTGTAGTCAAACTTAAAAAAGATTTCTAGGGAAAATTAGTAGAGCTTGATAAAAAAAAAATTCGCTCACTAACTGATGTCAATACAGCTAGACTTGTTTATTTTAGTTACTTTCATAGCTTAATGACTTATGGCTTATTATAATGGGGTCATGCTGCTGATGTCGAAACTTTTTTCATCCTGCAGAAGAGGGCTATTCGTGCAATCTATAATTTAAAATGTAGGGAATCTCTTAGAGATAAATTCAAGGAAATTAATATACTTACCTTTCCCTCGCAATATATTTATGAAAATATTATGTATGTATACAAAAATAGTGATAAGTTTACTAGAATAGAACATACGCACAATGTTAATACACGGAACAAACACAGGCTGCAATTTCCCCGTAGGTACTAGACTATCTAAAGTTAGTAATTCTTTTTTGGGGAAAGGGATACTCTTCTTTAATAAAATCCCAGAGGCTCTTTTATCTCTGCCTTTCAATAAATTTAAGAAATGTATTAAAGAAAAGCTGTGTAAAAAGGCTTACTATAAAGTCAACGATTATCTAGTTGATAAAAGGGCCTGGGACTAGTGCTAGACAGGCTACTTCTAATTAATTTGCGATATTTGTTTTAAAATAAGTGTTGTTTGATGATTTGCTATTTTAAAAGAGTACCGAGAGTTTTTTACGCCGGCTTTTTCTCTCGGCCTACATCCTCTGTCTTCTTTGCCGATGAGTAGGGATGCCTACAAATTCAAATTTAATGACGTGGAATAAGTGATACATGTATCTTATGTTCCATAATAAACATATTTTATTTTATAATGCCTATAAAAAATTCAGCCATACCACATGTCTGTCTTTTATATTATAAAAAAGACAAGTCCTCCACCGCGTCTATCTGACAATTAACTCAAAAACTGCACGGAATTTATTCCTGTTTTCACCGATATCTCTATCTCTATTTCTACCTATATCCCTTATAAGGGTAGAGACTCATATCAAATGTTTTACTGTATGTAACAATGGAATAAAAGGGATAGCGAGGTAGATTGGAAAATGGTGGCGAGGATAAGAGACAAGTGGAAGAATTTGGAGGAGGCCTTCACACGTCGGAGGTCGTGTACTGTGTGTTAATGACATTGACTTAATGTAATCCTGATTATGTATTACTCGAATACAGGATATTTTTATTTTATTTAACAATTTACTTTTTGTAGAAATATTCGGAGGGCGATGTTCAAAACAAGATCCAAATGTTGATGCGTGTCTACTTCGTAGTTTTAACAACCTTTTGAACTACCTGAAGAGTGGAGCACCGGAAGTTGGACTTGATGAGGTAATTTCTTAATCAATGTTATGAAGAATAATATCGAAAATAATTCATTTATTAATTTAAGTTAAACCATACTTTGTGTGTGTGAACACGAATAGCTCAACATATGAGATGCAGTCGAACATGCTCAATGAGGCAATTAAATGTCAAGAGGTCTCGGGTTTGATTCCCGGTTAAGGCCAAAAATAAACAAAATACATATTATTAATCACAAATGTCCAAGTAAATTGTTTATTACAAAAACATGACAGCGGTGGCGGTTACGCGTTGCAAAATTAAGTTTTTCCATAAGTATAAACAATGCAAATACAAAATTACATACACAAGTTACTAAAAATATCTTTTGTATATTTAATATTGATTACAGTCAGACGAAATCGTCATCGATGAGTTGTCTATCGCACTTGGAGGTGGCCCTGATGGATACCGAGCGTCTTTCAAGGATATCCATGCAACTGGAGTCAACAATATGACCATCACTAATGTCAGGTTAGAAATGTAAAAAATAAACGTCATACTTAAACAAAATTTGCTTCTGGAAATTTTCCCTTTTTACAGTTTTCTAACAGATTTAGTTTACCTATCCTCTGCTTATAGGTTAACTGAATCTTATATATTTTATAGAATAATATTACAATGTTACCATAGAAAAAAGGTCGACGCTCTGGGTCTCAATAGCTTTAATTCCAAGCCATCAATAGCACCTCTGCCGTGTATTGCTCAGGATTGTATCCTTGTAGTGGTGGTTGGCCCTTTTAGTTTCGAAACCTTCGAGCTTTCTGAAATATCAAGCACTCCTATTTGGTAGCGACCCGTGTTAGTCTGAGCGAGCGACAAATTCTTAGTTCTCATATAACAGCAGAACAGTAGATATATTCACCTCTTATATGATTATTTGTTTGAGCATCGAACTGTAAAAAGAAATAAGAATAATTAAGAAGCTATAAAGAAAACTCCGTTAACTCCTGGAATGTAAATAATTTATTCCAATCACGTAGATTGACACACAGTTCAATCACACAAAGCCGTGTCTCAGTACTAGTCACTTTAAACAATGTTGTGAATCACCAAACTTAGATGATTGTAGAAATTTAACCTTCAATTTATATTTGTAATCAATGACAAACCTAATTAAAATAATAGTACCAGAGCTCCTTGCTCATGGAACATACAGCGAGGAAATGCTGCTAGCATTAAGGGTACACTGCCAAAGGGACCAAGGCTAGTATATTAAAACTCATTTTAGATTATATTCATCGAATTTTAATTATTATTATTATTCTCACATTTATTCGATAAAACACGAGAGCGACAAAGAAAAAAAAATTAATAGATATTTGAAGCCTAGGAGACGGTTATGAATAAAATGTTTCTCCAATTGTCTTCTATCCAATGAAAGAATAAAAATAATCTTAGAACATCCTAAACAAACTCCTTTAATAAATGTTTGGCATATCGCCGAATTATATAGTATATCAATAAATGTCTTATTTTTCAGATCAGACCTAGAGACACACCAGTTCCAACTAACACTTTTCGGCCCTCATATCAGTGCTAAGGCCCGTTACCGTTCCTCTGGAGTACTGCTACTCGTCAGGGCTTCGGGTGGTGGAGACTACTGGGGAGAATACGGTGTGTAGCTTAGCGAATAGATAAAAAAATAGAACAGCAAAGCAAATCTGCCTCGTGAGTTAAAAGTCGTATTTCAAAATCATACATAGTACATTAAAAGATATAATTTCATTATTAATACTATTTTAGTTTTGTTCACTACTACAATTATTCAGAGCTACATAAAAATATAGTGTCCTAGGCAATTAATGCTTCTGACACAAGTCTCTCTTCTAGTCAAGCCTGTATAAGTAAAGCCTAAGGGGATTATGTATATGATTTGTAAAGAACATATGACTCGGAAATCGCAGCGCAGGTTCAACAAATTAGACGACAATTGCAGTGCACATGGCATTATGGTATTTAGAAGCAAGAGAAACAATACATTCTTTTTCACAGACGGAGTTAAAGCCAAAGTATACTTCCGTGGTGCTCCCTACACTCGCAAAGGCCGCACTTACCTGAAGCTGCAGCAGCTCAAACTGGACTTCTCCGTGAAGGACATCCAAATGGGTGTTGAGAACTTGGATCACAGCAGTAGTGTACTACGTATGTAACTCCGATATTTTTTCTTTCTAAAATATTTCTTTTTTTATAGTCCTATATACACTTCATATGGCTCAAAAGTCTCGATGTCACTTAGATAGATATTAGAGGTGAGGTTTTTGCATTTAATGAAGTGCCATTAATTGCGCAGAGCTCTACGACTATAGATATGATAGGTACTATATGATATAAAAAAACTGAAGGAAAGTTATTTTTATTAAAAGCAGCGTTACAGCTTCTAAGATATAGTGCTTTGTTTTTTTTCCCAGACAACATTTCTTCTCCCATGGGTGGCAGCTTTATACTTCTTTCTCTTTTATATGACTTCCTATATACGAAAATGTATTGACAACGTCTAATATTCTTCTTCTATATAATATTACTTGGGAGGAGGTGTAATGAAACATTAATAATTACAGAGGCAGCATTGAACTTGTTCATCAATACAAATGCTCAAGAACTCCTTAAGGAAATGAAACCAGAACTTAAACGAGACCTTGCTGAGAAGATGTCAAGATTCCTAGATAGGATCCTTGCGAAAATTCCTTACGATGACTGGATTTCTGACGAAGAGGAGGAGGAGGAAGAGGAAGAAGAATAGTTTCATATTAATATAGTTATTTAGATTGTAAGTTGTATGAGAATCAAAAAGGTGCTATATGGTTGTGTAAGGTGTATGGTTTTGTTCTTTTTCGAATGAACTACACCCGGTTTTGACAGAAATCTATTTTTATCTTACACTAAAATCTTTCTTATAAAATCTGACACGGTCAACAGTTCCACTGTTGTTTTTATAAATGAATGTCAAATTTCCTATTTTTAATAAAGTTAGGTCATATTTAATAGTAGATGTATACGTAAAATATATATTGTATTATAAATATAATAGATTGTACGAGGTTGCTAATTATTATTATAATCGTTATATCAGATTTAAAAAAAGACCAATGTTAATCATGTAATTTTAAAATTGAAATTAATGATTTATTGAATTATATAACCTATTGATTATAATTTTAATTAGAAACAATTAATATTAAGTAAATTATATATCATTAAAATGGTATAGATATAAGGAAATAAAAGTTTCATATAGAACAACTTATTCATTTCTTCCATTATAGTTTATTTCCAACATACAAATATACGATATTTACAATTTTCTTAATCTACGTAATAATAATAATTAAAAGAAATTTAAAACGTTTTAACTTTGTGGCATTGTATATTTAATGCTGGCAGTATTTCCTCGCTGTATTAAGAGGAAAGGAGTGGAGTCACCGCTACTATCTACCAGGCGCCAACTTAAATCTTTAATTAGCGCCTGTGAAAGTTGTTGTCAAAGTTGGAGGAAGGACTCTTATTGAGCCGTTTATTATTTTCCGCCTGCTCTGCGGCCGCGCCAGCTTTCTGCTTGTCCGAGGGAGGTGAGACGGAGCTAACGGTTCCACACAAGTAGCATCCCATACCAAATCCTCCAAGGGATCAATGACATCCCATCCGGCCATCGTCTCTTTGCTTGCAGCGATGCCTGTTAGCTCCAAAATGGCTGGAACATTGGCGGAGACAGCGGCGTGAAAAGAAAACGACCTGTGCTCTTGGTCTCCACGGCTACTTACTTCAAAGCCTCACGGTCACTTATGGGGAGTACTTATGGGCACTCCTAAGCTAAGGCTGACAGCAATGCGACGTGATTCAGGGTCCAAAAGGGTGCCAGTGTTTGGCGAAGGATAAGCATTAAGCCAATGACCGGCTTCCCTATTCCCCACTGCCATCTACCTTGCGCGGTCTGTAATTGAAGTATAACCTAATAAGTTTTGGAATTCAGATTTACAAAGAGGATCACTCAGTTCCTTTGAAAGTTGACGCTAGAAGGCGAACTCAAGCCTGGGTCGGATGCAAATTTTTAAAATTGTTTCTTTGATTCCCAGAATTAAAAAAAACTTTTTTAAAATTTAACTAAGAATGTTTTATTAAGTTCAAATTTTGGAACCCCATCTTGGGTATAAGGATATTCAAGCTTGTGCCATTCAGCTTTGTATCTATAGGTACTTCCATTGCTCGCTACAGCTATGATTTCGTCTTTCCATAATATGTTAATGTTAAGTTATATACATAAATATATGAAAATTAGCGCTTCACTATGATTGAAAAATGCTTGGGATGTTGGTCGAAGTAACTTTGAAGATAATTTTAATAACAAATTGACTTTAAGCTTGATTTATCTGCAATCGTTAGACGAATTCTCAGTCAGGGCTCAGTTAATGAATAAACAACTAGCGTTCACAATTTTTTTTAAATAAATTAAATCCTTAACAGCCTAGTTACGCCTGACTAAAAGGACTTTTACATCTCATTGAGAAGACTTCCGCTTGGACCCAATTTGTACTTGCTAAACGAACTTGAAAGGTTTCCGAGAGAATTCAAAAGCATCAGGCGTTTAAACGTTTTACGTTTCGTAATGAAAACGTTTAGTTACAAGATGTAGTTTTTTACATAAAAACAAATGACGTTCATATTATCTCCAATGCATTACTGATCGGCTTAATTTACTTACTTAATTTTTCTACGCAGATACATTGCGTCTCTATGCGTCTTCTAAAAAGTGTTCTGAAGAGTGCCTATGCCATACAATATTTTTTTACGAACTGTGGAATCTACTCCCTGGGAGATACGACCTACAATTGTTTAAAAAAGGGACCCTCCCTCAAAAGCCGGCAACGCACCGATTAATGTGTCCATGGGCTATGATGATCGCCCCATTTGGGCGTCCCGTAGGCTCCTTTGCCCCTACGCTATAAAAAATATATAATCCCCGTTTTATTCTCTCACAGAGGTTACAATGTTTTGCAATACAACGGTAGGGATACTTTCGCACACCTCAGCAAGTGACAAGTGAGACTGCATTCAAAACAGTTGCTCAAACATCTACGTGCCCAAAGCTACGTAAAAATATAAAATGTATTCTTTACAATACCTATTGAGTGTTAGTGCTGTGGTGTTAAGTTTATCTCAAGTCACACTATCGGGAAAGGAAGAAATTGAAATACGTAAGTGTTATTATAATGTTTCTACAGTATTTTATTTGAAAACCACAACACACTTAAAACATACCCTGTTCTTTAAAAGAAAAAAATAATAAAATAAATTTAAAAAAATATTAATCACGTTAGTGCAAAAAATATTATTTTAGTTAAGACTTTTAAGCAACCTCGTTAATTATATTTAAAAAAAACTGAAAGAACTATACAGCAGCATTAAATGTTATTTAACTCTAAAATAAAATTAAGGGTTATAAAACATAATTGTTTAATACAATACATATTACAAAAAAATTGTCGTCGAAATTTAATCTCTTTGAGAAATACATTTCTTCAATGTACAGAAGAAGAAACTCAATTAACTCTGAACTTATTAACACACAATTGTACAATACACAATTATTATCAGTCGTCGGAATTTTCAATAGCATTTATATGAAGTAACATTAAATGATACTCGACTCAGTGAAAGATCAAATGTAGGTCGCAAAGTCATTACATAAGTAACATTCAAGAATTAATTTTTTGGCAAATAAGGCCATTTTGTAATGTTAACGTTAATCTCATATTATTAAAGAGCATAATTTATTCATTCTACTTAAAATTTTTTGTTTGTTTCACTTGTCGCAAGCAATAATTATCTTACGTACTTATTTCTAACAAAATTTACTACTACTTACCCTATTTGATAGTTAAGTTGTAAGCCCTGGAAAAGTATGCGGCGGATGCAACCTTGAATCTGCTTCGATCGATATATTCCAATCATAGACGAGTAGGTACGTGATCATGGCTGGTACCGTCCAACTCACAACAACAGTTTCGCATTTTGTACCAAAGATTACACACATTATTATTATTACATTACATTCTCAAAACAAAATAATTATGAAAATCAAAATAAAATACAATATACAATAAAATACGTGACGAGCGTTTATTAGCCAAAACGCGTTCTTTTAAAGGGAGGGACAAATTGGATGATGTGATGCCTGATATGGAATGAATTTTTTGATTGACGAGACTAATTTAAAGAAGCATAGTAAAGATCTTTTAACGTCCGATTAGATTGTTATAATGCTAATTATTAATTTATAAATAAAATGCGAATAATAATATATAATGAATTAAATCCGGAATGATTATTTAATTTATTTTTTTATAAATAACTTAACTCTTAATTTCTTATGAGCAACTGAGTACGCCTTCCGAGCTTGTGAAATAATCTGGCAAAACAAATACCTATTAATGTCAATGTTATACGCTACCAAATACAAGTCAATGTAAGCTAATATTTACAATCACAGTTCGCATTGACTCGTGGTGGCTGTGGTTAAAAACATTTGCATTATTCTCTTATTATCTTTAAATAAATTTATTGCAGTGTTTAATTAGGTAAAATATTAATATATATGCTATAGAAACAGTGCCACTATAGCCTTTGGTATTTTGACTAGGCCTCAAATATCTAGAAAAACTGTACCTGTTTCTTAGATTATTATCGTTTATAGGCAAGTACGTAAAAGCTTCGGCGCCTGAATTAAATCGCTGAGGCCGTCGGTTCAATCCACGGCTATGCACTGACTGGAAATAAAAATAATCAAAGAAACGGATGCAATATGAGGCCAAGATCCATATAGCGCCCATGTAGCCTTGTGTGATACCTGCCATCAACTTTTTCATATTCTTCGCTCTGAAAAGAAATATGACCCTAGAATTTAGTGTCACGCTAACTGCTGAGTTACACTTCCAATAAATGAAATATAATATTATCCTAAACATCTCGGAATATACTTCACACTTACCGAATCTGGGAAAAAAACGGTTGGGAAGGCACAGCAGATCCGCCTACTAAGAGAAATACTTTTACTGAGTGACAGACGCAAAAGGTGTGCCCTTTAACTGGGGAACTGCGGGACTTTACGTAATATATTACGACGAGAAATACTACACTGATAGAAGTTTATTTCCGGACTTACACCCTACGATAAGTTCACTTTCATGAGCGCCGTTTTATCATATCCTAATATTGCAAAGAAAGTGCTGCCATAATCATAATGTCAAAATACGAATGTTTTTCTCTACCTGTGTAAAGTATTACACTGTTCGTCACTAAATATTTTTATTCCTTTTTGAATTTCAGTATGTAAAATGTTTAAAAGTTATAATCGTAATATATAGGGTCATTATTATACATCAGCCGTCAGCCAGGTCTTTTAAATGTGATTTGCATTTAGAGTCCAGTAAATAATATACTCTTTGGTAGTCCCGCAACTGCGAAATAAGACAAGGCGAAGACACATTTCGGCTAATTTTTCATGGATAATAATCTGGCAGTTTTTAAGGAAAATTTTATCATAAAAATATATGATAAAAAAATCACTGAAGATTTAGATAAACGTTGACAGTTAATAAGTTTCAATGAACATCGAAGATAAATACATAATCATACTCTCATACATACAACATACGTTATTAAGTTATTTCTAGGTGGAGTTTCAAGTTTAGACGCTTGAAGGATTCTGTTTACCTCACTGTTACAAAATTTACTCATTTTAATTCGAGAGATTTCTCAAGATATGAGAAAGGTGAAGGCTGAACACAGCCACACTAACAAGTGATGAAATGAATTAAGTAAGCGATCACCATAGATAATATCAAAAATTTTGAAATGCTATCCTAATCCAGCTTGATACAATGAAGTCTGTTTAATATATTGAATTCGCTAACCGATTACGACGTAGAACTAAGATTCTACGATATTCGATCTTCACATTTTGGAAAATAAATAAAAACTAACAATCCTACGATTTTATTATTGTTACTTCACTAAGAACATGTCGTTATTATTTACTAATAATACAAAATACATCATTACTTCACTATACAGAGAAATTAAAAATGCGCATTGGCACAATTTACGCCATCTATCGTCTTAATGCTCAAATCCCTTCGAATAGGAAATTCCCTCGACTATCTCTCAACAACAATTATGGATATTGGGCAAACACCATCGGTGAAAATAAATAAAAGTAAAGATTCTAATTCAAAACCTATTATTTTAAAAAAAGGAAGGCAAAGTCGAGATATATTACTATGTAGCGTACACATATTCCGTTTGGATAGACAACAAGTCGTTAAGTTGACGCAACATATTCTCTAACCGCTTGTGAAATATTACTAGCCTTGAAGATAAACTAATTAAATGCATTATGGATTGTTTTATGGTTCCTCGTATTGAGGTCTATGTTATTAATTATCATAATGCATTTTAATAACATCTTACCATATTTGATGTTTAATATTGAAATAAACCTGGTAGTTTTATTTAATTCTATCATATAAATAGTTTATATTATAATATGAATATACGTACAGAAATTAATATATAAAAATTAATCTCGAAATAAGTTTGTTATGACGCCTCAAAGTAAAGATTCGATGTTTTTTTACAGAAAAAATATTTGCAACATGCAAGAGAAAATCGCCAGAGTTCGATGGATGCGTCAAACGAGCCTTAAATAAACTGAAGCCATATTTTAAGAGAGGTAAACATAAGGATAGAGAAACTTGCTTAGCAGTAAATCTCCAACACTAACCGCATGGCAATAATCTATTTGTATGGTATGGTATTTTTAGGTATACCAGATATGGGTGTTGCGTCGTTTGATCCTCATTTCGCGCGTGAGGTAAAGCAGGTCCGAACTGTGGGTGGTATGGGGTATACGCTCAAACTAAAAAATGTCTTTGAACGAGGTTGGTCGCAATCTACCGTCACAAAATACAAGTTAGTACATATATTCATGATATAAAATTGGCGTTAACTTAAATACTTAATATGTTTATATCTTGTTTAAATTGTCCACTGAAGTTCAATTTTATTGTCATATTTTATAGGACAGATTGGGACAATCAGAGAATAATTTATTCTCAATATTTTCCTGAAAAATCATTGGAAGGTGATTACGAATTTAAGGTGAGTCTCACCAGATTTTTCAGCTCCACCCTTATACTGGTTTATAAAACCTCATTATATAGATACTTTGTAGCATAACAATTAACAAACCTCAATTTTTAGGGAGATGCCTTCGGTCTTGGAGTACTCCGTACTGGTCACTGGAACTTGACTCTACGTGATTACTCTCAGACAACGAGAATCAAACGAAATGGAAGCGGCGTAGATGTACACGTTGAGATCGATCATATTGGCGATATGGACATTCATGTCGGCAATCTGCTGCAAGGCCGGAGTATAATGGGTAAGAATGTTGTCTAAGTTCTGCAGACTCAGAATCATGCTCTTTCTTGCCTATGATTCTAGATAAAAGTTATTTGTGTATAAAAATGGGTAATGCATTTTATATATTTTGAATTATTGTTGTTTTCCTTTGGATTTCGATTCTCTTGGCAATATCAGCAGCACTAAAATTTGTTTTCTTAAATTCAGAATTAAACAAATGTTTGCTACATTTTCAAGTAAAATTTCCTACGAAGGTTAATATTCTACCAATTCTATTTCTATAAAATAAATTGTCTTTACAGAAGGTGTTCTGGATCGTATTATAAATGCATCTTGGAAACCAGGATTCGCGGTAATAAGGCCGCTCATTAACGACTTAGTCAGCACTGCCTTTACAGACATCTGGAGTACGTCCTTCAAAGATTTTCCCATCGAGGCCTTCATCCGGGACTGACCTTCGTCAGACAGAATTTTTAGTGTAGGAGGTATCCTAAGGGATTGGCCCAACAAAATGTTAAGAAACCTTAGGGTTGTAAGTCTTTAGTTATTAAATATTGTTTAGGAAATAAAAAACATTAGTATATTACATATCTCAATATTATATTTATTAAAAAATATAACCTAACTATATATATGACTTTATATTTAAATTCAATCAACAAATAACTCGCACGTTTGATACTGGAATAATCAACCTCAGTCTTCCAACACAAAAACCGACGGGATCAGTCTCACGACACATCTCACAAGCACTCCATAAATACAGTAAAACATTGCACCATTTATAAACCAGATAAAATTATTCACAAAAACATACCATCCAAAAATTTCCATCACTAAGCGAGTTAACTAAATACCATTTGATAGGCTTTTTGGAAGTAGAAATAAGTACACATTGTCACAGTGAACAAAACTATACAAATTGATAATCCCGCGTCAGACGTAAACAAAATCGAACTGTTACAAACTAACGACCTGTATAATAACTGTTCATTCTCAATTCGACAATGCGCGCACGCCTATGTTTACGTTTAAACCATATAAATAATTGCTAGTAATCATCCAGAACAAACAGTTACTATCAAATCGAATGTACATTAGGACCCTGTGGAACGTCAACACGACGCATTTCTCACAAGAAATCGTTGTTTTGTTTATTCTCTGCCAGTTAATTGCAGACGGATAGTTCAATGAACTGTTATACATCCTAGATAAGCGTAACGTATGAGGTCCTTGACAATCGGTTTTACAACCAGGCACAGGTTCGCACATAAGTGCATCAACAGACAATTTAAAATTTGCCTCCAAACATATAGTTCGAAATATACTAATCTCAATATTTACCACTTCAAAATCAAAGTTTTGATTCAATGGTTCTCAGGTGCGCCCGCGCGTTCGAGCTATACGGAACCAAGTATGTAGAACTCGTATGGTTCTATTTATATTCCAAGACTTCTTTCTATACAAAATTATATCAGTATTTTCCAATTGTTAACTGATTATGTGCGTTATAATATGTTACTTTTTCTCAATCGAGACGAAGCAATTTTTCTCTAAGTCAGCAGGTCATTCAAATTTAAAAGCTACAGAAAAAGAGATTTCGAAGACAAATTTCAGCAGCTCTTAAATTTGATTGACTTTTAGGCTTTGAAAGTTTTTATATTATACCATTTTTTTTTCTAATTGATCCTCATAACATTGTGGCGCAAATTTGATCAATTTCTTTAATGTCCGACTGATCTAAAATAATCCAAATCAACAGAAGACAGTGAAAATAATAAATAATACAATGTGATACCAATTAGAAGATAGTATTAAAATACAAGAAAAAAAATTTAATTTGTACTTCCTTTTTCGTATCGTTGGCCCCTGAATATGTGTCACAAACGATTTGCAAAAATCCTACGATAAAATAATATCTCCCAACTCCTCAACAAAATTAAAAATTAAAATTATAATAAATCGCATACGTGACCTCACCATTACTCGATCACTTAAAATTTTAAAACAACAATAAAATCTAAACGAAATCTTTGCTATTACAATTCGAATTTTTCATAAATAAAATTAATGAATTTTAAACTAATTTAAGGAAAATATACAATAGTGGAAATTCATTACTTATTTAATTAGTTATTAATGAAGACAAACGATTTAACAGTGTCTGGCGGGACTCGGAACCAAAACTTAACATCGCAACAAAATTAACTAAATCTCTTACAGGCGGCTTATTGTTGACTTCGAAGCGAATTTTCTTGTCCTTACAAATATATATCGCGAAATACGATCTTCGTTCGACGTCAACTTATAAGGCCTAGCGACATTTAGTCCTCTCTGAAGGGAAAATAAAACAACCTTTTTCATCACCAAAGATTGCTATGCAAAGCCAACATTTCTTAATTTTTTTTAATGCAAGTAATTCTGATGTTCTTCTCTAAATACGTATTTTAACGGAAATAATAACGCGTCTTATCTCCAATGTTAGTCTCCAATTTCGGTTTTAATGACAGGAAATAAAGGCAGGTGTGATTTTTTTATGTCTATATTTCAATATCTATTTACTAGTATTTGTTCATCAGAATTCGTATACCACCACAAACTAGACTTCATGGCTTAACATAGCGAGCTTAGAGACAGCTAAAAGTTCAAATGTTCTAATACCAGCAGCGCCGCTACTCTGTAAATCCCAACAGCCATAACGATTGCTATCCTCTTCAACTTTTGTACCGCGCAATTCCAAGTCTGCGACATCATACTAGAGTTTTGATCATTCAATTACATTAAAAACTTCGGTATCACGATCGCTATTGGAAGTTACAGAATAGCGGCACAGGTCCCATGAGCGCCTTCACCCATTCAACATACGCACGTGCATTTACCGCTAAAATATTTTATTTTGATATGCACTTATTTATAAGTTTTTACAATTTTGTGCTGTACACTAATCGGAGAGAGGGCGTCGCACGAAAACAACGTTGCGAATATAAGACCGGAAGATTTCAATAGAGCCAAAATATCATCAAATAAATCAAATTTTGTTTGTTTATCTGCTTGAGTAGCGCTTATACTTGCTTTAGCTTTAGGGAATCCTAAACATCAACCCTAATATTATAAAAATAAAAACTTCATTTCACGTACCTTGATGCTATATCGCTGCTCCGATTTTGATTATGAAGGAAATATATAACTGCTATATTCAACGATTACTACATACATTAATACTGAAGGACTCATAAGCTTATTTCGCTTTTCTCAGCATCCCTCACAAACAGACAAAATAAACCTTATATCCGCAACAATGTCGAATGTACTTACATTACGAGACGGTTTCAGTTTTTTACATTTTGTACTATACAAATGATACTTGAAATAATAAACTATGCGACGACCCCGCCCCGCCCGTATTTACAGTGACAACTAAACGTGAAGCTTAACATAACCGAAATGTTAACTAAATATTTGGCAAACAATAGTCGCGTGTGGCTTATATTTTGAAGTGAGACGCACCTGTTGCGAGATTACGAATAGTTTTTTATTGGGCTCAATATAATTTTGTATTTAAACTTAACGACCCGTCATATTTACATGTCATACCAAAATAGACCCTTTACTCACATCTTCTAGCATCAAATGCCTTTTTTGTAATTTAAAAAAAAAAAAAAATCAATTAATAAATACTTACATGTATTACGACTAGGGTGAGATTCAGAATCAAAACTTAGTCCCAAGTACGACTCCCATATTTTAAGTCCAACTTTGCTATAACCCATAGATTCGGAGACGAGACTAATCGGTAAGTGCGACTTAGATTTTGACATACGTGAGTATTCTCGACTCTCAATCTTACCCTAAGTATTCTGTAAGTCAGTCGATCTCATTTCATAACAGAATCTATTAGATTCTGTTATGAAATGAGAGTAGCACGTCTCGAGCGTATACGTGCATCAGGTGCGTCCCATATCGTGCAAACAAACGTAGCATTGACGGGTCCTATTCTAGCTTTACAAGTAAAATTCGAAGGCCGCTAAGATATCACCGTTCATTACTTTATATGTACATGCCGCGGCCGATTTGAGCGAGACTATGTACAGTGCGGCCGCGGAAGGGAACGTACACGCTCGTGGCCTTATCTACACGGACACTTGACCTGCGGCGGTACTCTATAACTTCCAATAGCGACTTCATTATGTACATTTTGTACCACATCTACAATTGAAAATATCGAAATTGGGTAACTATATTGAATGCAAAAGCGCTATCGGAAGATGTTTTAAAGAAGAACTTTAAGAAATGAAAAGGTCGAACGATTTGAATATTAGCGCAGATATGTATTCCACCAATACACATATTGTTAACAGAGCAAACTTAAACATTACAAAAAAAACATATAATTTTATTTACATATTTTAGAAAAAAAAATTTATACAAGTTGAGTTTAGAATAATCGCCATTGAGCGGCTTATCAATACTTGGAATAAATTGATTTCAGCTTTTGACAATTTGGCTTTGACCTCCTTCCGTAATAGCTCGAAATTATTGCTCTACGTGCGACAAACGACCGCGCGTTTACATTCCCATTCGAACCGCAAACACTCGTTGATTCTGATTGAGGTACTCCAAGAGTTCACAACTATCCCGTAAATTACAATGGTAAAAAAGTAGAAACTTTTTCGTCGATCCGGGTAAAAATAGTTCAATATTTACACGTGACACAAACACCGCCCATTTCGTGACTCAAGCCATAATCCAGCTTCGAGAGCTGAAAGTGATTTTTGCATACAAAGTGTCAGGTCTCGAAGATAGATCGAGGATTGTGTCTTCGAGAGGGCCTAGAATTCAAAGTCGAACAGCTCCGAGAGACCTTCGTCGTTATCGAGACAGAAGCCGTAGTCTGTCGCCGACATCGGCGGCTCCAAGGCCAGGAATGGCTCCAACTCCATCGGCTCTGAAATGTAATGATGACTACATCAAAAATGGTATCGTAATATGTTCCAAACAATTGCAAAATAAATAGTATCACAATTTATTGAATTCACGTAGTTTTAATTTTTTTACATAAAAACCGTAAAATGTTTGATGGCATATAAAACATATTTAGATGTAAGATAAAGATAAGAATTGTAGTCTCGTAATTTAGACCTAAAATACAAAAAAAAAACACCATATACAATGAATATTAAACTGTCCTTCATTTCACAACTTTGATAGAAAGCTTTAGTGTTATAACAGGTACACACAAAAACACATACTGGTACGGTTAGATGCGCTGGTTATCGATGGAATGCGGTATTAGTAGATGATGTTAGTGGGGAGTGCTTGAGCTGAATCCCATGGTGCTACAAGAAAAACTGCAGCCTCACGGGATACAGCTCACAACAAGCCCCGGCTCCAACCCACGGCTATGTACAACTTACGCTAACACCACAGTTTATTGTAGCAAGCAATTATTAGACTATTAAATTATATTATTTTAGTATTGCACATTCATATCACAAACACAACAAAATCTGTTTTTTGCAAATACGTAGTAAGTACAGCGAAACGCTTACGTACGATATACGCACGTAACACGACTGTAGGACTGCTTTTGAAACTTAGCAATATTTATTAACTGGACACGCTGAATGCTTCGATTTAAACAATTTTAATTTATTTTAGTAACAAGTAAAATATTTTCAATTAAATAACTGCATTGTAATAACAACATTGACACAGTAATAAAGCCAGAATTTTTATCGATTAATAGCAAAAACATTTCCTTTTATATTACACATGTAAACACAAAAATTGGTTATTCATAGATATAAACAAAGAGTCACAGATGTAACACACAACAAAAAAGTTATTAAGTGATTAATAAATCTGAAAACATTTTTTTATTATCCTTAATAAAATAAAATCGAAAAAAAAAACCATTTAAACTACTTTAGAAAACTCTTTTTTGTTATGCATTACTAAGCTTTTGAAGGCCCAATGACTGGTGACATAATGAGTGGGAAGCATGTGAGACCAATGTTATTTTTAGTGCGAACATAATCAAAAATAGTCGACAACATTTATTTTTGAAGTTGTTTTTAAAACAAACTTCTAGATCTATTTTAATAGATATAAAATTAGAACACAGTGTTTGATTGACGATGTCATCATTCGAATATTACATGTAGAGATGTATCTGACATTTCCAATCCACTGTAGGAAATTTTACTTTTAATTTTGATGATGTGCGCACGCAATTAAGCAGAAAATGGACTTACACGATGAGAATGTGAAAAATTCGTCGTTTCGGACGCCGCGTAGCTAGAACTCTGACTGTGATGTGAATGCAACACAAGTCACAGGCCGAGTGCTAGCTGCGAAACGAACATTCTTCTGCCCTCCATCCTTTAAGCTTAGCTTAAGCCCTTTACTATGCCAGATTAAATGTGTGACCTATACGACCTTAGAATCCGTAGAAAATGGCAACTGGTTAAACCATAGGTCACCAAAGCTGCTATTTTACTAAAGCCAATACCCTCAAAGCTGAGTTATTACAATTTTTGTATAATTCACATGGTAATTAAAAATACTAAATAACATTTAACATAGCAAATTGCATAAAAAACAAGACTTAATTTTACATTACAATTAGAATATAGTTTAGTTTCCTGATCTAATATGAAACCAAATTGGAAACTCCGAAGAAATTCCAGAGTAAAATTTTTGAAGTTATACTTTTAGGCGCGTTATGAAAAATTGATGAGAGAAAAATTTTACGATGCGCGCGCACCGTGACACAAAATTAACAGAATGAAGTTGCCCAGTGAAGATGCTACGGCATTGGACATAATTTAAAAATAACATTCGAATAATAATAGAATTTATGTTACACTTAATGTAAGAGAATAATAATAAATATTTATTTATTTAATTTTTCAAATGAAAACTGAACTTTATTGACTATAATGACTCCTTTTCCAGTCTTTGATAATTTAATTGTAATTAATTATTTGCATGCAATCAAAAACTATTTTTAATAATGCCAAAGAAGTATAACTTCTTACGCGCGTACATAAGTACACGCACCCCTTTTTTCCACAAACAAATTATATTAAATAAACTAGTATTAAAAGGTTTACAATTAAATGAAGTATAATAAACAAAATAAGCACTAGGCTCCTTTATTTAACATATTATGGTTTTGTTAGGTGCAAGTGTATTCCTTCACCGGTGTACCCGAATTATGGAACCTATTATTAGAACCATCAAAGACTTGATATTTTACATAATTAAAATAGATAAGCTTACCCGTCTCTTCATTGTGAAGCAATTGCCGTCCTCCACCTAACATAGGAGCGAAGTCGCTGTCTGAGATCAAAGCGTTTCGCAGTCTGCCTCGGGCTCCGGAATCTGCAATTATTCACTTAAAATTAGTGGAAATTCGTGTTTATTTGCCGGCAAGTTAACTCTGCGTAATTTTCTAAAGAAAACTAGTAGTATGTTTCTAAAGTTTCATTTTAACGTCAATTATATTATTTCACCGTTAAATTAAATTTTTTTTTTGCAGTTTCGTCGGCTACAAACCTTTCTATGTCGTCTCTTTTATGAATTGTATATTTAATGGTATAAGAAAATGTACATTTCAAAGTAATTAATTAAGTAAAATAGAATTTTAAAATAACTGACGTTATAAATTATGTTTGTTTTTTATCCGTCAAAGATTTAAATAAAAAAAATCTTAAAATTTATAATTATTAATTCTAGTCTAGTTATTAATTAGTCTTTTAATTCATATAATAAAATTTACGATTTTAAAATAACGAAAACACGTGCAAATCCTTTAACTACGCATTAAGTATCAAAACTGTTAATATTTCTAGTTTATTATACTCACGATCAGCAGGCAGATCGACAGTCGTCGTATACGCCCTCGAATGCAATGGGAGAGTGGGATCCGTGACGCAAGGCGATTGTACGGGAAGGCTGCGGGACATGCACGCCTGATCATCGTCGCTGTCCGGCTCACGCTTAATTGGAGTTCTAAAAATATAACGATATTGAACCAGAGCTTAGGCGAACGCTTACTGCGTTGATCAATAGTAAATATCACCAAAAGTACCCAAAGCAAAATTACAAAATGGAACTAACAATTTCCTAAATTATGTGATACATTGACAGTAAAACCTCTTAAATAATACAAAGATCCCATTTCTTTGAAGTTTTTATTAATATTAGCGATAATAAAAAAATCGTTTTAATTCCACGATAATATACAGTCTATGCATTCTAGATAAGCTATTTATGAATTTAATTTAAAACTAAGTTAAATTTTACATGTACATATAGTATGTCTAAATCTAGAAATCTTAGTGACTAATTAATTAGTCATTAGTTGACAATTAATGTGGCAAAACTTATTCACTGTCTTTAAAAATTGTAATTATAGATATTTTTAGTTTTGTGTATTGATGATTAATAGATATGTAATAAATAGATGAATAACTAAATATTATTTATTTTATTATATTTTTTTATACTATTTTGGTATTGGGTTGGGTAACCGTAAGTGTAGTCCATTAATAAATAAAGATTAACATTTATACTACAATGGCTGTTTTGTTACAAAAACATACATTTATTATAAATCAATAATTTACTACAATTAAATTATAAGTTATAACTAAAATTGTTAAATATGTATGAATATACTTACGTAAAACTAGCGCTTATAGAGCTTGAAGGCATCGCCTGCATTTGGGCGACGAGGGGCGCGAGTAACGCCTTGTTATCCTCCAGTAACGGGTCCGCAGGTAGTATTACTGTTGTCAAAAATAATTTATTAATAATAATCTATGTACCAACAGAATATATATAAAACCATCTATTCTAGAGAGTTCTAAAAAATAAATCAGTGGCGCTACAACCTCTTTAGGTCTTGGCCTCAGATTTATGAATCTGTTTCATTATTATTAAATCTAATAGGCAAGTAGGTGATCAGCCTCCAGTGCCTGACACACACCGACGACTTTTTGTGTCTAAGACATGTCGGTTTCCTCACGATGTTTTCCTTCACCGTTCGAGCAAATGTTAAATGCGCACATAGAAAGAAAGTCCATTGGTGCACAGCCGGGGATCGAACCTACGACCTCAGGTATGAGAGTCGCACGCTGAAGCCACTAGGCCAACACTGCTCATCTCATCACTAGAGAGTTCTACTAATTCTTCTTTTCCAACATAACTGAGCAGCCTCCATAGCATATTTTTTCAGATTCATCGGCAAGGCCTAATTCTGTTTTCAAATGTATTTAATAGTACAGTAGACTGATTTCTTACAACCAGAATCATTAACTACTGATTTTACTGGCCAAGATGCGCAGTCGTTTATAGATTTTTCTCTGCTTGCTAAAGCAAGAATAAAATTTCAATTTATCATCAGAATCATTAATAGACCACAAGCCCATGAACAAAAAATACCTGTGAAATGACCCAACGTGAATTACGCTTAGAAGGCTGTTACTATATCTGAAAATAGCTCTGAGCACTATGCCGTCATTTCTGAGCGGTACATGTGAGTACGTGAGTGAATGGACTTTCTCATGTACAATGGGGGAATTTCGACTAATTATTAAAGTACGGCTTTGTTATAAGTGTATAGATGATTAAAAATAAATGTCGAAAAACCTAGTGCCGTACAAAAGTGATGGTGCCGGAAGTCGGTGCAAATTTTTAATTCGACGACAGTTGCAGGAGCAATATAGGTCATTTATTACTGTACGGCATTTGTGTCATTCCTTTTGGACACATATACAGATACTTTACCCGTAAACGCCGTACATATTTCCAGCGGGGCGGTCGAAAGCCAAGGGTCGCAACATATGTCTGATTAGCATATAGGTGATGATGATATGAATCAACATAAAATTAAATGATCTTGAGAGTACTTCACAAATAGATAACATTTTCCAGCATGCCGTACATTTTTTGTGGAACACATAGGTGTATGGGGCAAATTACTTTTCTCAGAAAAGAGTCATTTTCCGGTGACTTTTATCTGTACGGCAATAACACAGGTTATTAATACTTTAGACAATCTTCAATAAAAGATAAATGCCGTACACTTTCGATAGTCCGCTACCACCGCCTACCAATACAGGGCGTCCCAAAGTTATGGGAAATGAAGGGAAAGTACCTTAAATATCGTAGATAGGGTATTTTACTAAAAGAAGACTTTATGTTATTTTTAAAAGTTATTAATTCTGCATTCAAAGATTTTTTGAAAATTACTTGCCTCGTCTGGGAATCGAACTGACTTAAATGTAAAAAAACACCCTACTTTTATGATGCCAATCGAAAGAATGGCCAAAAACTAATAACTCTTCTTAAGTAACATAGTATTTTAAAAGAAAGGAACAGCGTGAATATATCTTTTTAATCAAATTAAAAACATTATCTATCGTATTCGGCCTAAAAAAATCCCCTACGAGTCTGTTACTTTAGAAAAGTTATTAGGTTTTGGCCATTCTTTCGATTGGCATCATAAAAGTAGGGGTGTTTTTTTTTAATTTAAGCCGGTTCGATTTCCAGACGAGGCAAGTAGTTTTAAAAAAATCTTTGAATGCAGAATTACTAACTTTTATAAATAACATAAAGTCTTCTTTTTAGTAAAATACCCTATCTGCGATATTTAAGGTACTTTCCCTTCATGTCTCATAACTTTGGGACGCCCTGTATTATATATATTTTTGTTAAAAATATTTTTCCTTTACCTCTCTCTGCTGGTACGATAAGGCTGTAAATATACTTTACAGCCTTATGGTAGTATACTCAGATATGTACAGTTATTAATGACCTTAAGGGACACCTCAAACGTCGTCGAAGTTTTTATCAGCTGTAAAGAATAATCTGGAGTAAAATGTACGGCATCTGGTTTTTTTTGTTTATTTATATTTGTTACATATAAAATAACAATAATCTTTGAAAATATTACTCCCCATATTACTCTAGGAGCATTTGAAAAGTCATCTAAATTTCGGAAATTTCATATATTTTTTATCATAATATTTTTATTTGTTACCATTTATAATGAACGGCTATAATGTACAACGGTAATATTTAGTAACATTATGTAAAAAAACAAGTTGCCGTACATTATTCTCTGATCTTACAGCAGTAAGAACTTGGTAAATCCTGAAATTTCGATAAATATTTAATTACACAAATATTAACTATATTATTTGGACGGCATAATTATAAAACATTATTGTCCGTGTTAAATAATATTTTGAACATGTTGCCGTACATTTTACAATGACCTTAGGGTATATGGGTGTAGGGGTAGGGTTCCGACCCTTGGCTTTCGACCGCCCCGCTGGAAATATGTACGGCGTTTACGGGTAAAGTATCTGTATATGTGTCCAAAAGGAATGACACAAATGCCGTACAGTAATAAATGACCTATATTGCTCCTGCAACTGTCGTCGAATTAAAAATTTGCACCGACTTCCGGCACCATCACTTTTGTACGGCACTAGGTTTTTCGACATTTATTTTTAATCATCTATACACTTATAACAAAGCCGTACATTAATAATTAGTCGAAATTCCCCCATTGTACATGAGAAAGTCCATTCACTCACGTACTCACATGTACCGCTCAGAAATGACGGCATAGTGCTCAGAGCTATTTTCAGATATAGTAACAGCCTTCTAAGCGTAATTCAGGTTGGGTCATTTCACAGGTATTTTTTGTTCATGGGCTTGTGGTCTATAACTTCTGATTTTACTGGCCAAGATGCGCAGTCGTTTTTAGATTTTTCTCTGCTTGCTAAAGCAAGAATAAAATTTCAATTTATCATCAGAATCATTAACTTCTGATTTTACTGGCCAAGATGCGCAGTCGTTTTTAGATTTTTCTCAGCTTGCTAAAGCAAGAATAAAATTTCAATTTATCATCAGAATCATTAACTTCTGATTTTACTGGCCAAGATGCGCAGTCGTTTTTAGATTTTTCTCTGCTTGCTAAAGCAAGAATAAAATTTCAATTTATCATCAGAATCATTAACTTCTGATTTTACTGGCCAAGATGCGCAGTCGTTTATAGATTTTTCTCTGCTTGCTAAAGCAAGAATAAAATTTCAATTTATCATCAGAATCATTAACTTCTGATTTTACTGGCCAAGAATCAAGATGCGCAGTCGTTTTTAGATTTTTCTCTGCTTGCTAAAGCAAGAATAAAATTTCAATTTTTCATCAGAATCATTAACTTCTGATTTTACTGGCCAAGATGCGCAGTCGTTTTTAGATTTTTCTCTGCTTGCTAAAGCAAGAATAAAATTTCAATTTATTATTTTCATTAACTCTGAAACTATCAGAAACAGTGACTTGTTACTAAACTCACCCGGGGATGACGATGAAGACCGCTCCTTGGAACAGAGGTACACCTCAATCTCTCCAGAATAGGACTTCAGGTGGATGGAGTAGCCATTCTCCTCATCCGGATGAGGGACCTGGAATTATGTTAATACTATAACTCATTTAGCAAACTTTATTGGTTAATAAAGAAACAGGGCATGTAAGATAAAAGGCATTTTTTCTGTTTAGGGAGCGTTCAAGTATTACGTAACGAATTTTTGGGGGTCCTTTTGTAGAACGTTACGATGCGGGACTAGGTGGTCACAAAACGTTTTACTATACTTGAGTACAGAAAAACATTACGGCGCGTTACATTGGGGGGTGTCAATAATGTCCAAAAATTGCGTGACGTAATACTTGAACGCTCCCTTACCGCATTACATTCATTGGATCTACCCCCAGTTTCAGAGACAGCAAATGTTGTGATTAACTAACAATTTTTTTATCATCTCAAATCATCTTAGGCTAAGATGATTTAAGATGATGCAACATTGTTTAAAGTAAAAACTTTAATCTTTATTGCGTTTTAACACAACACCGTTTTAACCATTTAAAGATTATTTAATTATTCGTATGTATCATAATATGTAATCATAATTAATTTTAATGCATATTTGATAACTGACATGATAATCAATTTAAGGCAGTAATCATGCTTTCTACAGCGATTTGACAGAAACTAAACACTACCTTTTATACCTTTTTGGGAAATATAATTTTAAATTTATCCAAATCGCTATTGTGTTATCTCTAAAATCTAGTATGCATGACACAGTCTATTTATAGAGATAATATTCTATAGGTAGTAATATAAATCTGATACCAAAATCATATTAGAAGGTTTATGGCACGTTTTAGAAATGTTATTGCTTTTATAATTTAAGAAATTTATTGAATCATCAAATGCCCCAATCAAGTCACTTGTATTAAAGTCCCTAAAGTGCCATACCCATTCTAAATAACGATAATATGTCATTATTAATGATAAAGCAAGTGATTATCCCAACTTAAGCACTTACTGCTTGTATGATCTAAGTTACTTCAAATTTTCCACTTTCACAATGTTTAGCCATTTTATGTAATAAAATATTATAATCATATTTGAGTATATATAAACTCACATTAAGCTTGCTATCCGCCGGCGCCTTGATAGGTATGACGGTTTGGTTCTTAAACTCGCGTATAGAGCGGAGGTCCGCGTACGTTATATACGCCCTTTGGCCATGCTCCTCCGATAGACGGTTGAGGGCGTGGTCGGCCACTGCCAACGCTCGACACACCCGCGCTTCTCTCACACCTAGAGCGTCGACTTGCCGTCGCAATCGACGCACGCGGTTTTCTTCGCCTAACCCTTCTGCGCCTATACCTAATAGGAAATAATTTTTTAAAATAAAAATACAAGCTATTATTAAAATGGCTATTTTAATGTTGGCTTAAAACAGGAACACGCCACAACACTTGGCACAACTCAGAGTATTGTATCTACTTGTTTCTTGACACTGGAGTCACTACACTATGCCTTATTACTTTTTTTTAAATTTAGCCTCACTCTTTACAAAATTGTTTTGTATCGTGTCTCCGGTAGCTCATAATAAAATCTTGTTATTATGCAACATATTGCTGCAATAATGGCTACTAATAACTGTGGGAGTGTTTAATATATTATTAATAACATTTTGCAGGAGCTTTTCAGCCTATATTACTACTAGCAACAATAGGGATAGAGTCCTTCAATCAGGATTGAAAAATTATCCTCTACACTCATCGCAACAACATTTAACATTTCAAACATTTTCCTCACATCCCTTAGCACAATATTATTAATAATGCTGTATTGCTGGTCAGCCTTTAAGTTTGTTCAGGACATTCTACCATTTCTACTCTGTAATTGATTACAGATTCCCACATACCATGCAAGTTTTGTGTTAGTTTAGATTTTAAATTAATAACTGCTTAGAACCACAGATTTGCGATTGTGATTTAAATGCCTTTAATGTGAATCTGTTACCGATATATAGAAAAGGAAGTGTGCCCGAGTGATCCACGGATTTGAACCGAGACCTCAACCTTAACAACTCTGACAGTCGCGTGGTTAGGCTGGTGGTGACTAAATATATACGTAAGACTAGCTAATTACATAAATAAACTGGCTTGAAATGGAACGTGGATACACTCTGAAGAGATTCCAATCATATCCCCCAGCAGGCGCTTGATTAGAACCCGCAAGGAAAGCGAAAGCATGTCCGTCCCAAGCAAACCTGGCGTCGTACTGTTGCAGATGAGTCAAAGAGAGCCGGAAAGACTTGGAGCGAGGTGAAATACGAGACTTAAGACCGAACGCAATGGAGACTCACTGTGGACGTTCTTTGCCCCATCTACGTTACAGGACATTAAGTTAAAATGGAAAGCAATAAAAAAAGACCATAAATTGACTTTGACTTCTCAGCTTATGTAGATGTATTAAGCAGGAGACAAATAGAAATTGGGACCTAGTACAACGATCCCAACGTCGGGCGCCATCTTTTCTTTACCACAGACCACAAGAGGTTAGTTTATGTTTTTGAATTTTTTCAAGTAACCCATGTCCTATTTATTACATTTGTACTAGATTGTATAATAGTATCAAATTGACAAAATAAATATTGTATATACATAGAAATACTATAATCACGAATATAATGAGTGTAGCAAAGATTAAAAGTTTTAAAAAGAAACTACAGCTAAAGTTTAAAAAATACTGTTACAGACACTAGCATTCTTCCATGCCTGGTTTACGGAAAGAGTGAAGTGGACGGTGACTAGAGAAATGGAGCGGAGCATCCTAAATATGAAAAAAAAACATTTACAAAATACGAAGTACCCACACGTTACAACTGAAATGGAAATGGGCAGGCCATATTGAAAGGTGCACAGATAACACGGATATGTGCTTCGAAGGGCAACAACGTTCACTAATATTAAAGCCATCTCAAGCTTAGCTACGCTATAGTTAGAAGCATGTTAGAGTGTATCTCGTCTGTTTGGACTCCGCAAGAAGCTTAATAAGAAGCAGACGCTAGAAGCTAAAGCAGACGGGACTTACAGTTGGCCTACAACGTACTGAAATTCTTGAGGGGTGTAGTGTGCAACCCAAGTGTACTACAAGAACTGGGTTTCTTTGTACCTATGGGATATGTACGACGGCGAAGGCCTAGGTTATTTGCGATACCAAGGGCAAGAACCAGTCTGTTGCACAGATCCCCGTTAACAAAGACGTTGCGCTTACTTAATGCTGTCTCCGACACTATCCACATATTTATATGTTCGCAGAGTGAATTCCCAGTAGCGATATTGTGTATATTATGTGTTTAATATTATATATGTACTTCATTATATTTTATTTAATGTTTCTCGACATTATCGTATTGGCATAGTCTGTAAGGATAATGTATGTATTTCTGTAATAAATAAAAGAAAGATCGCAGAAGCCAACCGAAGACTCCGAGGGGACCTACAGGAAAATGGAACGTGGGAACACAGATCCAAATGGAAAGATCAGAAGGAGGCCTTTTAGTGTAGAATACGAAGTAATAGAAATAACAATAACTAACCTAGACTAAGAAAAACAAAACATTTGATTCGTAATTTGTATAGTATGGAATTAAATTGAGTGTATTATTAGCTACCATGGCAACGACATACCCGTCTCAGGTATTTAGTTTCTAGCAAAGATAAATCGGTTACTATGGTAATGTGTGTATAATGAAATAATACTGGGAACATTTAAGCCAGGTAGTCTAACGGTCGGCAATTCCCTTTGCAAGGGGTTGAAACCACTCACCGCATTTCCATTGTATATTGTTTTTCGATCTTTTTTCTAAAATCCCAATGCCCTCGAGCACATTTGTTATATCGTAGATACGACGTTTTTGTACTGAGAGGTATTCCGCCGCAACGTTCAGATCTAAAACTCCGTTAGGCGATGACTTGAGCAGAGCTACGAACTTTTTTGTTAATAAACCTAATGATGTGTCAAACCTGGAACAAACCACATACCAATTAAATAACGTTATTAACGTTTTATTACAAATATTTGCACATTTAAGAATCTGCACAAATTTCCGTTTGTTAATGATAATTACTAACATTTATTAATGAATCTCCACCAAAAATATGTAGCATGTCGAAAACTCGTGATATGGCTTTTTCACTAAAGATGACAGGATTTGTCACTAAATAATAAGAACAACAGGATATTGACTACTATTTTATTGTAAAATCTGGCGAGGGTTTTGGCGCTATTGTTTAGAACAAACCAGATTTTGAACCAGAGAGAAACCAATTTACCACAATATCTTCTTCCAAAAATACTGGTGTTTACTTGGCCCGCGAATTAATAATCTTACTTATTTTTAATTGGGACAAAACAACGAAATTGCCATATGTATATTATTAGCATTATCAACGGCCTCGCTACTTATTCGAAACGACCTTAGGATCTTTCACAATAAAATACATGAAATAGTGATTGTACGAATAAACACATTTTAATGCAGAATATGCAATCATTCGTTTTTCCAAAACCTATTAATACCATTGCTTTTACCACACCAAACATTACTGTAACGAATGAATTAATAAATACTGTCATAGGGCACACTGAATCTCTAAACTTCCGGAACATCAAAGTGAATACGAACATAAATTGCATTCGAACCCATTCAGAGAAAACAAAATGAGATGGAATGATAAGCAAAAAATTGCGAACCCAAAATTACCTGTATCAATAAATTTGTACCTGGAGCGTTCTGTGTATTTTTTCATAGAACTGGACGGGCGACTATACGGCGTGAGGACCTTCACTCGTTTCTGTTTGGGTGTCTTGAAGTCCGCCTTCATGGGCACCACATGCCCCTGACTTCCTGAACTGCTTTCGCTAAGGTTGAGTCTCCGTTTCACCGTCTGCCAATTATTCGTTACATTAAAACTTTGGATGTAAAACTATATAAATGTCTCACGAAAACGGGGAACTGCTTAGATAAGTTTCATTCATCAAGAATAAATGATGTAGGTACAAAATTTGTTCTACTGTACTTAACACACGACTTGTAATCATCATCTTTTAGTTCCTAACATAAATACGAAACTATAATGTTATAGTTTCTAAACTATAAAGTTATAGTCAAAAGTATAAATTTACCCTATAAAATTGTTATTTGGACAAAATACATATTTTGTTAGGTTATTATTTAGGTAAACGTTTCAAGCAATCGATTTAAAAAATAATTATTCTTATATTAGAGCTACATATTCCTAACAAATATTACTGTGTAAAAATAAGCGTAATAATATAATAAAATAAGTGTAGTGTAATAACTAAGGTAAAAGTATATAAGAGAGTTGTTGTTCCTTCGACAAAAGGCGTATCTAACTACTTGAAGCCAGTTTGTCGTGAGATTAATTCGTTCCTGCTATAACCATTAAACTGGTATGTTGGAAGACATATGTTGTCCATAACGATAAATAACGCACAATTACCTGACAGTAATTGTTATCTTTAATGTTTAAAATTGCAAGAAAGAAAATCGTAAATATTATGTATGCGATCGAGATGTAACCGATATTATCACACGCACAAAGTACTGGACAGTTGATCCAAACACGTACAAAACGAAATTTCAGAGTACAAACCATGTCGTCAAAAGACAGTCATAAAATATGTAAAATACCTAAATTATTCTTTAATTTAGGTCGATACCATAGCGAGTGGCGATGATAGCTATCTCACTCACCCCACCCCTCAAAACATGATTTTATATGTGAAAATTAAAATTATATCGTAAAATAGTTTGTTTATTGCCAAAATATATGTCAGCTACTACAATGTCGTCAATGAAGCCATAATTATCTTTAAACGCAATAGTGGCAGGACAGCATCAAACATTAAACAAGTAGCTATTGTATTGTCAGATAACTAGATAATTACGTAATTATTGAGGTGTAATGAGATTTTTCTTCCACTCTTGCATCCACTGCAAAACGTGACAAAAATCACGACTCACTCTAAGAATATTCGGTCTCAGGTACGTCATTATTAATCGCCTCTCTTCAATTACGTATAGCGTACAAACACCTAATCACGACACAGAACACATCTATATCACAGAGTCAATCATCGTAACTCCATAATTTAAGTCCATTTTAATTAAATATCACAACAGTATGTCAATTTATAAAGTAAAATAATTTGCAAATAGTAGATCACAGGATAAATGCATGAGGCATTTTTCAATGAACCGATGCAACTAATTCAACTTAAAGCAACGCGGGGCCAAAGCCCCCTTGAAGGAAGTGTGTGGGGAGGGTACCCGTACACAATACAAAACATAAATTAGAATCAACACAAAAGCGCCGAGCTCTCGGAAGGGACCTCCGGCAAAAGAATGCCAATTTCTTATCTTAAAAACTCGTGTTATTATTAATAGTCAACTGACAAGACTATTGTTAATTTGTCGCTTTTGCGGGGTCTCGACTCCGCTCGTCTTTGTGCATCGTCTAAATCAGAGCAGATGTTTAAAGCGTGACATCTAAGATAAAACATCATTCGACACCCTTGCATTAAAAATTTCGTTTGCACTATTTACTAATCAAATCCCTTCTGATCTCTTAGACATGATTTCATAATGCATCCTCTAGGATTAGGGCTGGTTTTAGTTCGAGTTATGGAGTATAGAGAAAGTTTTCTAAAATTGTAGTACCCATAATGGTTACGCTGTGACAGAAAAGTGGAATTGCGCAATAAAGGAGCGCAGGAAATAGGTACCTGCCCACGTGACCCCATGGTGTTTGGGCCACATGGCGTCGCACGCGGGTGATTGCCACTCGGGACAAATTGTGAACGTGTGTTTCTTAACATATACACTATTACTCGAATAATTTCAAAAAATCTGATCGATATTTACGAAATCAAAAGTCTATCGAGTAAAACGATTATTATAATTATAGTACATAGAGAATAAAATAGAAGAAATCTTCACCTGAATAAAAATTTTGAAAATTGCAATAGTTTTCCCATTTTTTATCCACAATTATGAAGAGTCATTAATTGTATATTTCAATATTTTCTTATGTAGTAAAACTTTAGAAAAAGTATATCTATGCAAAATCTGTAAAATTTATGATATGAGTTAACAGTCATTAAAGACTCAACAAGAATCAACAAGGAAGTAAAAATGGAAAACATCCTTACTATAAAAATTTAACCACATGAAAGAACACACAAAATCGTATCTGCTCATTGGCAATTTCTATTAAATCTTAACAAAATTTACATTTATTCACACACAAAATATATAGAATGAGATTGGTCACTAAAACTCCACACAAGCAAGTTATCTAAGGGACTGACTAACCACTTCCTCCACAAATTCATTTCCCTATTATTAATCTGGCTTAACAGACCTCCTGCTATAACAAAGTGAAGCACATGTATGATTTCAGATATTAAGAAAATTATATGATCAAATAGAGAAACATCAACACTACTATGTCTTGAAGATTAACAAGAGTCTAGAATAACTGAGTTAGAAATGTATTTGTTGTAAAACTGAGTTAGCTTCAATAATGTGTATCCAAACAGTCACAAAATTATTTAAATGTTTCCATATTACTAAAATATGACAGCTCCAGCTCAGTTATGGTATCTGTTTGCATCTCCTAAATAAGATTCAAGTATTGTATATAAATTTATCCAACTTTATAGAAAAAAATATAAAACAATATTCCATCTTGCATTTTACTCTGTATGTATAAATTTGAACAGTAATACAAACTTTTATTATTTTATATATTCATAAAGTATTTAACATATGTACAACAAATTAAGTATTAAACATATGATGTAACAAATAGATGATACACCCCACATGTACTATTGGGTCCATTGACCTCATTTAGGTCTTTGACCCTAAAATGGTCCTAATACCATAAAGAAGATGTCCAAAAACGGGTAATAAATCATACATTTTCCAAAAATTAATTTGTACCTATATAATATATACACTAGGTATATATAAGTCAACAATAATATAAATATCCTGTGTGAGATATTGTTGTGAACCAGACATTTCTATAATTAATCCTATTGTGGCAATTTTCAAATCAGCCTCTCTAAACATAGATTTGTTTTCTATAAGATAATCTTAAATTAAGTGAAAAACTCTGCCATAACCAAAACCACAGTAACACTTTCTTGTTTTAAAATGTGTTAAAGATTGTCTGTTGACATTACTTATGAGATGATAAATAAAAAATTGTTACATAAATGTATGTTCGTTCATCTTGCATTTAAACACATTGTCTAACAAGCCCTCGATTTTCCCAGTTGTTTCTAAGTATATAAGTGATGTATGATTATGTCCTAAGTTAAACATTTCATAAGCTTCTAAGCTAAATATTAACATTATATGTTTCAACATACAGATAATATTTAAATGCTGATTTTGTTGAAAAGCAACCTAAGGGCATATTATAGACAGCTTATTAAAACAACTTACTTAATTAGTTTTTAAAGTTCTTGATAATCAACTTAATCAAAAATTGCTCAAAGAAATTGTTTATACATGAAATATATCACTTAAAAACTGTTCCTGAAGAACTCTCAGTAAGCAATCATTGTGAAAACAATAATTCTGTGCTGATATGTAGCTGATGATATGTAGAGCATGATCTCATTAACATAAAAAGACATGAATACAACTTACATTAGAGTATAACAAATGGGCAGAAGTGTAGAAATCTGGCATAACACAAAACTGTACCATGTACCATCATGACCTCAAACTAATCACCAAATTATAAAGATTAAGGCTTAAACTTACTTCTGAAGTCTTCGGCGGTGCGGAGGGCGCCTCCCGCCGTATCTGATGCTGTGGCGTGGCTCCATATCCATGATCTAGCAGGTGATAGCTGATAGGCTGGCTCGGGCTGTCATCCAGGAGCGTGGTCTGCGACGGAGACGCCCCGACGCGTACCACCACCTCAGCTTCGCCCTCCGCCTGCCCTCGCTTCACCCCCCTCGGCATCGCTGTCACCCCAATAACATCAATATTATACAACACGTTTTAGCTGCTTTTTAAGTAAACGTAATCAGTTAAATGAAATTGGAAGAGGTTAGGGGCGCCTTGCGCGCGGAAATCACAACTTATCAAATTTCTTCTGACACGAATCCTCTTAAAATTAATAAGTTCTAGTACATTTCCATATTTTCCAGAAATGCAAGCAAATGTCTAAATTAGCTTACGTCATTATTTCAACGACATTTTACCAAAAATATCGACGACCTAGCGGTAATTCGTAATCATAACCGCATACCAGGTACTGCGTAAACATGTTTTTTTTTCATATAATTAACTTAAAATATTTAAATTATACTTACAAAAGGTGTAAGCGAACGATATTCGAATACAGAACCATAAAACGACATTTAATGTTTTCGACGCAAACGCTACATTATCGAGTACTCAAAATAAAATGTCCGCCGCTTTGTTGGTTTCGTCTCTCGAGTGAACTCGTGGATATCGAGACGCCCGATAACTTTCAGTTAATTGTCACACTTTACAAAAACACATAATCAATTTACACATCTAATAAATCACTAGTAAAAGATATAAAATTAGGTCCCTAGTCCACATTTTATAATATTTTAACAAGTTAAAAATGCAGAGATATCAAACGACGACAGGAAGCTTTTCAGAACATCTGGCTAGCAAGCGACGTAGCAGTGGCGCGAACTACGCGCGCAAGCGCGAAGCGACCGTACAAGCCCAAGCAACCCCTAGACGCCGTTTTCTAAATTCCTCCCCTCGCTTGAGAAGCCATAAAAAAATAACGAATTTTTTAATTTTCGTTGCACGACCGGTTAGTAGATAACTTAGCCCTTTGCGCATGACAAAGAATGAATCAGACTGGTTAGAGGAAAAATTTAAACATGTATACAAAAATATAATAGTAAACAGTTTCTTATTTTCAAAAAATTCTAATGATACTTAAAAGGTGAAGGAATTTTATTCCCTATTCAAAAGTGTGAGTTGTTTAGTTGTTAATCAATTCGAAAACTAATAATTATTATATTGAAACTATGTAAAAATATACGAGTCGAGTTTAAACTGCTGTACTCAAGAAGAATTTTGTTAAAGCATGGCACTTGATGACCATGCAAAGAACCTGAAGCGCCGTGTTTTAGATTTTCGATACTCTATATCAACTGATTAATTATAATTATTAATTTAGAGTACCTATACTGTATAAAAGATAGCTGAGGATTGTAAATAAATTTATTAATTTTTAGATGTTTCAAAATCAAACATTAAAATGGTATTTGCTTATTTATCCTGTAATCGATTCTGGTCAATGAATGTTATAGTTTCATGTTAAGTTTGCTTTTTAAAGTAAAACTTAGCCTGTGTGTCTTATTACAGTGATATTTGTGGACGTTTAATTTATTGTCCACTTACGAAACTTCACAAAATTTAACAATTGAGCTTGCAGTTTCACGTCCCCACGTAGTAAGTAGAACGTAGGTCAAGCAATGATTTTTATTCGATATATCTTTCTATAATGGTCTCGTACATTTGTTAATAATAACGTCGATTCTTTATTATTATTTTGGTTTATTCGGAATATTATTTAGTAATCTGTGTCCAGAATTCCGGATTTCCGACTTGACCTTAGCATATTAATATTTGTCATAGTGTTATTACTAATTAGTAAATGTTTACTGATAATATCTATATTGATTACAGATGACACAGGTTGTTATGTTGCTCCCTCCCCACCGCAGATGTCCATCCTGCGGGGTCCGAGCCTTGACGTGGCCGGGGAGGGCTTAGTAACTGGGGTGCAAGCCAGCACCTTGGTGAAGCGAATCGGATATAGAGGGGGGGCCATTCTATCTAGCCCCAGCGGCGCTTCATGCGCGTGGTATGGCTGGCCTTTAAGGCTGGCGAGGCTCGTCGAATTGACGGCGAGCCCCTAACCTCAAGTTTCTGGCGCCCGGCGATGGGGTGAGTGGCCGGGGGGAGTTCGGTCCCGAGGGCGTCCCAGGGTGAGCTGTCTTACCTGGATAAAAATTAAAGCGAAAATGAAGACAAATACTTGTAAAACTACCCCAGGCGGGTCAAATCCCGCCACCTGCTCGCAAGAGCCGGTGCAAAAGTCCCACCGTACTCTGGGGGGGACAATCTTCATGATTCCGGCGCTTTTGCCGAGGCGAGCGAGGAGAAAATCATTAGAAATAACACATGCGATAGTAGAATGATATCCACGGACCAACCAATAAACCCGGATCTGAGAGAATTACAAGAAGTGACCGTGGTGCCTGAGCGCACTCTATGTATTACGCCGGTGCCGAGCGTTTCCAGGGACATTTTTGGCGACCATCCAGTTGACGCGCCTACGTCTGATGCTGGAAGGTTATCGGATTCCTCCGCGGCATCTATGATCAGCGCCAGATCACTGGATTGTACAGACCCTACATATCCTAGATTCTGGAGTTCTCGCAAACGAACCAGGAGTGGCGAAGACGATGGCGACAGTACAATCAGCGAGTCGTCTGTTCGGACCCCACTAAAAGTTGCTACAACAAGAAGAGGAAGAGGCCGCCCACCAAAAACCAGAGGGTACATGGGCTTGGCGCCTGCTAGGTCTGCTTATTTAAAGGCCAAGAAAACGGAAAAGGAAGCCCAGGCTGAGGAGGAGATCCTCGCTTCATTGACTGAGCCGAGTAAACCCGCACCAACACCAGCGGCAATGAATGCAGAAGGGGAAATTTTGACGGCAGATCTAGCGCAGAGGCGCATCGAAGCTAATCTGCAAATGGTAGAGAAAGTCGCGACTAAGTCAAAAAATCTTAAGGGTACATTTGTCCACGCCCTCAAATCTGTCGCTAAATCTATTAAAGAGGACACAGAGGTACTCGCTCAAATGTCTGTTTCGGATGAGACGCGAGCTCTTCGAAGTGAAAACGAGCGGCTTCGAAACTTTCTGGAGGCGCTCCAAAAGAGATGGGAGAGTTGCGAGAGCTAATAAAGCAACGCCCTACAGATCCGGTACCAACACCGGACTTAGAGGACCTTGAGGCAAGGCTCATGAGCCGCCTTGTGGATAGGATCAATGCTAGAATAGAAAGCATAGAACCAAGACTCAACCCGGAGCCTCGCATACGACCACCTCTCTCCGCTGACAAGTATAAGCCGGAGGCTGTGGCAACAACGTCGGGGTCCTCCAAGGTTAGAAAGACGACAGCAGCGCCCACTTCGAATACAGTGGCAACTCAACCCGAGGACGGCGTGAAAAAGAAGAAAAAGAAGAAGAAACCTAAGAGAAGGCAAGAGAATGTGCCTACAGGGACAACTGTCCCTAATGCTGCCCCTATGTCACCACCGTGCCCACTGCCAGAGCTCCCCTCTACTAATGAAGCGTGGAATAAGGTGGTAAAGAAAGGATTGCGCCGGAAGAAGAATGAAGGTGCTCAACAACTTCCAGCACAACCTAAGAGACAGGCAATGGCAACAGCTGCACAACTGAAGCTCCGTACGCCCAGTTCCGCAGCAGTTGTTTTAACGCTTCCGCCGGATGCCGAAGAGAAAGGCCTTACATACGTAGCAGTCCTAAAAGAGGCGAAGACAAAACTAAATCTGGCTGAGCTTGGTATAGAAGCGGTCCGGTTCAGACGAGCTGTCACGGGGGCCACCATCATTCAGGTCCCCGGGACAGGTGGTGAGGAGAAGGCGGATATTCTGGCGTCTAGATTAAAGGAGGTCTATGGTGACGGAAGAGTCCGGGTTTCCAGACCTGTTAAATCAACTGAGTTGATGATCTCGGGGCTGGATGAAACAGTCACCCCGGAAGAGGTCAAACAAGCCATTTGCTCTAAGGTCAGCTGCTCGCCGGACAATGTGAAGGTCGGTAGCGTCCGTCAGAACAGGACTGGCCTTTTTGCGGCATGGGTCAGGTGCCCAGTGACGGCGGCCAAAAAGCTGACCGAAGGAAGGTTATTAGTGGGATGGGCTTCCGCCCGAGTTGTTCTCTTGAGGGCCCGAGAACTGAGATGTTTCCGCTGCTTCCAGGGCGGTCATGTAGCAGCACGGTGTACTGCGGATATGGACCACAGTCACCTTTGTTTTCGGTGTGGTCAATCTGACCACCGAGCAGGGAGTTGCTCTGAAAAGCCGCAATGCGTTCTGTGTGCTGCGGCTGGCCAAAGAGCAAACCATCTACTGGGGGTAACGCGTGTTCGGCCCCCAGCAAAAAGATGCCCAGAAGGACGTGGACCGCGAACAAAACGGCCACTGGTGCCCCACCGATCGGGGACACAGAGCAAATGGAGATAACACCTGGTTCATAGATGGCCCTCCAAATCCTACAGGCGAACATCAACCACTGCGCCAAAGCTCAGGATCTGTTACTCCAGAGCATGGCGCAGTGGTTAATCAATATCACAATAGTATCGGAGCCGTATATGATCCCCCAGAGGGAAAACTGGTTTGGCGACCGCAACGGTTTAGTTGCGATTGCCGTTTCGTTGCCTGAAGGCTTGCCTCAAGCCTCGCTAAAAGGAAACGGCTGTGTCGCTGTTAAACTAGAAAAAGTCGTTGTAATTGGAGCTTATTTTTCACCGAACCGGAGTATTACAGAGTTCGAGGCCTTTCTGGCAGAAATGGGCTCCCTGGTGGAATGGGCTCGACCATTAAATGTTATTGTTGCAGGGGATCTCAACGCGAAGTCGTCTATGTGGAACTCTCCGGTAACCGAAGCCCGTGGCGATGCGGTGGTTGATTGGATCGCCACTCACAACTTGGTGATATTGAATCGAGGATCGGAACGCACATGCGTGCGAATGCAGGGCAGTTCTATCGTCGATGTAACTTTTGCATCCCCGGAACTAGCAAATCGCGTCTCCAACTGGCGTGTACTTACAGAGGTTGAAACGCTTTCGGACCATAGGTACATTCGGTGCCTGGTGAGTCCCCATCAACAGCTACCACCAGCAACTGGTAGATCAAATCAGCCTCCACCGGAAATAGGGCCAAAATGGTCCCGTAAAAAACTGGACTTTGACTCCCTGTCTTTGGCATCTTTGACAGAGGCGTGGTGCCCTAAGCCAAATACTATCTTAGCAGATAGAGAGGTGCAATGGTTCGGAGAGGCTTTGCGACGTATTAGCGACGCTGCAATGCCAAGGATCCGCCCTATTCCGCCCCGCCGACAAATGTACTGGTGGTCGCCTGAACTCACCCAGCTACGGACGGCTTGTGTAGTTGCCCGACGTCACTACACCCGATTACGTCGAAGACGCCTTGCTCCACACGATCCGGAAGAAGAAAGAAGGTGCTACGGCGAATACCAAGCAGCAAAATTAACTTTGCGCATTGCAATTGGAGAGGCCAAAGAGAAAGCTTGGGAAGATCTTTTACAAACTTTAGAGCTAGACCCATGGGGGCGGCCATATAGGCTAGTGATGACCAAGCTGCGCCCCTGGCTTCCGCCACTCACTACCACTCTAGAACCGGTGTTCCTGGATACGGTAGTCTCCGCACTATTCCCGGCTAACAGTTCGCATCCAACATCTCGCGACGACCTCCACTATGATGAGGAAGTCCCAGAAGTGACGCCTGAGGAACTCTCTGTTGCAATACTTAAGCTTCAGAGCAAAAAGACAGCCCCCGGACCAGATGGTGTTCACGGGAAGGTCTGGGTCCATGTCCTCAATAACGGGCTGGAAGAGAGGTTTCGGGAGTTGCTAACCCATATTTTAAAGAACGGCCACTTTCCGAGTAGCTGGAAGACGGGAAAACTTGTATTATTAAAGAAAGAGGGTAAATCACCTGAGTCCCCGTCGGCCTATAGGCCAATTGTTTTATTAAATGAAGCAGGCAAGTTATTCGAGCGAGTGCTAGCATCCCGCATAGTAAAACACCTTACAACGGACGGGCCGGATTTGGCCGATACCCAATTCGGTTTCCGGCGCGCCCGGTCTACCATCGACGCCGTTGCAAGGCTAAGAGACGTTTGCGAGGAGACACTCGCGCAAGGAGGGGTGGTGCTGGCGGTGTCACTAGACATAGCAAACGCTTTTAACACGATTCCCTGGAATACCATTATAGACGGCTTAATCTTCCATGACGTGCCAGTATACCTCCGGCGCATGATAAGATCATACCTTTCGGCCCGTACCGTCATCTACCCGGGTCGGGGAGGTTGGAAGGAACACAGGGTTGAGTGTGGTGTTCCACAAGGGTCTGTTCTAGGCCCACTCCTATGGAATATCGGATATAACTGCGTCCTTCGTGGCTCACATCTGCAAGGCGTCAGCCTAATATGTTATGCCGACGACACACTTATCACTGCAAAAGGTCGTACATACAGAGAAGCTTGCATCCTCGCAACGGCGGGGTGGCACAGGTTGTGGCGCAAATAAGGCGCATTGGCCTCCAAGTCGCCCTCGAGAAATCTGGGGCGGTCTGTTTCCACGGTCCAAGACGAGCTCCTCCTGACGGTACACATTTGGTCGTATGTGGTGTGCCCATAAGAGTAAGCCCCACTTTAAAGTATCTCGGGCTTGTCCTCGATTCTCGATGGACTTTTAAGGATCACTTCTCGGCACTTGCCCCGAAGCTCGCTACCACGGCTATGGCACTCTGCCGGTTAATGCCAAATCTTGGTGGGCCGAGTGCGGGGTGTCGCCGGTTATTTGCAGGTGTGGTCCGGGCGAAGGTCCTCTACGGATGCCCCATTTGGGCCGATTGTCTATTCGCTCAAAACAGGGCGATTCTAAGACAGTCGCAACGGGCGATGGCCATAAGGGTGGCAAGGGCGTACCGCACCGTCTCTTGCGAGGCAGCGTGTGTTATTGCAGGAACTGCCCCCTGGCACCTCGAAGCGGCTGCCCTAGCCAAGATCTATTGGCATAGGGCAGATAGTAGAAGTAGGGGTTTCGACCCCCTTCCTGAGCACATAAACAGCTGGAGACGGGAAGCCCAAGTGACCGTCCTTCAGAAATGGATGGATGAGTTACAAGATCACAGGGCAGGAGTCTGGACAATTACATCTATACGTCCAGTGCTCAACTTGTGGGTAAATAGAAGATGGGGGCACTCTCGTACCGACTCGTTCAGGTCCTCACAGGCCATGGATGTTTCGGTGGATACCTTCACAGGGTTGCCAGGAGGGAGGCATCCCCCATTTGTCACGAGTGTGGTTTCGCAGACGACACAGCGCAACACACTTTAGAGGTTTGTCCGGCGTGGAGCTCTGAACGCAGCCTATTAACCGCCACCTTCGGATTGGACCTGTCGCTTCCAGTCATAGTTAAAGCTATGATGGAGGCTGACAGTGACGGCCCATGGAACACTTTCAAAGCGTTCTGTGAAGCCGTCATTACACTTAAAGAGAATGCGGAGAGGGTTCGGGAGTGTAACCCAGACGCCGACCCTCAACGCAAAAAAGGCCTGGAAGGAGACGTCGCGATTACGCACGTACTCCATTGGGACCTTAGGACAGGATTGGGCAACGCAGAATATGTGCTCACACAGCAGACGCTCATGACGGAGGCACGGATTAAGGGAAACTGTTACCGCGCCTACCGTCCATAGCGAACAGATGGGGCTGTTGGGTTTTAGTGGGTAGGTGTCCATTGCACCATACGGACTGACTCCCACACTCCCTGCGCCACTTTTAAATCGTTGCCCCGGCGCGGGGGTCAGTAAATTGATTTCCCAACAATAAAAAAAAAAAAAAAAAAAGGTTGTTATGTTGCTGTAAACAGTTATAACCCCAACAAAATAATCACATCGTTAAAATGAATACCCATTTCCCAGAGAAAATTCAACGTAATATAGCCAATTTGAATCGAAATGGAAATCTGGAAAATGATGGAGATTAATAAATTAAAACGTAGTAACGTATATTTTTAAACTAAGCGCCTTATGTTCCCGGAGGCGGAAGCAAAGTAAGATCATAGATTAATTTAGACCTGTGCTTAAGGCGATAGTTTCCACATAGATAATTAATTATTCAAAATAATTTAAATATATTTATCTTGGCCAATCTGTGGCTTAATATTTTTCAATCTCTTGTGCCTGCCCGTGTAGTAGACTTTTAGACAAAATTTTGTAATGCACAGACAAAAAAAAATCAAAGTTAAAAGTAGGTGATAAATGTTCGCAATTAGCAATAAAATAAAAACAATTATTTGAATACGATTCTTCTGGCTGATAGTTTTTTGGTTTTTATTTTTTATCAAGTTGAAAATAACCGTAGCTTATCAATTCGACGTACCTACAGTTTTTAAATGTATGTACGTGGTACGAGCTTAAATTTACGGTGCCGAGTAATTCCCTAATAAAACATAGTTTTGTTAGGGATAATATAAAACATAGTGTATAATGTTTATATAATTCATAGTTTATGAATTTATATCAACATTATCATACATTGTCTTTTTGTATTTGCTATTAAATGTGGTATACAGTAAAATATATAAAATTAAACTAATTTAAATAGTTAACGTAAAAATGTTTAGAGAACCATTAAACAGCAGAATGCAGGCCAGGTTTCAGTTTTCTCATTTCTGAAGGAGAAAATTAAAAACAATGATAAAATAATAAACTTAACATATTATGTAGATATTCTACAGCCAAGAATAATCGGAATTATAGTTTAAGGATCTACAGTTATCTTTATATTATAAAAGAGTAGAAATCTCGGGCACAAATACGAACTAAATATACATTACAGGAACATTATTAATGCAATATAAGAATTTTCGCAGGCCACTGATTTATTTTCAATCATTGATATTTACAAGAACTGTTGTCTGTAACATTAAAACATAAGTTTTTTCAGCCCTGAAAATCATAGACACCCCATTATTTTCTTATATAAAATTTGTATGACAATCGTTAAGCGACATACATCTTGGTAGCTAATACTCAAGTTTCAACTGCGACCTAATAGTTTCGTAATTAAGTAACTGTAAAAATATCCAAAGTGGAAAAAGAAGGAATAAAAACTTAACCAACTTCAAAAAAATATTTATTGATTTGAAGGTCGCAGTCGGACCCGTTGTAACACCCAAACTGTCGAATGCAACTTGGTCTCTGAATCATTTGAATATATCCAGGATCGGCGAGATTGCGCGGCACCGTGTGGAACTCTCTTCTCACCGAGACGTTCTCTCACATATTTTTTAATTCAGGCATACTCCAAGTTAGGGAACATTCCAAGTGTAATCCAAATTAGTTCCGTAGTTTTGAGTAACAACGCATTTCTGGTAAGGACATGTATAATATATATTTCAGTGGACAGCAATTTGAGGTTGGTTTACTTTTTTGAAACTTTTTTTACTTAAAATGGTCACTGAATGCTGTTTTCAATAAATTCATTATAATTACTAATTATATTATATAATTACTAATATATTTTTGTTCTATTTGCCCAAGTTACTTTAAACATAACAATATTTTAATAAATTCCTTAACATGAAAAACTAAACATATGATGAACTGAAAAGCGTTTTTACAAGATAATTATTACACAAATTTTTCATTATTCCTAAATTTAAAAGTTTAATAACTTTTTTATTTATTGGTCATAAAAAAAGTATTACGATTGTGAAACTTATATGGTGGATATAAGGTGGATTAAGTAATAATAAAATTTAAAAATATTATAAAATATATAATAATTTATTAAATATCAATGATAACAAATACCTCAAATTTATTGTCTTTTGGTTCGTCAATTATTTGCATTGCTGAATAAGTTATAGCCTTAACTTCAGACCCTTGAGGATGCTTTCCAATCTCAAATTCTTCACCATAACATTTACAAACTATTCTGAACTCTTCTGTATTAAACTCTATAATTTTTAACTTTTTACATATTAAATATGGTTCAGCAGAAAACAAAAATAATAACTCATCAAGGAAGTGATACAAGAGCCCCATCATGTCATCGGCTGATGCTTCTATTGTGTGCACTTGTTTTATTTGAACATAGGGAAGTTCTGTCATGTATCCAAACATTGCCATACCACATTGTTCGAAAGCTTCAGTCAGGCTATCACCCCAGGCATGTAACCTGAAAATTATATAGTGAAATATTAAAGATGTAGATTTTGACATAATTATTACACAATATTATAAATATGTAATAAATTACAATAGTAAAAACATGATTTAAATATTATCTTCGTTCATGATTTCCAGTCATCTCTGTATATATTGAATAATATATAACCCTAACCCTGTAAAAAAAGGCGTTGCGTTGCCAGATGTATAACTGATTTACAAATATACATTACAAGTTAAAAACTCACTGAACATCAGCTGTGTGATCTAAATCTGAAACAAACAAATAAACATTTACTTTCGTACAACAAATTAACTTAAGAAATATCTAAATATCGTAAATATAATTATACACTAAATGATAAATATAAGAGGAAACTTACATTCGTATTTTACAGGAGGTATTATAAAGTCATTTTCTGTTAGTTCTCCTAACTCTTCATCCATAATTCCTAATTAATAGTCACTATTTAAAAAAATATCAATGGGATTTCAAATAATGTATTTTGACTATTTTTTTTTGTGAATCATAGGTACACCTTTCAGCTGTAATAAAAACACAGTGACACATGACAGTCTGGTGTGACTTTGACTATATTCAACTTTAATTTTTAAAGCCCATCCACACGCTTGACAAACAATGGCAAACAGCTAACAGCAAACAGCAAACACGGACGTGTGGATGGGTGTTTGTCGTTGTTTGCCTGGGGCCTTAGTCAAGATGCCTTAACAGTAGTGTATGTAGAAAGTCGAAAACTTAATTTGTATGGAAATGACAGTTCGTGTCGAAAAGTTTTCATACAAATTTAGTTTTTGACGTTCTACATACACTACTGTTAAGGCATCTTGACTAAGGCCCCAGTTTGTGTTCGTGTTGGGCAGTGTTCGGCATCGGTGTCGGTTTATCTTGCCAGATCAAAGGATGTTTGGGCAAACAGTTTGCTACGTATCCACACGTTTGGCAGCGATCAGTATGCGCGCGAGCTTGCGGGAGGCGGACGTATTTACTTGCTACACTTTCGTTGGCGCGCAAAGCGTAAAAAATGTCTGATTGGAGCACCTACGATTCTGACATTTTTAAGTAACTTTTAAGTAAAATTAAAAAAAAACACGGCAAAGTAAAGCTCAAATAATAGGTCTAAAGCCTTGTACGCTTTTTATGTATTTTAATCATCCACCATCGTCTTTGCTTTCTTCTTTTTTCCTTTTTTCTTTCTCTTGCTTTAATTTATAATAAAAATATGTCAACCCGAAAGTAATAGCTGCAACAAGCTCGTCGTCCGCCATGTTTGCCGATTCGGAATGTTATGAACGTTCGCCAAGCATGTGGATGGCTGTTTGTGTTGGGTGATTGTGGTTGGTGTTTGGGACTTCGTTTGCTTTTTGCGGTGTTTGTGACAAACAGCCAGCGTGTGGATGCCCCATTAATTGTATTTACGAATAAATAATAATAATTATTTAAATATTAGATAATAATAATAATAATTCTTTTTCTTATTTATAATCTATCTTTCTAATGTGTTTGTTACTTAATCTATAATAGATAGTATTGTCATAACTCACAAGTGACAAATGATAAGTCTTATTTGTTAATTTTGTAATTTAGAGTTTAGAATTAATTGTGAAAAAGCTTGAAACTTCATCTGCTAACTGCTTATTAATTCTAAATTTGAAAAAAAAATCCCGTTTGAGTTTCTTTTGTTTTTACACAACGTCAGTTTTATTTTGTTGAAACCTTTTACAAATAATAATTTAGTGAAATTATAATGGATCCCATTGCGGTTTTACAAAATAGACTAGAGCAGTTGGAAGCTAAACTGGGCTTGGCTCCGAATTCGTTACTGGAGGGCCAACATCAAGGTGATACAGTAACTGCAAATTTGTTAAATACCGCTCAAGCAATAAATAATGCTACTGCTGGTCATGAGAAGTTGTCTGAAGCTAAAAACATGGCCAATGAACTAAACAACTACACTGACCCAAATTTTGTTGAAAACGTAAGTAATTCATCTCATTCATTTCTTATTTCATCTGCACCTATTATATTAATAAACAAAAATGCAATAAAAATATGCAAATAAACAAACATTTTGAAAAATGTCAATTCCAGATGCAACAAAACAACATGAATATGCATGAGGTAGTTGCTGCAGAGCCAGTCATTAAACATCATTGCCACTGTATGCATAGATGTAAGCAGGCAAGTATTCTTTGGTTTTTTTAACTTACTAAAAGTACTGATGTTATGATAACTACTCAACTCAACCTGGAGTCCCCAGGCCAGTGAGTCAGTGGTTAGATTGGTTGAAACTTGGAGGCAGAGCAGCACCTTCGTTCCTTCTCACCTGATATAAATCAACTGATATCAAATATTGTGGTAAAGTAAATGTGTAAAATTATCAAATACCAAATATATAACAACACCAATATTTGAGGTTACCGTATTTAGTATTTCCATTAAGAATACAAATGATTTATTTATAATGAATATGCAATGGTTAATAAAATTTTCCTGACTGGATATTAATATCCCTAGTAAAATTTCTGACCTGAATGGACATTGTGAACAAAATGTAATTGATAAAATTTTAATTACTTTTATTTTATTTTAATATATTTAACATTATTAATATTAAGTACTAGTATTCATGTTATTGTCTTATTTGAAGGCTGCCCCGGTATTAGAATCTGAAGCTCTACAACAAGTCCCCCAAATGCAAGAAGCTGTCAACAACATGCACATTGCAGCAGCAGAAGTCAAAGCTGAAGCTGATGTTGTATGTAAACCTTTTTCTGTTTTATATTATATTTTTATTTAGTATTGCTGTTAGACCGGGAGATAGTGACACAAAAATTGGGTCATTTGTACCAGTATGGCGGTTCTTCAGGGGTCTTATTACGTAATTAAAAAAAGAAAAAGGATGGTCATAGCGCTGGTACCCGCGGCTCAATCACGAGGACGTTAGTCGAACTCGTCGGATTAATTACGAGTGTCAAACAATTTGGCAAAAAAATTTCTGATTTTCGGCGGTATGGCGGCCATTTGGAACCGTCCGAAAAGTATGGCATGGTGATTTTCGTAAATGGCTGCATGACGATGATTTACTGTGTAAAAATTACCTTGGTACAAATGGTTAAATTTTTTTTAAATTAACGCATTCGCGGCGGTATGGCGGGCTGTAAGTCACACCGAAGTATGGAATGACACTACCGCCTCTTATTTTTTTATGGACTATCAGAAAATACTAGAATTTTTGTGGAACAAATCGTTTGTCACTCGTAAATAATCCGACGAGTTCGACTAACGACCACGCGATTGGGCCGCAGGTACCAGCGCTCTGACCATCATTTTTCTTTTTTTCATTGCGTAATAAAACCCCTGTAGAACCGCAATACTTATACAAATATCCCGATATTTTGTGTCACTATCTCCCGGTCTATGTTATAAGTTACTTTAAGCAAGTGCCATTTTAAAATTAATTAAAAAAAATCAATCTAATTTCACTTCTTTGACTAAAATACTCTTTCACCTCTTTCTGCCCAATTGTGCTTCTGCTGTTAACAAAAGAGACAGATGAGTACTTTAGAATGGTGCAATTATACTGTTTTTTTTTACATAGGGGGTAAGTTTAATGTATTTTGTACAGATTTAAATTCTTATTTGTTAGTAATAATGGAATGTTATTGGTGGTGTAACAGTTTTATGCTGTTTGTTTAGGTATCCCAAGGAGTTCATGAATTAGCAGAAACATGTGGTGCTGCAGCTTCAAATGCATCCGAACAACTAGCCAATGTTGCTCAAAAAGTTGAGCAAGTTGAGCAAAAAATGTTTCCAAGGAGACGAAATGGATTGGATTAAATCATTTTATGAATAGCTTAAAAGTTTTGTGATTTTTCTATATGGTTTATTTATTTCATGTTATAAATTAGAAAAGTGAATTATACTATATAAAGCTGGATTACCATGTTTAATTCATCGCCTTATAAAGGGAGGGGTTAAGGGAGGTGGTTTACATGTTTTCGTATATGAACTCCAATATGGCAGCACTTTTCCCGCCTCCTAGAAGTATGGCAAATATAATAACGGTCACATTTTATCAAATATTTTCCAAAAATCCAAATGCAATAGTGGTACAAATCGTTTGGCACAAAAAAATTTGCTGATTTTTGGTGGTATGGCAGTCATTTGGAACCGTCTGAAAAGTATGGCATGGTGATTTCCGTAAATGGCTGCACGAAGATGATTACCTGTGCAAAAGTTAGCCTGGTACAAATGGTTGATTTTTAAAAAAAATTAACGCACTCGCGTCGGTATGGCGGGCTGTTAGTCACACCGGAGAAGTATGGCATGACACTACCGCCTCTAAATTTTTTTATGGACTATCGGAAAATACTAGAATGTTTGTGGAATAAATCGTTTGACACTCGTAATTAATCCGGCGAGTTCGACTAACGCCCACGCGATTGGGCCGCCGGTACCAGCGCTATGACCATCATTTTTCTTTTTTTCATTGCGTAATAAGACCCCTGAAGAACCGCCATACTGGTACAAATGACCCACTATTTTGTGTCACTATCTCCCGGTCTATAATTAAGATCTTATTTCTTCTCTCCTACCAGACAGTAAAATCAGATCAAAAAGACATTGTTTACAAGCATGGTACGACTATAATACAAAAAAGTATATTCTTTTAAGGGGCTCCTATTTTCACGAAAATGTATAGCTGCAAGGGTGTGGCTGGTAACATCAGGCAGCATTTACGGCTAGACTATGCAATACTCAGCGATATTTTCAGTATGGCCGGGATATATTGCCAAATACTTTTTGTATATCCGATGAATGTTAAGTGTCCCAGCCGTATGGCCGCTTTGCAATCGAAAAACGGCAATATATCTCAGCCATATTATTGCTGTCTCGCTTTACGGCCTATTTCATGCTAAAAATCGTAGAGTTATAGCTAATCTTGTAACAGCAGGTAAAGCTTTTCTCGTGTTAGCATCTCTTCTTTGTATCATTGGTCCAATCTTGTGAATAATGTAATCAAAGCCACTCTTTGACATTCGTGTAAAGTTATCAAATAATTATTGTTCATCGAGTCTTAATTCTAGACTTAAAATATCTTATGTATCACGCCTATTTAATTAAGGTCGAATCCACATTTTTCTTCGTTTTTTTTGTTTGTTTTGACTTTGCTTTTAAAACAATATGAGATTGTCTACCATCGCAGCCATAGGTACTAGCCAAGCCATGTATGTAGACCATGTAAAGACAAAAATATAAGCCATATTGTGTTGCAGAATTATTGCCGAGATATACATTTTTCAACCATGTGCTGCAGCTAGGCAAATGACTTGGATCGATGACGTTTCATTACTTGCCTAGCCTGTCGACTGTTAAATTAAAGTTTAAAGTTTAAACACTTTATGCCACTATCAAACTCGAAACGAAACTCTGTCAATATGGCGTCGGCAAACCACAACTTTGATGGTGTTTTCCAAATTTTCATGAAAAACAAGTACAATGGAAGAGTATAGTGACAATAATAATGTGAAATTTGGTAACGATTTAGAAATACGTCGCCCGAATTGGATGATACTGATTATATAGGTGTCTCGGGGGACCTTGATGGGAACACCTCTAAGTGAGTTTTCTGCCGGAATATTTTTTTAATACTGTGTAGTATTAAAGAAATATTTAAAATTTTGTGTAATGTATTGAAATTCGTAAACAAACCGTACATTTTCTACTTTTCTATTGGTTATTAGAGATTCTGCATAAAAGAACAATTTTTAATTAATAATTTTAAGAACTTTAATACCATAACATAAAGTTCAAGTGTTGGTGGAGGCCGGAGGGGTTCCGGGAAGGTAAATTTTTATTTTTTGACATAATGTATTTGTTGTCTTATCAACTTTTTTTTTATCTTACTAGCTAGACCGGTGTCCCGAATAGCAGAATAAGTATTAAAAAAAATAAAGAATCGACTGTTAGGCGGTACGATGTTCGCCAGGCCAGCTAGTTAATTATATAAATGCAAACCGCCATTTCGAATGTAGATTTTGTCAGAAATTATAGGTCTACCAGAACTATGGCAAATTTTTTTAAAAATTAGCGATTTGCATTGGCAATAAAAGAAAAAATTCACTGTCAAGTGAAATTTCGAGAATTTTTTGGTTTGGCTTCAAATTTTTTTAAAAAGTGATGAAAATGTCGAAGAAACCTCTTCGACCGCAAGCAAGACATATTTTTTCAATGTTTATCAAAGAATACTTGGTCAAAAGACAGATCATACACAACACGAATGAGCAGTCAAGCGTTGACTGGTTAGTAGGAAGACACGTCTTATACTTTGGTTTAGGTTTTTTATTATTAACTAAACTTAGGTTTATTTCAGGGTTTTATACTAAAATAAACTTGATATTTTGATTTAGAATTGATAGAAACAAGATTGAGTTGTAACTTTTCTTTCTCTCAAAGGATCGATGAATGGTGAAAATATTGTAAATGTAATAAAAATTTAAAATCAATTCATAGAACAGATCGGTTAATTGAAGAGGAGGAAAGGTTTATATAAATACATTTTATGATAGTATTGGAACCATTTTCAAGTTCTTAATTAATTAATAAACTCAGAAATATGTTTTCATCTAAATTTCAAACCCACATTCGCCACATTTTCAAAAATTATCCTTATTGAAATTTTTATATTGCATGTATCAGCCCTATAAGGAAAAAAAGTATCAAAACGTTTTACTCCAATTTCCCCGTATTGTAGTCAATTTCTTTTTCCTTTTGCTCAGATCTTACCTATAAATTCGTTACTTTCAAGTTTACGACGAAGAATGTGCGCTTGCGTTTATTTTATTTTGATTTTTTGGTAACTTGGCTATATTTTACAATCGAGGTAATTGTTTTATAGCACTATTAATTAAAATTTACTACATGTTAACTGTTACATTATTATTTGTGCGTTTTCCAATTACAGAGCATAATGCGACTCAGTGCCGCACAATGCCGCATTATGCTGAAGCTTAATTGTAACGTGAATTAGTTTTCAAATGCATCAGCAAAGTGCGCTAAGTCAGTGTTGAAAAAAAAAATGTTCTGAATAGAGTTAGCAACCTCATTAATGTATAAATAATGTGGTAAACAATAATAATTGGGTGAAAACTATTTACGCTTATTTTAAGTAAAATGGGATTTTGATTATTTCATTAACATTTTTTTACTGAAATAAGAGAAAACCTTTAAAGAATATAAGGTTTTATCAAGCTAAATTAACAGTAAAATATTTAGTTTCATGTAAGAAGTTTACATAATTTACGTTTTGAGTAATTTTTTAAAATGATTTCTAAAAAAATTATATACTTTTTCAAAACCATTGCAATGTTTACAAAAGTATAATCCTGTAAAATAAATTTGTTTACAGATCCGAATTTCAAAATGAAATTGTATTGATATTTTAAATGTGGAATATAAAAAAAGTTACTATTTATACCTTCATCCATACTTATATTTTTTTTTAGCAGTTTGAAATAACTTTAATTATTTTCAAAATCTACGACGAAACGAAAGCCTTACAAATTTTTCAACAATAAATAATATTTACTAACGAAAATTTCGATAAATGCCAACTTAAAGAAAAATACTGGTCAATTTTCTGTCACTGTGTTAGTATTGTTTGCGAGAGCATTCGTTTTGAGAGTGCTCAATTGTGCGAAGCGTTGCTGTAGTTGGAATAATAATAATAATAATAATAATAAAATATTTATTTGTTTTCTCTCACACAAAAATACAGACACAAAATACAATTTCAGCATAACAGGCAAAATCTGTGTGAGAGACTGGCGACTGTATAGGAACCTGTATTAAGATTGCCAGTCCCTCCGCATCGACCGATGGAATTTAAGTAGGTACATCAATTTGATGAGAGACTATTACAAATATTACAAATATACTCACATTTAAGTGGGTGTGTGTGATGGTGCATGTATGGTAGTGTATGTAAGTGTTAAGATGTATGTGTAGTGAATTTATGACTTAGTGTATATATGTCTTAGTGAAGCATATAGAGATGGGTGAGTGTACCTATGTACTCGTATACATAACGTGTAGTTTAGGTATTAGCTGAGGACTACTAACAACTTCTCAGTCCCCTGTAGTTGATTTTTAGCCATTTGACTGTGGTTTTTTACACTCATATTTAGTAAGCGGATATATGTTGATCAACCTGTTTATTTGTTAAAGGTGACAGCCCATAAAACCAAAAACCTTCTTGAGAAAGCTGTGGACCAACGGGTATCTGAGGTGCAGACTTTATATTTGCATCGTTTGTTGTCATTCAAAGAAGGATCATAGGAGTTATGGAGTTTTTGAGCACGTTTAGTATAAAAGTTGACGAACACTCAACACGTCAGATAAAAGATATAGATCTTTGGTAGGGTAAAAAAATGGTTTAGAATAACTTACTTTCAATAACGCACGCTGAGCCCTCTCCAGTTTTATAAGATTAGTTTTACAAGCCCCTCCCCAGACAGTAACACAATAGCTTAAAACGGATTGGCAGAGGGATTGATAAACCATTTTAATTATCGATTTTTCAGCAATATTACGGAGATTTTAAAGGTGAAGATAAGTTTCCGAGTTCGGATAGTAGCAGGTCAATGTGGTAGTTAAACTTTAGCGTGTATCAACACGACACCTAGATACTTAGTATTTTGGCAACAAAGATCTTTTGACAGTACAAGAATCAGTATCAGAACATACATAGAGTTAAACCAAGGTTAGTATGAACCAGGAGTTTTTATATAGAACGGTATAATTTATTTTATTGACATTGTGGGCATTCATTCTGAGCCATTTGTTAACAACGTCGAATCTCTTTGAGCAATGTCGACAGTATCTTTCCAGCTATCACCATGAAACACAAGTGCAGTATCATCTGCAAATGTTATTATTTTACCATTTTGTAACTGGAGGTCACAAAGATCATTGAGTAAGTATGTGGAACACTCAACGTTGAGCATTATGCCGCAAAATGCGCTCTAGTGCTGTAATTGGAAAACGCAAGGGAATACGTAGGCACACAATGTAATCCACAGATAACTAATTAGTAGCGTACAGTATATTAACCTATTCTAGCATAGAGGAAGGAAATGTATGGTGAAGCCGGGTGAAGCCCTTGGGTTTGAGACATAATCACTTTGCGACAGGCGTGGCTCTATAATGCCAATACATTATGTATGGGATTTTGTTTCGAGCCCCTTGTCAACATGTTTTTTTTTATATTCGGCAAATACCTGATAATTAGGTAGTTTTTAATTTAAATTTTAGTTACCTACATTTTCGGAATAGATGCTCTTTTCAAATTTGTGGTGCTCTAAAATAAATTTCCAACTCGAAAGTAATCTTTTATTTATCTATATGACAATGAGAATCCATTATTTTTTTATAGATATGCAGTATTGGTAGGTATACCGACACTCCTCTTAACGGAGCTAGCAAATGTCCATGGTTATTCTTAGTTTCTGTAGGCAGGTGCTTTCAAATCTTGACTACATCTGGACTACACTTCTATGTCACCCTACAGAATGAAAACCCTGATGAAATGAAACTATAAGTCAATGTTTCAACAATTTACGTTGCAATGGGCTTGAGACAAAATCAAAAAATAAGAAATGATTATGGTCACGTTACGAAGCGTGAAGGAATGTTTCTTTTATGTATTTTCGAATGTCGAAATGTCTTTGCATGATTTTTTCTCTTTTATCAACTGATTAGGAACAGAGAGATTTAGTACTGACTTTTAAATGACTGATATTGTGCCATTTATATGGGGGTGCGTGACGTAACAGATACCTACATTGTATTATTATGAAAATGTAATGGTATGAAAAAAAATAAAAAGGCTCAACTGGATGGATTTTCGTGAAATAAAGACCAATATATTTAAAATCATCTATTTTAGGCATTTCTCTATTGTATATTTAATAACAAATGTGACATAAGAAATTTGCTTACAAAAAATAATAATAAGGTCAATAAATAATGGATGATAGTTTGGGTATCCTATATTAGCCAAATTAATAATTCTGTTGTTTCTTTTTCAACCGTAATATTTTATTAATAATAGTATATATTGAAAATTTGCTCAAACAGTCCATTTAAATTCTCCATTTAATTGCAAACACATATTTACAGTAGGTGCAATAAATATTCTCCCCGTTTCGGTAGTATGTTTTGATATGTTTTTATTTTTTTAGTTGTCCATTTAATTAACTAAACATATGTCTCACAAACTCGCTAATTCTTCCTTATTATAACACTTATTACTTATTTTAATACAGCTTCTAAATATGCTGTATTAAATTGGCTAACCAAATATCCCTCAAAAGCCTTGTTCTCCAACAAGATGAAACCCAGTATTCCGACCGAAACCGATTCCACAAATTATTTCGATAATGATGACACTGCCTGTGCGTTTTTTTTTTATTCTCGTTTACCTTACATATAGGTGGGCAGAGGCAATTGAGTCCAAGGGCCTCCCTTTGTAAATAAGGCCAGTAAGTTTGGAGATAGCGAAAGCCTTTGATTGGGTGTGGCACACATACAGAGCATAATGCGACTCAGTGCCGCACAATGCCGCATTATGCTGAAGCTTAATTGGAACGTGAATTAGTTTTCAAATGCATCAGCAAAGTGCGCTAAGTCAGTGTTGAAAAAAAAAATGTTCTGAATAGAGTTAGCAACCTCATTAATGTATAAATAATGTGGTAAACAATAATAATTGGGTGAAAACTATTTACGCTTATTTTAAGTAAAATGGGATTTTGATTATTTCATTAACATTTTTTTACTGAAATAAGAGAAAACCTTTAAAGAATATAAGGTTTTATCAAGCTAAATTAACAGTAAAATATTTAGTTTCATGTAAGAAGTTTACATAATTTACGTTTTGAGTAATTTTTTAAAATGATTTCTAAAAAAAAATTATATACTTTTTCAAAACCATTGCAATGTTTACAAAAGTATAATCCTGTAAAATAAATTTGTTTACAGATCCGAATTTCAAAATGAAATTGTATTGATATTTTAAATGTGGAATATAAAAAAAGTTACTATTTATACCTTCATCCATAGTTATATTTTTTTTTAGCAGTTTGAAATAACTTTAATTATTTTCAAAATCTACGACAAAACGAAAGCCTTACAAATTTTTCAACAATAAATAATATTTACTAACGAAAATTTCGATCAATACCAACTTAAAGAAAAACACTGGTCAATTTTCTGTCACTGTGTTGGTATTGATTGTGAGAAGCACGCGAGAGCATTACTTTTGAGAGTGCTCAATTGTGCGAAGCGTTGCTGTAGTTGGAACATTCAACGTTAAGCATTATGCCGCATAATGCGCTCTAGTGCTGTAATTGGAAAACGCACTTTATCTACATTTTAACTAGATGAGGTTGACTGAATCGATGTTGTCATAAATGCGGATCTAACTAACTAACTTGGCGGTGGAATATCTTTCAGTTAGTTAAACGGCTAGGCTGTTAATTGAACAGCTAATTAAGCTAGTTGGCTGCGACATAGCCACATATTTCATTAAAAGTGTAGTCCGTGTAGAGGCCCCTCTAGACCGACTACTGTATATAAAACTGTATAGCCTATTCTTAATGATTGTCATCTGTGCCTCTGTAGTCTGTAGTGTGACTGTGCCTTTTTTACCGTATCAACACTGTATGCCTTTAGGTAATTGTGTTCTGTGACTGTATGTTAATTGTTACTGTTTTTCCTATGATCGTTTTAAAATGGCAGACGCTGCTGTTGAAACAACAAATAATGATGATAATGATGATTCTTGGTTGTATGGCGAATCTAACACTGACCAAAATGAAGATGCCGAAGGGCAACAGAAAGCTCCTGAAACTGGTAAACAACAAACAACTTCTATAGGTGAAACTGGGGTATGTTTTGATTTTTTTTTATAACCTAAGTTTAAAATGCATCTTTATTTACTGTATTAATATAAAATATGATAATTTATTTGTAGGAGCAAGAAGATAAAGAACCAGAAGAAGAAGGTAATGATGATTCACATTTTAATGATGAACATTTTGGTGAAGTGGAACGTGAGGAAGGTGGCGAGACAAATGGAGATGCCGATAGTCAAGACAATGGAGATTCTGACTCTGATGATAGCGACGATGTCAAAGTTACTATTGGAGAGATTAAGTCTGGCCCTCAGGCGTATGCTAGCTTAAATATTAAGGTATTATTTCTTCTAAAAATTTACATCAAAACATCTTTTTATGTCGGTAAATTTGTCGAATCACGGCTCCACCTTAAGTCAGCTCCAAATTTTTTTCTACATATTTTCATCACTCTGCAATAGTGTACCATCCAATAATTTGGGGGAGCATCCTCTTTAACCTCAAAGAAATTAATTAAAACATCATGATTTGTGAAATGAATGAAGGTAAATTTTTTGGCTATAACCTAATGTAATTCACTGGGAACTGAGAGAATATCTTTGCATCATGCATGTAATATTATCAGTTTTTTATATCTTTTTAAGGGGTCCAAAGCCATGAGCCTCCTTAATATTGGGGTACTACATACTAGTCGGAAATAACAATAAAAAAAAGGTTGGAGCTGTTTTTAAGGTAGAGCTGTGATTCAACAAATTTACTTTAATTTCTTTTAAAGTATTCAGTAACCCTCTACCTCTAAATAACCAATTAGTCAAACAAACAAACATACATTTATATTACGGTACCTACATTTTGTATAGTTGAGGGATCAGAAAAAAGCTTTAAATAATTTCAGCGAGGAGTTGGATTAGTAGCATCAGGTGGTGAGAAAACACGACCAGGCCCCACAGCTGGCGGCAAAGTCAATCTTGAAGATCTCGAGGGTCCTGGTAGCATTAATGGAGTGCCAGCACTTGAGTTTAACATTGACACTATTGAAGATAAACCATGGAACAAACCTGGTGCTGATATCTCAGGTAACTTTTGTCCAAAAAGTTAAACTATTTAATGAATATAAAGTAAAATGTTTTATGAAAGTAACTCAAAATAATAGTAATAACTAAAATAAAATAATGCTTAAATTTTCTCACATACAGTCAAAACCGTTTATATATATTAACCGACATTGAAGGGACCGTATAGTTGCCGACGTTATATCCGATAGTCGTTATAAGCAATGTCATATACACAAGTACAGTACATATGTATGTACATAGTTATATTATCATAGTTATCTATGTAGAATAGGTAGGTATGGGTTATAATATGGTATGTTAATATTATAATATGTAAAAGAGTCAAAAAAGAAAGAAAAAATTTATTAGGAAATAATTAGATACAAAATTAATCAGTCATTTTGGTCTGTTTTTTTTTAGCCCAGTCTCAAATATTTTTTGCTTTTTATCCATTTGACATGAGATTTTTATTTAATAGAAAACACTTTTCTCTTTTTTTGCGACATGATAGCACATTAATGCACAATTGCACAGTCTAAACAACACCAACACTTTTAAATCAAACTGTTACTCACGCAGTCAATTAGCGAACTAAACATGTGTAAAGTATGCAAGGTCAAATGGTTGAAGAGGTTCGGATGAGGCGGGAGAAAGTGCGTAGGTAATAATATGCCTAATATTCATTCAATGCTTATGAATAAGATTTAAAATCGTTTGTATTGTTTTGTTTTGCTGAGACAAGAAGCGGTTGGTCGTTATAGCCGATGAATATCGATAAAATTTCGTCGTTGTAAACGATATGTCGCTGTATCCGATGTTGTTATAAGCGGTTTGTTTACTGAATAGTTTACTAGGGATTCGGACGGGACCATACAATCTGGTTGTAATAACCGATAGGTCGTTGTAAACGATGTCGTTATAAACGGTTTTGACTGTAGATTGTTTTTTAACAGGTGGATTTTAAATATAAACATACAAAAACTGCAGGCTTTCATGACTGAATATGTGGTTTATGTAATAACCCTTTTTGTCAACTACCATGGTTTATATATTTACCTGAGTAATTATGGTTTTTTAAAATAAATTTCATAGTATGGAATTCATTGCAATATGTCAATCATATTCATATAATTAAATAATTTAAAAGATGATTTAAATTTATAAGATGAATTTGCAAAGGACAAAGTAGAATGTGACAACTTACATCAAACTGATATCTTAGCAGTCACTAATGGTTGAAACATCATTAAATATAAATTTGGTATTTTTTACAGATTATTTCAATTATGGTTTTAACGAGGTTACATGGAGTGCTTATTGTGAGCGACAGAGGCGTATGCGGGTCAACGAAGCAGGTGTCGGCTTGCATGTTGGACCCACTGCACCTGAAATGAGAAGACCCACAGGTGTTTAATTATATTGTTCAAATTAGTTAATGGTTTTAATAATAAAATTAATTTAATGAATTTACGGTTTCATCAGATTTAGGTATATGTTAATTGTCTGTAGTTTAACTTGTTCAATTTCTAAACCAATATTCAAAAATTGCATTTAAGAATAACTTGTTCTAATGGCTGGTGGTATGTTAGTTATTTAAAATTTTTCATTTGTGTACTTCTATTTAACTACCAGGTCCTGTAAGACATGATGATGGGCCACCTCCAATGCAGAATAATTATCAATCAAGAGAAAATACAATTCAGGTTTGAAAGATTTATATCTACACTAGCAGACCGGCCAAGCAATGCTGTGGCTAAGGTTTCTCTTATATTACATAGTAGCAAACAATTCAAGGGAAACGGTAGGAGAACACGAGTGTGCAAATTTGATTGATATCGGTTCGGTAGATTAGGAGTCCATAACGGACAAACAACGTGACACGTAATTTATATATATTAAGATATAATATTAACATATACATACATACTATGAGCAAACCTTTTGTCGAGTACATAAAGATATTTTTTAAACGTACATTCGTACAACGTATAACTTTTCAATAAATCACATCAGTTTTTGTCAACTCGATTTTGGCATATTACAATGTCAGTTTAATATGAACAATTGTTCGATATTAATATTTTTAATGCTGCTACATGCTACACTGTCAATTATAATATTAAGAATAATAAGTTTTGATTATTATTTAAATAATATATTAAACGCAGGTGATGACTGCCGAGCGCCGCGAGTACGGTCGAGGCACGGGAGCTCCACCCACGGATTACTTCCAACCGCCGGAACACTTTTACCCACCTCATAACTATCAGGAGCCAGTCTGGGGTATGTATATATATATATATATATTCAAAAACTATATGCTAATCATTCATAAGCTGTATGTCATGTACCTGTAAAGAATTAGCCGTATAAAGATACTGACTGAGCCGACAGACTAAATTATCTTTTAGGAATTCACGGTTTACTCTAGGAGATCTTTAAATCTTTTTATGTATAATGGAGCACAAGACGATATTTACTAATAATTATTTGTGCGGTTATGTTTCTTGTTTTTAGTTTATGTAACCAAGACCTGTATCTTTTATATGCAGAGTTTTAATGCTGCAAAGTGTTCCATCATGAGTTTTACCCGCTCTAACGTGCCTATACTATATATATATTATTTGTTAGTGCCTATAGTAGTTAGTTAATTTTTTGTATTTTTTTAATGTAATTTTGTTTTTCCTAATTAAATAATATTCGTTGTTTTTCCTAATTTACATAGTAATTTTTTTTCATGGGTTATGCATTCTTGTCTTTAGGGTCAACGACTAGTTTGTGTTTTTTTTTTAATTTAATTATTTTTAATTAGTAAAATGTTTTATTAATTATTTTCATGTAAGTAAGCTACATACTTATATGAAAATAATTAAAACATGTAACAAAAATTTTCAGGGGCACCCGAACAGACCGGATGGGCGCCTACTGAAATAAAGGAGCTGACTCCCGGTCCCATGGCTCCTCCGGCAATGGTGCCTCCGATAGGAGTTGCGCCCACCATGGCTCCGCCCCATATGGGCGCTCCGCCGCACCCGATGGGAGCTACATTTTCCCCATATAGGCCGCATCCTCCGCCCATGCACGTTCATGACCGCGAACGTGATCGTGATAGAGATCGTGATCGCGACCGTGACCGCGATCGCATTCGGGAACGTGAAGAAAGAGACCGTCGCGAGAGGGATAGAAGAGAAGAGGTATATTTTGCAATTACTGTACTGTTATTTATCTTGAGTATTATTGTAGTGCTAATTTTTTTTTTGTTATGATTTTTTTTTTATAAATGAAATGAAGTACCAATTAAAAATGATGTTAGGTCGCATAAACGTCGGATATCTATTCTCACAGACACTTTATTATTTTACTTGTACTATTATGTAGGTGTTCAATAAATAGTAATAATGCGGTTCATTCTTGGAAAGAAAAAATATAGTGGCATAATCTAGAGACTATTCCAGTCTATTATTATGTATAATATAGACATTAATTATTAACTAAACAAAGCAATGAATTCTCTTTTATTTAAAAAAATAGAAGTCATTTGTTTGCGTACTGTTGGAACGTGTTCTTTATTTTTAAACGGTTTTATTTAGCTCACCCCGTTTGTTTTATTCTTGGGTCAAATTTAGTAATTCAAATTTCACCCTCTTCCTGTCAACCGATTAATCTGAAATTTTGTATACACTTTGGATTTTGGTGACAATACAATAAACTAAATAAATAAAATAAAAAAAAATAAAAAAAAATTATATAATATATAAATATATATATATATATATATATATAACATTATATTAAAAACTGTATCTATTTTATTAATTAAATATATATTATATTTATATTATAGAATTGATTTATTTATATAAACTAACTGGCAAGGGACCTTGCAATAATGAAGCACTAAATGAATTAAACAGAATGCGAAATAAAAACTAAAAACTAGAAAATAAAAATAGGTAAAAAAACTTTTTAAGTTAAACGGTTTTATGTTAAACATACATTGCAATGTTTAAGATAAATGTACTAAAAACCAAAAAATAATAAAATAGATACAGTCGTGGGAATTATAAACATATGCATAGACTAGACTAAAATAAAACCGTAGGGCACGTCAATTGTCTACAATCGTTGATTAAAATGTTTGTTTTGTAATGTTACACTATAATTAGGCAGTTGTTCAACCGACAACGATGGACGTGTGATAAGTAGGGCTAGAATGTGGAAACAAGCTAGCAAGCTCGATTATAAGCGAGTTTTAGGGTTTCATAGTGGTGAGCGAGTAGTACTTTTATCATATGTTTTGTCGATTAAAGACAAACTACGAGCAGTGAAACGATTCCTCGCCAGCCAGCAGTGTGAATGTCCAACGATAAACTAGTTGAAACATCTCTTTTATTTACATGGAGTGTATAACTATTGGAATTTCCATGAGCAAGAAAATAGTAAGTAATTTCAGGACGTCTGCGGGCCAACTGCCTATTTTAACGACGAATTAAACGATTCTTCTATCGCACATTAAGTCGATAATTTATGAAGGTGCAGAAAAAAGAGAATCTACCCCAGGGGGGTACCACACGCGCTCGCGGTGGAGAATCCCCCTCTGGGCGTCCAACACCGGGACATTCAGCACCCGGTGGTGGACGCACAGGCTGCCCTTCGTATTCTGGGGGGGGCAATTCTGCGCTCAACATCAAAAACAGTTATCGTTCTCGGGGCAAACGGAGCAACTCAACAAAGGCACCCCCGTCCACGCTCGCTGTGGACTTCACAAATGTTAGGGGGCTCAATTCTAATATCAACGCAGTCCACTACCATTTAGAGACTGCGAAGCCGGCCTTGCTCTTTCTTACCGAGACTCAGATTTCCTCCCCGGCTGATACTTCCTACCTCTCCTACCCGGGGTACAAATTGGAACATTCATTTGTGCCGCGGGCGGGAGTTTGCGTGTACGTCAGAGAGGATATCTGTTCTCGTCGCCTCGGGACGCTTGAAGGAAGGGACCTATCTAACCTCTGGCTGCGCGTAGACTGCGATGACCATCCGCGATTCTATGCATGCCTGTATAGGTCCCATAGCGGAAATACCGAAACTGACCGACTCATTGAGCACATCCAAATGGCTACAGATTCCCTGCTCGAAAGGGTTCCTACCGCTGAAATCGTGATACTTGGCGATTTTAACGCCCACCATGCCGATTGGCTCGGCTCAGAAACCACCGATCATGCGGGAAGATCCTTTCACGACTTTGCTTTGGCTTATGACTTGACGCAAATGGTCCCTGCGATTACGCGAATACCAGATGTGGATGGTCATAAACCCTCTTTGTTGGACCTTCTGCTGACTTCACATCCGGAGAACTACCAAGTCTCTGTTGAACCGCCATTGGGTTCATCAGATCATTGTGTGGTCCGGAGCATTGTGCCGTTCACGCGCCTTCTTCGGCCTAGCTTCACGGGCTGTCGCCGCGTGTGGCACTATAAGTCAGCAGATTGGGATGGGATGCGGTCTTTTTTGCGTCCTACCCTTGGGGGGCCCATTTGCTTTTCGTCGAGTACTCCAGATGCCGTCGCTGACTCTGTCGCCGAGGTGGTCCTGCAGGGTATGGAACTCTTTATTCCATTCTCTGCGGTGCCGGTCGGTGGCAAGTCCCAGCCTTGGTTTAGGCGTTCCTGCAAAGCGGCTTTGCGCCGTAAGCGTGAATGCTTTACAGCCTGGGCAGAAGCGGTGACATCCTGTGATGTGACTATCGGCGAACGTAAAAAAGCATACAATTCAGCCTCCAGGTCCTTCAAGCGAGAAATCGCTAAAGCAAAGTCAGAGCACATTGCCAGATTTGGTGAGAAATTGGCCCACCTCCCTTCGGGAACTCGAGCCTTCTGGTCTCTTGCCAAAGCTGTCCAAGGGAATTTCTGTCAGCCCTCAATTCCACCACTGCATAGGGAGGATGACTCACTTGCCCATACCGCGAAAGAGAAGGCCGATCTTCTAGGCTGTCTCTTTGCGTCGAACTCCACTTTGGATGATCAAGGGAAGGAACCACCGACATTATTGCGGTGTGATACTACGATGCCCGAAGTTATATTCCGGCAACGTGCTATCCGTAAAGCTTTGTCTTCCTTGGACATCCATAAGTCGAGCGGGCCTGATGGCATCCCTCCAATTGTGCTGCGTACTTGTGCTCCTGAGCTGGCTCCGGTCCTAACGCGCCTTTTCCGGTACCTTTACACGCTCGGCACTGTTCCGAAGTGCTGGAAGATCGCTTCGATACATCCGATCCCTAAAAAAGGCGATCGCTCTGATCCGTCCAACTATCGCCCAATAGCTATAACCTCCTTGTTCTCCAAAATAATGGAAACCATTATTAACAGCCAGCTCTTGAGGTATCTAGAGGGCCACCAGCTGATTAGCGATTCTCAGTACGGCTTCCGTCGTGGTCGCTCGGCTGGTGACCTCCTTGTATACCTTACACATAGGTGGGCAGAGGCAATTGAGTCCAAGGGGGAGGCGCTGGCGGTAAGTTTGGACATAGCGAAAGCCTTCGATCGGGTGTGGCACAGAGCACTGCTCTCGAAGCTTCCAGCCTATGGGCTCCCTGAGAAATTATGCAACTGGATTTCCAGCTTTCTCGCTGATCGGAGCATCAAAGTCGTCATCGACGGAGCATGCTCCGACCTGAAACCTGTGAATGCTGGTGTCCCACAAGGCTGTGTCCTATCCCCGACCCTGTTTATTCTGCATATCAATGATATGTTGCAGCTTAGCAACATTCATTGCTATGCGGACGACAGCACTGGGGATACTTTTTACACTGGCCGGGCAGGTATTTCTCGGGCTGTTGTCGATGAGTACCGGAACAAACTTGTGTCTGAAGTCGAAACTCTTCTACGTGGAGTCTCGGACTGGGGTAGACTAAATCTAGTCCAATTTAACCCCAAGAAGACACAAGTATGCGCGTTTTCCGCTAAAAAAACTCCCTTTGTCGCTACTCCCCTCTTTGAAGACACTCTCCTTAAAGCCTCAGCTAGCATCGGAATACTGGGCGTTGACATATCGAATAACGTTCAGTTTCGCGGTCATCTGGAAGGAAAGGCTAAATTAGCCTCCAAAAAGCTTGGTGTGCTCAGCAAGGCGAGACGGTACTTCACTCCGGGCCACCGCTTGCAACTATATAAAGCGCAAATTCGGCCCCATATGGAGTACTGCTCTCACCTCTGGGCGGGAGCTCCCCAGTACCAGCTCCTTCCACTTGACCGTATTCAACGAAGAGCGGTTCGAATCGTCGACGACCAGTCACTTTCCGTGCGGCTTGATCCCTTGGCGTTGCGTAGAGATGTGGGATCTCTCTGCATCTTCTACCGCATTTACCATGGAGTGTGTTCAGAGGAGTTGTTCGGTCTAATACCTGCAGCTGAGTTTCATCATCGGACGTCAAGGCAAAATACAAAATACCATCCGTATCACCTCGACGTCCGTCGTTCCACAACAGAGCGTTTTCTAAGGCAGTTTTTGCCGCGCACCACCACTATGTGGAACCAGCTGCCCACAGAAGTATTTCCGAACCAATTCGACTTAGGGTCCTTCAAGAAAAGAGCGTACCAATTCCTGAAAGGCCGGCAACGCACTTGCGAGCCTTCTGGCATTGTGAGTGTCCATGGGCGGCGGTATCACTTAACATCAGGTGAGCCTCCTGCCCGTTTGCCTCCTATTACATAAAAAAAAAAAAAAAAAAATAATTGTAGACAATTGACGTGCCCCACGGTTTTATTTTAGTCTAGTCTATGCATATGTTTATAATTCCCACGACTGTATCTATTTTATTATTTTTTGGTTTTTAGTACATTTATCTTAAACATTGCAATGTATGTTTAACATAAAACCGTTTAACTTAAAAAGTTTTTTTACCTATTTATTATTAAAAGTTATTAGTCAACGAAAATTTAAAAGTTATTGGTCAACGGGCGGCCTTATTGCTAACAAGCGATTTCTTCCAACCCTAAAAAATTAATAACTACTGAGAGTAAAGTAAAATAAAAGAAGTGCATAATTAATAAAATTACATGAAATACTAGAATTACACAATACTAAAATAAAAAAAAATAAAAAATATGATTTCTATAAAACAAAAACTGCCCCTTCATCGTCGCTATATAGAGTTTTGATTGTAATTATTATTTATTTATTTTCAGGACGAAAGAGAACATCGGGAAAGATCGCGATCAATCAAACCGGATAGGTCTCGTGAAAAGTAAGACATCTCTCTTCCTAGTCATCATTCTCTTTAATTAATGGAGTACAAATAAATAAAATACTATGTATTAAACTTGTTTAACGAATTTAATTGCAATAGATTCTTTTTTTTTGTTTGACTTCATTACTGTAATTTTTATTATAGTATTATTATTCTTAATCTATTTCATTCTCTTCAGTCCCTTATACAAGTATGTATTTATACTTTTTATCGAACATAAATGCAATAATAACAAAATGTTTTACTTACACAATTGCAGATCCTACAGACGTGAAAGGTCCCGATCGAGATCCCGCCGCCACAAATCTAGGTCACGGTCACCGCGACCACGTGAGCGCTCTCGTGATCGTGACCGATCACGCGATCGTGAACGTAGTAGTAAACCTAAGTCTAAGGAATCTAAGGAAAAGGAGGACGATAAATAGGCCATGCCTGTGGTGGTTGTAATAAAGATTTAAGCTTCTACAATTATAATAGATTGTAATAAGAGTTCAAAGTCGTTTTATTTATATGAAAAGGTATTTCCGCAACTCTAATAGAATTTATTTAATTACAGTACATAACGTATGTAAAAATGATACTCAGTAAATTACATTTTGAGAATTTCTTTCAAAGCATTTTTGTTCTTATGAATTGAACATTATCACCTTACAAAGTTATTTATTATTATAGGCATGTTCCAACTCGATTGGGTTTCATTTTTTTCAACCGAGTATAAATAATTTATACATTTTTAAATGATATCTGGCGCATCTTATTTTCAGGCAATATAAATTATATTTTAGATTTTAACACGCCATGGCGAGGATTAATTTTGGTGGCGGTTTTTTGTATAGATATGTCAAATAAAACTCTTTGTTTGAAGCTGTGTAACAACTGACGTTAATGGTTAAAAATATGAGCTAATAACTAACGTAAAATAAGGGGTAGTTGGGTTGTGACGCTAACTAAAATTAACTTGGGTTATCTAAGGGTTCATAAATCTAAATGACACTTATGTTATTGGACATTATCCGAAACGAGAATGTTAAAATACAAAATATGAGTGTGTTAAAAACTGAAGGGCTCAATATTGGCTTCAAGTGTGCGATGATTGTTTATATTATTTGTTTACGCTTCTTATTATTAACTAATATATTTATATGTAACTTAACTAAAGTTAGGTTATATAACTCGAGTAAAACACTTTTTAATACCTCGAATAAAATAAAAATAAAATATGTTTATTACGGAATATAAGATACAGGTATAACTTATTCCACGTTATTAAATTTGTATCGTTAGATATTTGTATCCCTACTCATGGGCAAAGAAGACAGAGGGCGTAGGCCGAGAGAATAAGCCTGCGTAAAAAACTCTCGGTACTCTTTTAAAATATCAAATCATTATACAAAATAGATACGGTCAGCTCTTTAATTGTATTAAATTACAAAACTGAACGAGAACCTCACAGTCCAGTTTCCGGAAGCGGCACCTGTTTACAGGCATGACGTGTGAGCCAGCCATCGTTTTACTCAACCATATTTGAGGGAATTAAACGACCCGTTACACACCGCCACCGCCCCAGTCACATTTAAGTAAGCAGTACTTCTCCGGCTTCCCAGTTAATAAAACTAAACCTAGTGCGCATGTCACGCATCTAATTTCCTCCAGGCTCAACAAGCTGGCACAAGAAAAACAGCATTACAAGACAGCAAGTACAAAAGTATAAAAAAATCGCATATTGATTAGAAATAGCCTGCCTAGCACTAGTCCCAGGTCCTTTTATCAACCTGATAATCGTTAACTTTATAGTAAGCCTTTTAACAGATATTTTCTTTAATTCATTTCTTAAATTTAATAAAAGGCAGAGATAAAAAGGCCTCTAGGATTTTATTGAATAATGACTAACTTTAGATAGTCTAGTACGGGGAAATTGCAGCCTGTTCTAATTCTAGTAAACTTATCACTATTTTTGTATACATATATTGCGAGGTAAGTATATTAAAATCCTTGAATTTATCTCTTAGAGATTACCAACATTTTAAATTACAGATTGCGCGAATAGCCCTCTTCTGCAGGATGAATATAGTTTCGACATCAGCAGCAGCAATTCGTGCTAGGATAGGGCCTTAATGCGGATTTTATGTACGGAATATTACACCGTCAAGATGTCTTCTGTCGTCAAGTTTTCACTTCAAAAAGTTTTTATAAGTAATGATATGTAAATAAAATTGATAAATTTCATCAAATTTTATTATAATTGAATTAAATTAATCTCTTATTGAATTTTTTGCACATCTACGTTTTTTTTCTTCAGAATATGATGAAATACACATTAATTTAATGCTTCCTATCTCATTTTCTCCCGCGTTAAATGGTTTGAATTTATGTGTCAGTTTTTTTTAAGCCTCGTTACTCGTATTCATGGTAAACATTAAACGTTCGTCGCCAACTTTTTTTTTTGGAGTTTATGGCCTGGTATTATTATATTTATACCTTTAGGCCAACCGTTGTCAACTATGCAACACGCAGTGTTGCCACTTGCCAGCAACTCCGCAAGATGTTGATTCAACATTGTTGTTAAACAAATGTTTACCATGATTACAAGACTTTACAGTCGCTTTTTCGTTTTATCGACTTTCAAATCACAACGATGCTAAAGAAGATTTCACTTCAAAAATTATAAATAATGTCAATATACCGCTAGCTTGTCACTATAACGGTGGCACCTCGGCCAACGATGATTTTCTTCGCCGATATTGCGCACCACACAGTAACTTTAGGGCTGTGTATTAATTTCTGATGTTTTTGTTTTGGATTGCTAGATGACCAGTAACGGCAATTTTAACCAATGACGTACTACATTGTCTATCCCATTTTCATCTGAAAAAATCTCTAACATTCTGACAGTAAATTTTTCGATGGTTGTAGTATTCTGGTTTGATTTTTTGGACTATTTGGATCTTATAAGGATGTAATCTCAAGGCTCAAAGAGGCAGCATGTTTTCTAATTGTCGTGTATGCTCCGCGACCGCAGCGGCGACGCGGTTACAATCAACCGCACAGGTCCATTTCGCAGGGGAATTGATGATTCCGTAAACATTAGGCTTAATTAACTTCAGTACTTAAGCACGCCTCTACTGTGTACGCGCGGTTGGCGCTAGACTACGATTAAAAATTCGCACTCGTCACCTACCGAACGCTGATAAATAAAAAAAATAATAAACAAAAATTCGCTCTCGAAATTTTTTCATCACTTAATCACTTGGCTAGCTTATCGACTTTGATTAGTATACGGGGTATAAATACCGTTCCAGATTTTTTTCTTATAAAGCAGAAAGCTGGTCTCTGGGAAATGTGGGTATGTTTGAATAAAACAACAAGTCATTTGTAATATTATTACAGAAATGCTTTATTAATTAATGTCTAAATAGATGGATCCTCATATAAATGTTATCTAGTACAACCTAGAGGGCGGCGCGGCGCGTGTCGATCGAACACCGAGCACGCGCCCGCGCCGCCCCTTTCCATCACATTACAGGTTTTACAAATCATTTTATTTAATTTTTGTACAGCCATATACAATAATTTTATTTTCAATTACATCTAAACGTAGAAAATCTGAGGTGTCATAGGAAACTACGCTTCCTATAAAAATAATTACAAAGGGGGAATGAGGCTACGCTACGCTCGTGACGTGCGATCGGCAAGGCAGACCTCGGACTACAACTATCAGTACAGGACTTTACAATCATCACTATAACCTACGGCACGCTTCACTACACGGAAACATAAGCACTAAATAACTTAACTTTTAACTTACATAAAAATATACAAAAATATCATTTTCACAAATCATAATCGACAAATTATACACACCGGCGCTAAATATTCGATAAGCTATGTACGATTGAAGCCGGTTTAACGAACGTAAACGAGAGCTCGACTCGAACATTAACAAACGATAAACTAAATCACGACTATAGTGCCGATTGTCCAGAACTGCCTGCGGCATCCGTTCCTCGTTTCAGATTCAAGGTCCCCTAGCCCAGCTAACAGTAAATCTACGACGAGCTAAAATTACGGAAACGCACGGGTGCTTTCCTTCGATTCATAAATTACACGAGAATGAGAGACGTTCAAATATTTATACATAGATTCATACGAACAAGGAATAATACTAGAACACTTAAGAGTCTACGAGAACGCGGCGCGGAGATGCGACGCGGGGCCGCTATGGTACACAGTAATCGTATCTGTATTCTGTACATCAGTCTGCCGCAGTATGTACAGCGCCGGGGCCGCGGCCCTAATTACTTACAAATGTACAATCGCAATATTCACAAATTTATAAAGGCGGAGAGCCGCGCCTCGCCCGACCGACGTCGCATCGCTCCCAATGTACAAGTCGTGTTATCATTCGGCCGACTACAAGCCGGGGTTGGGCTGCGGCGGGCCGATGGGCCCCAGCTCTGGCGCCTTCAGGAAGAACTTCTCGAGTTTGGCGATGATGTGCTTGCCGTACGTGTACTTGCGCAGCGAGCCGATGTGCGGCCGGATCTTGTGCATGAGCACTTTGCGCTGCGTGGGCTCGGCCACGTCGATCATCTTCTGCACCACGTAGTTGGCGTACTGGTCCTTCATCATCATGTGCAGGGCGTTGTCGTTGAAGCCGCACAACTCGTCGATGAGCAGCGCGCGCTCGTTGCGCGTGGCGTGCGAGACGCACTTTTCGACCACGTTGGAAGCGAACTTGTGCTGCGAGAGCTGCAACACCTTGCCCCTGACGGCGGCCACGAGGCGCGCGCGATCGTCGGTCGCGCCGTGCTCGAGCACGTGTTGCACGACGTAGTTGCCGTACTGGTCTTGGATGAGCTGGTCCGTGTGCGCGTGCAGCTCGGCCAGCACTGGCGCCGTCTGTTCGGCCGTGCAGTGCTCCAGGATGCGCTGAATAACACGACAGCCGTAGGGGTGCGTCGACAGAGCGTACACTTGACCCGCGAATGCGTTTATTATGAACTGCAGCGCGACGGGTTCCACGCACTCTATACACTTTTGCACCTGAAAAGAAGATTTTAGATGTTAAACAGCAACATTCTCTGGGTGAACTTATCAATCCTGTTGATATAGTTTAATAAGCCAACAAGCAGTAAATAATATACAATCCTACTCACCACATGATTCCCATTCTGATCCTTGACACACTTGAGTACGTGTCCGTCTAATTCGCGTACTACCTCCTGCTGCTGTTCGGGCGGGATGGACTCGAGCGCCTTTTGGATGACGCGGCACCCGTACATCTGCAGTGCCAGTGCCAACACGTGACCGCGCACCTGAAAACCCCACGTTGTTTAATAATTTGCAGTTCTACAATGGCTAACAAATATTAATACACATGCGAGCGAGAGTGTCTAAAGAAGCATATTATAAACTCGAAATCAATGTTTTAAATTTAATAAAGTCACCACCACATATTGAGAGCTTAGATTTTAGTAACAAAAATCGCCAAGAATTTCTTACTTTTTGCGCTAGTGTCGTTTTCTGCTCAGGCGTTCCAAACTCAAAGAACTTCTGTATCACATAGTTTCCGAAAACATCGGTCATTAAACTGTATGCTGCTCCAATAATTTCATTGAATACCATTTGTTTCTCTTGTACAGTGGCCCTTTCTAACTTTTGCTGGATAAATCTGCAATAGATTAGAAAAATATTAAAACTATATATTCATTTAGATATATTCTATACATATGACACTCAGAATAATGTTTTAATGACATTATTTCTCCAATGTTGCATTATGTATTCATAGTTGTAAAGCATTAACGGATTTTTATACAACATAAATAAAAATACGTTTTTATGACAAATAAAAGTGCTTATTATTATTATTCAATAACAGATAAAATTAATTTTGTACTAAGCAAACCAATTTCAATTTATTTTAATATAAATATATACATATCTTTGGGGAGTAATCACAGTTAATATCGTGAATTATATCATGAAAAGGGTTATAATAAATATGTCATGTACCATGAGTTTGGTGCATCAATATATTATATTTAGTTAATGTTTGTATTATAATTTGAATTTTGCCATTGTCTTATGCAGTTTTTAATTTTGATTAACTCTAATTAATACAACGCCAATTGAATGACAATAAATTTATGCGTCTGTTTAAAAAATGCTAGGTAAATGACATACCTGGATCCGTGCTGATCCTGCGAGAACTCCACGATGTGGTTGGCCAACTCCCGCAGCTGTAAGTTGGGAATGCGGTTGTTGCGGAAGTCTTCAAGCAGACGAGACCTTCCGGCTGCCGGCTTCTCACCCACCAGAGCCCCCACTGATCCTACACCCACTCCTACCCCCACGCCTACTCCGCCTCCCACTAGCTCTGCCATTTAAAAAACAAAGATTTTAAAATCAAATACACGTCTAAACAATATTGCACTTAGGCAAAATATATATCCTTTAAAACTTCAGCTAAAAGTAGAATTATGGGAATACGGAGATACTTAATTCTCCTTTTAATAATCATATTTAAGATTGGGTATACTATTTTTCCTTTCTTTTTTTATAATCTTTTTGTACGCTTATCTTAATTTTTCGCTTGTCGTATTTATATAACCATGAGCGACGACACTCTATGTTTGTGTATATTTTAATTTTAATGTCTTAGCGTTGTATTTAAAAATCTGTTGGTTTTGGAACTAAATGTGGACAAACCCATTATTTTAAGCAAAAAAATATTTATTTACTAATCTAATAAGAATTTTACCTGTCACCGAAAAAACGATCAAACAGGTCTTTAGTATTAACGTCATGCATCTTTTACATAACTATTATCATAAAAAAATTACCGATCGGACCAGTTAACTTAGGCCAAATTGGTATCAATTCTTGCCTAATTACATTAAAAAATAAAATAAATGAAGACTAAACAATCTGGAAACCGCTGTCGTCTAATAAAAATTGATTTTTTTTCAAGGAGTTTGTTAAAAGACAAATGGTTCATATAACACTAATTACCGAGATTTTTGTTCCTAGATTAGTTGAAAAGTTTCAGTATTATTTTTAAACCGTATCATTATCTAATCGATATAAAAACAAATGCGTTATTATCAAACGGTTACGCATAACGATGCACCAATTGCTACGTGGCGCATAAAATAATTATGAGTAATTGGAATATCGTTTACGTAAGTCTCAAATGTGATGCAAGAATACCGCAATAAGATCGATTAGAATTGCACTGGTTTAGTGGAAAAAGTATGGTTCACACGAGAAAATGTGATATTATCATGTAACGGCGTGAACTGTCGATATAATGTTTGAAATGGTGTTGGTATATCAATATGGTACCAACCTGAGATAGTTCCGACGCCACTCAGTTTACTCAATAGCGAAGATGATGAGCCAAACATGCCACCATTTGACGTTAAACCTTGTGCTAAACTGCTGACGGCTCTGAAATCAAAATAAGGAATTTAGCATACTATAGCACGTGACAAAATTGAAGCACGTACGTATTAATTGCAATGGTCAATGTGGACATGCTATGATCAATATTATACATGGCTACAAAACTGCGACAAAATATACAAAGCTATGTACAATGTTTTATGTCTTTTATAATTGTGTGTATCTGTAAATGGTAGAGGGAACTAGGAACAATATTACATTTACACATTATTCTTACATAAAAAAAAATTTAATAATGTTTTCTACAGCTACTCAAGTTAGTGACTTTACTTTTTCTTCTCTTTTAAATTTTAAATTTCACCTACATCGCACAATATCATAAATAGAAACGCGAATCAAATTTTTAATTACTTGTTAAAATTTCTCTTTTATTTCCTCAACTTTGAATCACTTTCCGTCACGCAATGTTCTTTTGAAGCATATTTCCTTACTTTCCAAAATTTACTATTAATTATCATTGTGTAAGTGGAGTAGAATATTCATTAATTTTCACACATACATATTTAGAGTCGTGCATAGAAAAAAGCACCATAATGTATTTCGATAGGTTTTTCATGAATATCTATCTGTGCGTGTTTAGTGCATGTGTGTTGGCACCTGTATTTGGCGTTTTCAGCGCCGGGCGCAGCAGAGACGGTCCTAAGGCCTACCGGACCTAAGGCGGCCCCGAGCGGCGGCGACAGAGGAGAGGGTCCCCACTTCCGGGCGTACTCCTGGAGTGCACCCGCCGGGCCACCGCCAAATTCCAGCGAGTCCCGCCGCGCACCCACAGCGCCGCCTGCAACACCACACCGCCACGCTCCACTAACGTCGCCAGGCCCTTACCGAGCCTACCTCACTCACTAGCTAGCAATGTAGGTTCTTATCTACGACTGACTAATTGATCGATGCAGAGGAATATGAATGTATACGCGGGTCTACTAAACAGTATAAATGGACTATGTAAATACAAGAAAATCAAGCTATAAAGATGAAGACGGAGGGCTATAAGTAGTACTAATAGTGCCTAACATGCTTATGGCAAGTATTAAAAAGTACTTAATATTATTATGAGATGAAAACATTAATATGACAGAATAGTAAACATACATCGCTCGCATAATGATAACGATAGTTTTATATACAATTTATTTATATGTACATTATGACAATAAATAACTATGTATCGAATGTTATATATTATACAACATAGAACTTAAAACAATGTGAATGTAGTATAAATAAGGCAGGAATTCCTTATTTTAAACAACTCATTGCTTAAATTTCTGCGGAAATCATTGAGGATCTAAAAACACTACTTTATTTGAGCGATACAGGCAATCGATATACCTACTATATACAGAAAAATATTTCTTAAATTCATGTACAAAACATATCGTCAATTAGTGATTATAATCAAATGTATGAATTGTGTGATTATATATACAAATAAAAACATAGTAAGTAGATACATTTAAGTTTAAAAAAAGCTACTAATTTAAGCTAATAATCAAGACGTAAAATAAGGAAATGTTAACTGCAGGTCTATTCACGTCGTAATATTTGAATATATACAACCTTATTAAAGATCTTATGAGAAATACAGTATTTTAATAGGACTACATTACGATTACAACTATGTCTACTTTGAGTCATAATGTGTAGAAGACGGTGAAATATATAATTTTAGTATATTTGTCTAATTGTTACTGTACAACTATAATATAGTCTTACCGGGTTGGGGCTGCTGCTGCTGCTGTTGCGGTTGCGGCGGTGCCGGAGTAGCGGGCGCGTGTGCTGGGGCCGGCGGGTACTGGCGCGGCGCAAGCACTCCACCAGGCGACACCAGCCTAAGCGGCGTGCCGTTACGGCCGCCCATGACCAAAGAACTCGGGTCATAGTAGGGGATCACGTACTGGCCCTGCCCGTTCACCTGTTGTTCACCCGCCTGCGGTGTTAGCGGCCGACGGGGCTGCTGCGCTTGCTGCTGTGCTACCAACCCGGGGTACACCCCCCCACGGTGCCGCTACCCCGTAGTACGGCGGCACGCCTGCGATTAATGCGCTCACGTACGGCGCGCCCTCTTGGCCCGCATTTATAACATACGGCGCTTGTGTGAACGCTTGCTGCGCGGCCAGTTGTTGTTGTAATTGGAACTGTTGTTGTTGCTGTTGCTGCAGGAGCTGAAGTTGAGCCGCCGCCGCCTGACCACCCGCAGCCGCCGCCTGTTGTGTCCGGAACAATTGCTGTAACCATACATACATTTTACTTTTACTAGCCGACAACTACTGTTAAGCGAAAATGCAGCCTAGATTTAACGATCTAGCTTGAGGAATATTTTAATACAAACATTAAGCTACGTTGCAAACTTAATTAATTCCATAAAGAAACGTATAATTTTTTTATTCAATAGTGCTAGTGCCCCGCTCGAGGGCTGACCGCCGTGAAGCGCGCTAATTAACACAATCGTTTAAAAACTTAATAACAAGGCACGTTGCTGTCCGACGCATGTGCCTCGACCGGCTTACGGCATTATCTTCTCTGAAGCTTTCGCAAATAAAAACCAGTGAAAAAGAATATTATATTGTAATAGAAAACTGTGTTAACGTTAACGGTACAACACAAGCGGCGCGGATAAAATTAAACAATTCCGTTACATTAATTTATTTTGATATGATACGGAATATGTTGCGATAACATCTTGGTGATATTAGGGCCTTACATGTGAAATTGGAGTTTTGTATGGGATGTAGATTTTTTAATAAATCAAAATATGTACCATTGCTATCTATGCACTTTTGCCAGCTAATAGGTAGTTTGAATTTATAACAAAAATCGAGGGAATAAAAAATATTTGAAGGGTTTGCTCCCATGAGTTGATTTTTTCAAATTAAAAAAAAATACAATTGGAGCAAGGTCGGGGTGTGAGTTTGTAGCAGTCTGTTGTGCAGTGTGTGTGGAACTCGTACTCGTGAATAACGCAATATTTTATGTTTTCAATTTAATAAATAGAGTGACGCAAATAAAAAAAAAAAATTAAACGGGAAATGAAATGAATCATGGTTTTCGAAAAACAAATGCTCGAGTAAATAGCTGTAAACAATTAAATTTGGGGATTCCTAACCAAAGAGGATAGATATTTGAGGTCAAAATGGCCAGTAGGTACGACAAAACGTCAATTTCATCTGTAAAAACCTAATATTTCGAGTTTTCAAATCTGTCGCGATGATATTAAGTAAATATATGTATGTGTATGCATCTTCTGATCCAATATATGAAGTCATAAGGCAACAATAAAAATGACATGAGTTAATGGCATATTTCCAATCAGATGAATCACAACGAATTGAGGTGTTGAATGCGAGTGTGATGTCATCTAAAAGGGGCCGTTCGGTTTACCTGTTGGAAAGAGATTATTTGGCTTCCTTCCAGAAGCATGTGCGGTCTAGTAAACGCGATGATACACAGGTCGTACATACATCGTTCGTGCCACTGTTTCTGTAGCCATCAGGTGCAGTAGTGAACGCCCCCGCACACATTATTTATTTAAATAGATAATAAGTTATAGTCTATCCGCTTGTGTGTTTATTATTGGTAATAGAGTGATCTGCAAAGTATCACGTGTGTTTTAATATTTTTCAAAAATAAAATTTGGCCTACTAATTCGAAACTCTACTATTTATAATAAAACAGCAACGCAGAAAAAGTTATTCTCGTGGTACTTTTTAACCGAAAAAAATCCATGGTGAATATATGATATGTACTATATTTAAAAACATCTAGGTCATCATCCAAACCAAACCTTAATTATCCAAGAGAATGAATTATTTATTATTGGCGATGGACATATCAAGAGTGCGACAAAACAAATTCTGTTCTTAGATATCAATCATCAAAATAAAGCGATCTAGCAAATTTATACTTGTCAGTAAGATAGGAGTTGACCAAATTCCCTTACAGATGCCAGACACCACCGTCGTAATTTTAATTACAGAGCTTCTCCACATTTCGCCTGCCTATTTAATTTTTCATTAGCTAATTGACACGAAATGATTATCTAGCGTCGTAACTTTGCGACGGGTAAATCCAAAGTCTCGTTCGGTCGGGGTGTCGCCTTTGATCTCTAGCTAAGGCCCGGATTCCATGGCAATTTAATTCATCTGGTTGTTCTAATTGTGAGGCGTGCGGTGCTTTTCTGCACGTACACGGCGCAACTTGACCGCAACAAAATTAAGTCGCCGCCGTCGTACTAAGGTAGGTGGAAGCAAGGAAACGTCTCTCATTCAATTAGACGTTCACTAATCCGGCTACGGCGAGCTTCGATACCAATTACATGGTTATTAGTGAGACACGTGCGCGGCTCTACATTGCTTGCTGCTACAAAGCTACAAATATCCACGCTACGCCGTCTACATTCATAGGTTAGAAATCAGAACTTAAAGTAGAGTAATTATTGTAGCTATATATAGAAACCATTGGTAAAAAACCTAAATAAGAAATACATTGTGGCATCGTAACAGCAATTAATTTTATATTAGTTTGATTATTATTATGTCGAGTCACGAGGTAAGAACTACTAAGGAACGTGGCGCTTTCACGTCGGATAGCATTTATTATTTACAAACCTGATGACGAGAGGACGTACAACTCGGCGTTCCCGCGAGAATAGCACTTTCCAGGCGACGGCAAACAAATTACGCGACAAAGCAATCAATTATAAGAACGTGAATGTAGCCGTGCCTCTTAAATCGAACGCTACGTCAACAAGAACCTTTTAGCGCTAGAAAAGAGATGGTCCCGCTACGTGCGACCTGAACAATAACAATGAACTATTATAAAAATAGTTTGAAGTAGTTGTGAAAAGGGCAAATTTTTAATTGTTTACCAATTAGAATCTTTGCACAACATGTTCAGCCCGCAATATGACATTTATTTTAAGTGTTCTAGTTCTACTACCTCTACACTCATTCACGTACACTATTTGCAAACACGACGATAAAATAAATGATACTCTAGAACTCATAAATTCATGATATTGTTATTAAATATAAATGTCGTAACAAATGTTTCCTGGGATCGGAAGGCCAAAGAAGATTAGATTTTTCCCATTTGTCGTTTTCCAGTATATTTGGTCGTGGTTAGCGTGTATCTTGCTGTAACAAGTTTATCTGCCCCGCAGGCTGCCGCTGAGTTAATACTCATCTCTTTTGTCATCTCGAGCTAAATGTAATCAATTTCGACGAAATCATTTTTAACGTCACGTGAATACCCTTCATTTTCTTTCATATTAAACTTTTCCCATTAAAAATGTTGTGTAGGTGTATACAACTATTGCTCCGCTTAAAAAAGTTATTTTCCCGTTTTAATTAGGCTGTTTGATTGGAAAGCTCCTGCTACCTTTGGAGTAGAAAGCCTGTAGATTTAACCGAAAAGGTGGCAAAGGGCGAAGGCGGGTATACGTTGGGCGGGGCGAGACCACGCCTACTCGCCCACGCCCTGTCTTTCCGTTACTTACTACAATTTTATATATTGATGAATACTTAACATATCAAAATATAATATGTATGTAGTTTCCAAGTTTGTATCTCAGACTCTTAAACTTTATGGACATATCAACCTACTGATCACGTCATACCCCTCCCAATATAAATAAAAACAAAATATATAGATTAGTCACAATTAAAAACCAATTAGTCATGAGAAATAACAGAAAACACTATTTACATCAAGGGCACTTGCTACCCTTGATGTAAATAAGTAGTAAAGTACATATATATTTCCTACATATTCCGAACATACCCAATCAACTATCAAGTCTGAAGAACAACAACAGGTTCAACCCGTATAAGACGCTACTATATTGCAAACAAAACGCACAAGATAATAAAGCATTTTACGTAGACGGTTTCAATAATACAGGTAAACAAATAAGAAAAAGAAATTAAGTCGATTTTGAAACCATTAAGAAATGAGATTAAAATAACCATATGTAAGTACCATCGAATCCATCGAAATCCGATATCATCTTCGCCTAAAAACACAATATTGTATATAATATGCCGGAGCAGTAGAACATAACGTTTTCATGATATTTGGATTAAACGTGATAGATATCCACAATCAAATGACCCGATGCACTTGTGTTAACAAAAACCAATTTATTTTATAAATATAAATATATGACAACCAAGTGACTTTTTTATTTCTAAAAAGACATCAAATATTTCTCAGCTAGGAACTGTTTTATTGGAAAATTTAACTTTTACTTAGTTACTTCCTATATTTCAATATTATAATTCGCGGTATATCATAATATATATATATCGGTCTAGCCATTCTCAAGTTTTAGGGGTACAAACGAACAGCAATTCATTTATATATACAGTGGTGGTCATATAATTAAAAACACTTCTTATGAATAAAGAAAGTATAACTTCAACGTACAAATGTTCGTAACAAAATATACACAATAATTAATAAAAATGCAATAATATAGCCACTCAAATAAAAATCTCATTAAATGCATAAAATATAGAACATATCTTACTTTTAATTATAATATGACGCTTACACAATACACATGTAGGAGTATATTTTCTGTTACTGGCCGCTTGGACGCCTAATTAACTCGTTCTTGTTTTAAAATTGGAGAATTACATTCTTTTCTTGGCTTTTTCTATTATTTTAGCGGCAATTCAAAATTTTATCTGAATTTTATTTTGTTAATAATGGGCAAAAATAGAAGATGTGACGCGTCGTGAACTAGACAAATAATTTTTAATGCAATTGATCATTATAAAATACATGAAACTGTTGAAAATGTTCTTAGAAAGGCTCGGCCTAGAAAAACCTCTCCTACAAAAGATACACTGATCGTTCGTGTTGCTAAAAAAGACCCAAGTAAAGGTTCCAATTATATTAAAAATGAAGTTTCTTCGCCTGATGAACCCGTGAAACATCTCGTCAAGACTACGCCGAAGATAAGTGGAAGCTAAATTGTTTGGAAGAATCTCTCGAAAGGTACCACTTCTTACCAATCAACACCAAAAAAAGCGATTATTATTCGCTAAAAAATATGTTAATTGGACGGTACGAGACTACAAAAAAGTGTTATTTTCAGATGTAACAAAAATAATAATAATAAAAACTTTATTTATGACAAAAGGGTTGTGACAGAATTCATATATCGCTAGTCCCCACACTAGGGAGGCCCGGTGTTGTGGGTAACTAGAAAACGTGTAACGTGTAAATTATTACGTGGTAC